AAACAGAAACCTCACCAATAGTCTAATGCATCACTGTTGGGATCGGTACACTTCATCATGCGATGAACCAATAATTCGAAACGTTAGGATTCTGTGCGACAAGCCTCGCACTTATTATTACCCCAGGGTCCTACTTCGTACGATACGACGACAAAAACGAGAGAGAACAAGCCACTTATTAGACATAGAGTGGACTCAGATTACTTACTATGGTAGCTCTAGGCTACCCATAGGTGGTCAGCTCTCTAATTTGAAAAGCTAGGAGCCCCCGGCCCGGTTCGGCTGACAGGTGCTAATGCTTCTTCATGCTTCTTCCCCGGCAAAGCACCACTATTGGGGGATGGGGGATGGGGGATGAGTGCTTTTACACCAAGATTTCATATTTTCCGTACAGTATGAGAGAGACTGTCCCAGGCCACGATTCAAGCCGCAGATGTTCTGGAGCTATCGACTCAGCGGAGATTACACCCACTGCCGCGGGTCAGTCCAGTATGTACACTATGCTTCAAAAATCCATGCAGCCATGAGCAGAAGTACCTAGTGGAGGCATATACATACAAGGGTTACAAGGGCTACACGGACCTACACGGGCCTATGTACACGGACTACAGGCTACGGACGCCATGGATTATTCTTGTACCAGTCTTCCTCTCGTCTTGGCCCGTGGATCCATACGTACATACATAGGTACACTATGTAGCAGCATAGACGGAACAGAGATTACCTGCTCCCCGTGCACGGCTGCATTTCACCGGCCACACCTTACATAGCAATCCCCTAGGTTAGGTTAGTCGTTTTCTTTTTTTCTAGACCTGCACCCTTATTTTGGGTGTACATTCTTCTTGCTTTGTCCCGCACCCGGTCTTGGATAATAAGCCAATCCACTTTCTCATTTCTCGATACGACATAAGAAGAGGAAAATTTTTTATTTCCAAATATTTCATTTCACTCCCTTCATTGTAAGACATGCAATGCAAAAAAGTACATGATCAAGTAGGTACACATGGAATGGGTAGGATAGGATAGGTAGAATGGCAGAGATGGATACCTCTTCTCTGATACCATCGGCTTAGTATCAGCTGTGACTCATACGAGTAGACGTCATGTACGTTTATGTCCTAATGCCCTACGAACGGAATATCTGGCTGCAATGATGTCCAATGTCTGTAAGCTGAAGGGGCCTCGTAAATTGTTTGGTCAATGGGGACCCGGCTTAAGACCACACTTCCTGCAACTGTGCATATCCCGATTGGGGCTGGCAGGGGTGTATAAAGCCCTTTACATAGAGGTCAACATCCCGTTTAAGCCACCTGGTCTATCTACATGGTATTTTATCGTGGTATCTCTTTTTCTATCTCCGCACCCAGCAGCCAATATCATCGCCACTTTGTTGAATAGCGTCTTTACTCCACCAGCTTTTCAACAAAACAAACACAAGAGCTCGACCCGGACAAGAGACCCGACCCGGACGACCCAGACGACTTAAACAACTCTGGCACGATCACGAAGCAGATCCCCCTCATTTCTACCACTCACCGACTCTTACTGAGAAGTGGACAGCAAGTCTCTGCAGGATATGTATTCGGAGTCTTTTACCCATGCCTTACATGCAGCTCGCAGATACCTCCCTGGTCCGGGCTGTCTCGGTGACGTAGACGAAGCGCACAAAAATGAAATAATAAAAATTTTGGATTTGATATTGGTGCGATCACGACCCTCTGCCCCTCTCTTCGACCTTCTGGAAGGATACGAAAAGGGGTGCGAATGTATATCAACGGCTTCGAATTGCATATTTGTTCTCCATTCCTCTCAAATTCGATACATATAATCCACATCCGGTGCCATAATGGCTCTTAGGGGGGGTTAGAGAAGGCATTGTTTTGAACCTATCAGGACTATAGCGACACCACCATCAGAGCGCGCTCTGATGGTACTCCAACAATAAGTAGGGCTTTTAGCGCACGTGTTGGTATGTGATGGAGAAATGGGCGGTAACCTTTTTCCCTAACCAGAATGTTTCGTGATATGAATCTTGTTGTCTATCGCTATGCGTTGTTCGATCCATACATAGTACCCCTGTCGTCACTCACCTGGCCCCCCTTTTCATCATTGTCTCTCAGGCCTCCGAGATGTTGATTCGACATTGTCTTACACATCGAGATTATAAGAATGCCGTTATTATCTGCCAAATCGCAAAATGCCTTTCAACGTTGCGTAGGCCGGTACCTCTACATATCTCCCTTCGCGCGCTTAGCCAATGCTATGTTTGGAAACTTAACTCATCAGGCGTGCGCAGCACGAAGGGAATCATCCTACGAGGCGGTGCGGATAATAATACATACGGGTAGCTATGTGAATTACTGGGACGGCGCCGGCCTATGTCTTTCATTTGATACCACCTCTCGCACTGCCCGGCGTCGCCTGCTATCCTAAGTGTATCGCACAGCACGGTCATACGGCAAGCAGGCCACAAATGTATGCCTTAGGCCACATTGTAGGTAACGATGTTATTGTCGGGATTTCTAGATACCGCGACCCAGAAGCCTGGGTATGCCGTATACGTTGACGTGTCACTCTTCAAACCCAGACGAATGCACAGAGCATTGCGCGCTTCTATCGTGGCTGTGCTGCTATATTGTCCTGTTATATCTATCAGGTCTAGGCCCTGGCATGTGACGAGATACACTATTAACCCTCTAAACTGGTCCTCACACCGCTCCACTTCGTTCCGGAACATTGCCCTTTTCGATCTCCGCCTCGTTCTTCGTCGGTCGTGACATACGCCCAACTATATTTCGACGCCCGCCGAACCCTATCCGTTGTGTCTCTGTCTACGCTTGCGCGGAATCACCGGCACCATAGACTCATTGCCATGCTATCCGACGACACGGGTATCTGTGTTTCCCGAAGAGGGAGGTAACCCAGAGCAAATCATAACCCGCGATGGTAACGGAGATATTAGTAGTCCGCAGGCGAGAAAGCCATTATAATTAATTTCAACGCGGATGAGAATAGTAAGCGCCTGGTCTGAGGAATAGAAAACAATAGTCACACACCTCCGGCGGCTGTTATGATGTAGTTCTTGTAAGTCCGACGATCGCCCACTCAGAAGTTCTTCACCGTCATTTTCTACGCAATACGATGTACTGCTTATAGTTGGGACTGGATATCATGAGGCGCTAGCTCCTCCATATTCCCTGTCTATCAACCAAGTTTCATAAGTTTGGACAATGACTCACCGCATACGGATTCGATTCGCTCGACGTCGACATGAGCATCCGAGCTTCGGAAGCCCACCAAATCAAAGGAAAAAGTCCGAAATCCCACACAAATACCGCCACTACCCTGGTGACTCTACTCTTAAATTTGTACTAAACGCAGTCTTATATTGTGATGGTGATGGGGGCAATACCGCTGACGACTGTGACGACTAATATGCTGGTAACACTGAAACATTGGCTAAACCCAGCTGTGAATTTCGCCATTAAGATGCCGTGGATGTATTCACGTTGGTGCTGAACAGGCAGCAGCCTCGCAATATTCCATTATAACCCTTTCTCGCTGCGACGTAACGGGGGCGTAGGCAGACGAGCCTCAGTATCGCATTTCATATATATCGCAAAGGCGGCGCGTTTTCTACTACGCGCCTAACTTAAGCCTATCAAACGTCTCATCTCAGTATTGCTCATCCACCCCACGTAGGCGTCACACGTCAGCCTGTTGTCCGCCTCACGCCGGCTATCTAGATTCCCGCGAGGCTGCGGACCGCCGTCCAGACCCCAATAGTTACACGATTCTAAATCTGGTTGGATAAGCAGCCACAAGAAGTCCCCCTTTCGCAAATCGAACCCCAAGACAGGCATTTTCGTAGTGAAACAATACCAGCCCGGCTTGTGCAACTAATCGACGATGACTAAATCACTACAGCTTTTATGAGTCATATAAATCACTACTCCTACGTCCACGCCCCCCAGCCTTCTCGGTATCCTGAAGTTGATGGTATCAGATGATCTACCGTGGAGGTTGACAGTGTGTCAGCACTGGACTATCTAGCTTTACACAAGTGCCGACATCTGGAGGTGGCTGTGCACTCAATCTCTTGTCCGCACGTCCATCCATGGCTCCAAGTATCTATCAATGTGAAATCCGCCGACGCGAGTCCTTTGCCACTACGTATGTGTACCGATAATTACTATGCGATCCGCCACGCGTAGTTCTACTGCCTATCGGCAGCCTTGGGCGCGGCATAAGCCTAATCGAGGAACGAAGGTAGGTGGTGAGCAAGAATCCCTTCATGAGGCAACTGGTTGGCGCACTGGGGGTTATTAGACGCCCTAGATCGGATGACTCTCTCGAAGATGAACAATGACCAAGTATAGGCTTTGGCGCCCTGGCAATTTTCCTGCCAAGCCCTTCACTGGATACACCGAGATAATAATGATGAATCATTTTTTATGAAGCACAAAAGTACACAAGTGATGTCCCTTTCCCTATCGCGTGTATGATCCATCCCCCTGCTATATTAGTGAAGAACTCGGCAGTGTTTCGTAGACTGCTAGTCCTTTGACACTGGCGTGAATGCGATCTAAATAGATATTAAATGGATGTGTAGGTAAGTAGCCCAGCATCCATGTAAAATATCCCATGTCCACACAAGTTGGATGATTACAGAATTCTGTTCTAGTTCGCGAACGTGAATTTGTTTTCCTTAATATAAACGAAACAAAAAGGGGTTGCTTAAGTTGGCACAGGACCTATAAGGGGCTTAAACTGGGTAATCTTCTTAACTACCTATATATATACTTAAAAGTCATTTCTATATATAAGGTAGGTATATATAGTTAATATATTTTAACTACGGTATAATAAACTAGACCATGACTCCCTACCGTGTTCCTAAAATTCATGAATATTATGCCGACTTCTACCTTTATATGGTTTAATTTTGACGTAAGTTTTAATGTTAAGGAATATAGATTTTGCCTATCTGCCCAGCTCGCTGTCTGATCGTATGCCACTGTAATGTTCCTGTTAACTTTATGTTCCCGTAGGCAGTTAGTAGTAAACAATCGCCCCTTCTAGATACAGGCGTATAAGTAGTTGATTATGTGTGTATGTTGATGTTTTCAGGACCTAGAATTTCACTATTCATGTACTTAGCCATCACCTGAAATCCATACTGGACCAACATTGCATATGTATGGCTTCCTTAAGATTATAGTTGCCTGATCGGTGAAGTGATAAAGTTACAAATAGCTCATAACAAGATGTCTGGACAATAGACCATTGCCCCCTAGGCTGCCATCTGAAGTATCTCGACGATTTTCTCTTTGTCAAGCTTCACTGGGTTGACAAGTGTACACGGATCTGTTAAGGAGTTCTCCGCTAGGAGCTCAAATTTATCGTTTCCGATACCGAACTGGCTCAGGCTCCGCGGTAACCCTAGGGCGCTGATAAATGCTGCCATCAGGTCTCCCGGGTTGGTGGAGTCTCTGTCCACCTCCTTTAAGCCGAGGGCCTCGAAGACGGCTGGCTCGTCCCAGAACGCCGATGCTACCGTTCGGAGTGAGTCTCGAACCGTTCCGTCGCCGTGGTCCCAGTTGTACTTCATCACGAACGGAAGCATAATGCAGCTTGTCTCGCCGTGCCCCACACCCATCGGACCAAGCTGGTGTCCTATACCATGCTGTGATATACGTTAGTAGTTGCTTTAAACCAGTATTCTCGGAGTCTGGGTATGAACTGAAAGTCATAGCTCGGTTATGATATGCTAGGGTTTGATGTGGACTAAATAGGGGTGAAGTAAATCCTCAATGCTACGTACGCTAGCGCCCATACCGCAAGATAAGGATTTAACAGAAGTCTTGAGCGCGAGCTGCGTCTGCAAGCGCGCATCAAGATCATCCCACTTCTGATTAGTTTTCAGCAAGCCCGCCAACAGGCTCCGAAGGGCGTTGGGAAGTTCGGCGGTCAATTCCGGGCTCGCGTGAGGTAAATTGGCATATAGGCCTTCGGTGAAATGGTCGACTGCTCGGATTCCAGTGGAAAGTCAGAAGCGCGCTGACGTCGACACTGTCAGCGCGGGGTCGAACACGATAATGTCGGCTATTACGGACTCGTGGATCAGGTTCCTCTTTTCAAATGTTTGCATGTTTGTTGCCGCGCCGGCCGGAGTAAACTCACCGGCCGACAGGGTCGTTGGCACGTTAATAACAGGAATAGTCGCCGGTTTAACACCGACGGCGGTCGTAACTAGGTTAGAAAGATCTACGATACATTTGTCAAAGATCTCGTATGCTCTTCCTGTGTCTGACACCCTGTTCGCCGCGAAGAGGCGAGCTAGCTTCACACCATCTGAGATTGATCCTGCCCCAAGAGTAATGATAAGATCTGGGCTCTTTGCATTCAGATCATCAGCTAGCGCTAGCACATCCTCTAAAGGAGTATGTGGGAGAATGCCATAGCGAACTCCAACAATCTTGTTGGCAAGGGCTGTCTGAAGGGCTGTAAATGCCTCGGTCTTGCTAATAGAATTGGACACAACGATGTAAATGTGCGAGGCATGGAATGTGTTCTCAGCATGGTGAGCACAAGCCTTTTCAAATGTCAAGCCATAGGAAATATAAGGCTTCGGCATTGATGGAAAGGCTGCAATGTAAGATTCGCCTGGAGCTGCCATGATGATCGAAACTGTTTCAACTCGTCAGTAGCTTGCTATAAAATTTGATATAAAGTTTGATCAGGCAACAAATCATGTTTCGGCCTCTTAGAGGTGGGTGAACCGACTTACTATTACTGGTAAAGGCGTACGGAAACTTCTTGGTCTTGGTAAATGTGCGTTACTTCTTTCTCAACATTGCTATGCCTAGATAGGAGGCATTGAAGCTCATTTAAACGATTTGATAGCAGTCATATTTCATGACCGAACGGAGCCGAGGCGCTTTCTCTATTCTCCAATGTTCTCCAAGTCCTATGGTTCCGATGTTGATTCGAATTACTATCCCCGCTATGTCCGTCATCTAATAGTCGAATGTGTAGTCCTTCGCCTTATACGTACCATGTAAGTCTATGAAAGTGTCCCATGTATATTCTAAATCGTAGGTATACAGCCCCTTTAACATAAGTGTCCACTAAAGCTTGTCCGGGAGCTTAGTGTATACTAAGGTTGTTTGGGGTTTGGGCATGATTCATTCAGGGGTCGTACCTAGCGAACCAGATAAGAATCGACATGCTATAGTATCGGCTGGGCTCAAAAGATATGGCTACGTTTGTAAAATAGTTGATCTTTGAAATGGAATCTCGGCGTTCGTGAGGGTGAGCATAGATTTCCAATTACCCTATTCAGACGTCAAACCTGGTCAAGAGCCAATTAGAGTCGATAGCTTATCCGTTTGAGGTTCCGACAGTTCAAAGGATCGCTAGACTTTATTATGTACTACTTTAAGGATGGGTAAAAGCACCCTTTACCATCTATACACCTTTAGAGATTCGAATGATGGTGAATTTTCTACCCGTGATTCAACAACTGTAGATGTATGCGTCGGTACCGACTCGGCTAAGTAGGGTCGCATCATTTATTGCTGATAAACAATGTAATCGATCATCATCCAGGCCATTAACATGCCATTCTAGAATGTAAGAAGGGAGTCCAGCACGTAGCTGCAAAATTGCCGGATAAGAACCTACGATGACATGATAGCACCCTCTGCAGAGGACACCCTTAGCCTCTTGTTGAAGTGTGAAGTCAACTGGCACACCACCAACGGATATCCCCAGAGATATTCCATGAGCATGCTCAAAGGATGGCTAAGGATACCTAGAGATCTAGAGTCATTATATATCGGAAGATCATGAGCTCTCGCGCCTGCGTGCCGGATGCTATAGTTACTTGATATTACACACCATTTGCGCATATCTAATCCCATGTAGTTATGTCGTTTACCGACTCTTTTTTCAGAAGCTCGTTTTGGAGCTATGAAACGACCCATGAGGTTATTCTTCGCCGTCCAAGCGACATTCATACACCGCCTGACGATGCCGCGACGACTCATTCTCCGGAACGTCAGTCTAGATTTTCGATTAGCAGCGACGAGGATCATCCTCCGAGCTCAGGGTCCTTTAATGCGGTTCGCTCGCCGCTATCCCTGGGGTCTCGGCGATTAGGACATCGTGACAAATCCCTGCCACCTGTTCCGCGGGCATATAGTCTTGCAAGGCAGCAGCGAGGACATGCGACTGTTAGATGCTCAGGGCTTCGGGCCATTGAGGAGATATCGTGGCCGATGCCACTCGGAACGAAACCTCCGCCGCGGATTCCTAAAAATTCGGGTTATATGGTTAGTGAAATGTCAAGAATACGTATAACCCTATTCATCTCGACGATATGTACAGCCCAATTGTGTGCTCGTGAGTTGAATGTCTAAGCACTTATCATGACGCTGGTTAATACAAGTTATAGAAGCAGGTATCGGCCAAACGCTAGCAATTCTCCGTGAAATAGGGATCACTTTCGGCATCTTCAACACCAGCGATCTGATTTGGACTCTTGCTGGGTATAGCTTGGCGATCGGTACCTTCATCTTGATAGCAGGCAGATTAGGTGACACATATGGGTACAAGCGAATGTTTCTCGCCGGGTTTGTTTGGTCGGCTGTTTGGTCTGCTGTTTCGGGGACTGCGGTATACTCAACTCACGTCTTATTCATGGTCTCTCGAGTGTTCCACGGCCTAGGCGCTGCTCTCTCGCTTCCAAATGGTCTTGCACTTCTCGGAACAGCATACCCGCCTGGAAAGCAGAAAGCCATGGCATTCACCCTCGTTGCCACCATGGCACCCGTGGGCATTATTATTGGGGCGGCAAGCGCGAGTCTATTCGCGCTGGTTTGGTGGCCGTTGACGTATTGGGTCTTTGCTGCTACACTTCTCATCATTGCCGGAGCAGGGTGTTTTACTATCCCTAATAAACCTACCTTAAAGGGCGAAACACCTACTAATCTTCGCGCTGTAATGTCCGACCTCGATATACCAGGAGCAATCGCAGGAGTTTCAGCTCTCGTACTGATAAGTTTTGCTTGGAATCAGGCTCCTCTTGTCGGATGGCAAGAACCATATCTCTGGATCGCTCTGATCGTCGGTATTCTACTTGCAATACTATTCGTGCTAATCGAAACCTGTTATGCTCCTAAGCCGCTCATCCCGTTCTACGCACTTTCATCCGACATATCTTTTATTCTAGTTGCAAGCGCCTGTGGCTGGTCATGTTTTGGAATTTGGGCATCATATACTTGGCAGTTTGTCGAGAATATTCGTGAGACTCCTCCGCTTTTGGTATGTTTAGACACGTCTTTGAATTGTTTAACTTGACTGACTCTTATGGTATTTGAGGCTACGGCATATGTAAGCCCGTGCATTGTTGTTGGTTGTTTAGCAACTGTATCAACAGGCGTTGTTCTCCAACGGTTGGGACCGTCTATCGTTGTATTCATCTCACTCTTGGGGTTTACTCTAGGATCCGCACTTATTGCTACTATGCCTGCTGTACAAATCTATTGGACTCAGTTGTTCTTTTCCGTGTTAGTTGTCTCTTGGGCAATGGATACAGGGTTTCCAGCCACAACGCTAGCTTTATCTAACGCAGTCGAAAGGAAGCATCAGGGTACTGCGGCGAGTTTAGTTATTACCGTAATGAACTATAGTATTTCGATCGGTTTAGGTATCGCAAGAACTGCGGAGGCCTATGTAACTAGAGGCGATCAGTCTATAGAGAGTAAGTTGAAAGGGTACCGGGCTGCTTTATATACTGCAGTCAGTCTGGCAGGATTAGGCACACTCATATGCTCGATTTTTCTGTTGAAAATACTCTGGCAGAAGCAAAGAAGGTGTTACAAATATCATGATGAGCTGGAAGTACGTCAAGTCTAGAGTAGAAAACGGCGATAATATGAATGTAGGAAAAGACGCGTCAAGGTGAATTTAGAACGCGCTAAGTGGACTTAACAGTAATTATAGAATGCTTTTAATGCATAACATCCTATTTATGCATAATGAGAATAACTCCTTAATCAGCTCGCTATTGGGTGCCATTTCGTATCTGCGTCGTGATACTCCGCGCGGATGATTAGTGAATCTGTTTGTAGTTGAAATCGGTTACTATTAAACTCATAGCGAACGAATTATTGCTACCAGGTACCTGGTAAGTTAACTTAGGTAAGTTAAGGTTTTATTATTCGCTTAGTTACCTCTATATGATCGTTATGAGATTTTTAGCATATGCGAACTTATACAAGAATGAAGTATATGTACATCCTTGTAGGTTAAGTACCTCATACATTAGGTATGTACATACCTGCCGGGTACCTACCATGTACATAGTAGTATCTTGCCAGGTTCTTGCCCCTTAGCCACAGGAGAGAGCTTGGTCTAATGGAATGACGTGTATGTTGCCCCTCGTTCTTCCGTTAGCGCCTTTATGCGGGAAAGGCATGAAATATCTAATACTGATACAAGCTTGTGACACATCCGCAGCAAAGGCTAGAATCAGGTGTTGATTTAAATGATCGATTGAGAAGTCGCACGCGGCCAAACGTTTTAACTCAGGCCTCCAACTTTGTCATTCAATATTTCCATTCCAAACTACATCTTCATTCTTCTTAAGCTACCTTATATCTCCCTACGTTGGACTCTATAATTTCCTCATACTCGTATACTATATTACCCCTCAATCTATTATTCCATCACCATCATGGCTTCTAACCTCACTGTTCTGGTGAAGAATATTAGCGCAGACGCGAGCGACAACGAAGTTAGGGACTTCTTCAGCTTCTGGTAGGGCTATCAATAATTATTTCACTCTATTGCTACCTACTAACTCTTATCGAATAGTGGCAAGATCACTGAGATCAAGGTCACGCCGGGCGAGGGTAATACGAAAGATGCCAGCGTCACCTTCGAGAAGGAGACTGCCGCTAAGACTGCGCAGCTCTTAAATAATACCCAGCTCAAAGGATCGCAGATTTCTGTAGTTCCCGCCGATGGTCAAGTCGATGATGGCACCCCTCATACCACCAATGCCGATCGAGATACCGATGAGATTACGCAGGAGGAGAAGCCAAGAAGTCGTATCTTGGCCGAGTACCTTGCTCATGGTTACGTCGTCGGCGATGCTGCTCTCCAGCGTGCGATCGAGCTTGACCACACGCACGGCGTCACTAACCGTTTCATGAATACCTTAATGAACCTCGACCAGAAGTACCACGCCACAGAACGTGCCAAGGCGACTGACCAATCGTATGGTATTACGAACCGAGCCAATAGTCTCTTTAGTGGCATCAGCTCGTACTTCGAGAAAGCGACAAGCTCCCCTACTGGCAAGAAGCTGGTTAAATTCTACACCGAAGGCCAGCGTCAAGTGCAAGACATCCATGCCGAGGCGCGCCGTCTAGCTAATCTCAAGAAGGAGGAGCATGGCGGCTCTGCATACAAAGCCTCAGGGCTTGAGAGGGTTTTCGGCAAGGAGAAGGAACAGGCAACACAGGCAACTTCTGCCGGCGTTGCCAGTGCGCCGACGGATCCATGTGAGTGCCTTGATTTAATTCGTACGAATAGTTGTATCGAACCCGCGGCTAATAAATGACGTTTAGCTTCAGTCCCTGCACCCGGCCCGAAGGCTGGCACGGAGGAATCTACCCCTCTGAGCACGACGGGAGCTATTCCCTCGAAAGCGCCTGGAGATGAGAAGGCATAAAGAGAGAGGATATGACCAATCTGATGCCGTTACGAATTACAATGACTCGGATACTGGGTTGAGTGTAGCTTTGTATTAGTCGGGTATGGCAGTTTAATTGTTTTGTCCACTGCAATTCCATGAATAAACGAGTCTTGCCACTTTTACGTCTTTTGTGGTGTAGTGCCTTACGCGAATTAAAACACTTGATCTTTTACCTCTTTTGGCTACAACTGGTACAACCGGCGTCATGTACCTGATTACTTTACGGACTGTATGTTACCATGTTGAATTATAGATACAAGTGAATGGATTATGATTATAATGAGAGCACGTGTGCACGATTTTACAATTCAGTACTTTGTAAAGGTATATCTTTCTCATTCCATCGGATTTAACCATGGCGTTTGTGTTAAACTATTCCGTACAGGTTCGTAATACAAGATTCCTTGTCTATAAAATAACGCATTTCTCGCTATATCAACAAATATCCCTCACACAAAATCAAACTCCTCTAGGATGGTTTTGTAGTTTTGCTAAATTTCTCCGTGACTGCGTCTTCGAGGGGTCCCTTGGGGTTCGAAGTTAGGTTCTATATGATATTCTATGTTAGCCTAATGCTATGAATACAATAACTAGAAGCTGCCTTTTACTTACGCTCAGTTGGTCTTGCATGGACTCCTTCTTGTTGGGGGCTTCATCTATGCCTTGTCCGGAAGCGGGCGTCTCCTGTAACTGTCGGCCACTCTGGCTCTCAGGGGGAGGAGACTCGCCGCCTTCGCGTGCTGAAGAGGACATTGTGTATGATGTTGAGGTTAAGTATGGTTTTGTAAATCTTTAAGACATTAATATACCGAGCGTTGTCAAAGGGGTGGTAGCTTGGATGCGTACAATTTATAATGGTCTGTGTAGTCGATAGATTGTGAGCTGATGAATCTTTAGGGTTCAGAAGATGGAGAAGTTAGACAGCGTCGAAGAAAGAGGAGGAGTTAAATACAACTCGGAACGTCCTAGACATGCGCAAGATCGAGGATTACATAAATACGCATCTATGAGGTTTCTAAGACGGACAGGCATTAAAACGCAGTTTGACATCAGAGTAACTGTCGATGCCGTCATGTCCCTATATTCAACTATCGAACAAAGCGAGTTATGTACGTCATCATTCTTTCTTATCGATAATCGATGATGAAGCTTAGGTAGGTGGGGGTCTTTTCCGGAGCGTCTAAGCCTAAAAGGGCTTAAGTGTGGACATGTATTTAGGTACCACATATACTTAGGTACTTCATGCACTTAGATGCATGTGATGGGTCCAGTGGCCCATCTCATGCTATAGGTACCTAGGTACATACATGTACTTAATTGCAGCTCAAGCCACGATCCATAATAAAGTTTGTTATCAAATAAGGCTGAAGGACCCCGCAGAAGCTTGAAAGTTACAGGCGTAGACCACTAAACGCGACCGACTTCACCGTAAACAGATTCCCAATATTCCCAATATTCCCAATAACTTTGCCCAAACAAACACTAGTACATTTTATCGTGTCATCACATAAATCTAATAGAACAATGTGATTATTCTTGACGGAACCACTCTTGACGGAACCAAATTGGGACCAAATCTTCCGTTAGCTCTTGTGTTGATATTCGGAGTAGCTATTCTAGTAGCTAAACCCTTCTATGCAACATAGTGCTTGACATAGTGCTTGACACATCAAACAGCTTAAGGACGTCAAACTACTTGGTATCATAGCTTGGCCAACATGCCCGACCTTAATTCAGTCCCACCCTCTCCCCACGTCCTTGCGGCTTCTCGAAATTCCTCTTCCAATCACAATGGGCAATCGCATACCTCGGTACCTCCAGCTCCCATTTCCCCTTCTCTAAATATCCTACCTTCGAATCAACAGACTGTCAACCGAACATCCTCGATTTCTCTTTCGTCGCCACCGCTGCCAGGAACTCATACCATGTCTACTCCGCATTCTGCTCCCGGACGAGACGACACTGGCGTCGGTGCTGGTCCAGGCCCTTTGCGACATCCGCGACCCTTGACGGCTGCAGAGCTACATTCGCAGTTGGAACAGGAGCAAGAACTCTTGGTATAATCTTACCTCGTAACCTCTGACAACGCCGTGGTAAACATTCTAACATAGATGGCATAGGTGAACCGCCTGAGCCGCGATTTGATCATGCTGCGAGCTGCACAGAACTCGTCTGTAGCCTCTAATGCTTCGTCTACGAGCGCATCGACCTCTGCCGATCAGACCCACCCCTCCTCCTTCACCGATACTCACCTCCTATCCGGTCCGGGATTCCCTCTCCCAACGACGAGCGCAGACCGTCGACACCATCGGACCAACTCCAGTGCTAGTACACGCAGCCTGAACCAGTCTACCGCTACCCAAGGCTCGATGCCTGCCCCGATACCAATCCCGCAACCTCACTCCGGGAGTGCTGCTTCGGTCTTAGAAGCGGCACGAAATCCTCGAGCGGCACCGGGAATGAGCCGACAAAACAGCACCGCTTCTCAGAGAAGCCAAAGCCGAAATCATTCACCCCATCCGTATCATGCCAGCACTAGTCTAGGTTCTTCATACACTCAGACACATGGCGTCCCATATGATTACGGATCCGGTTATTTCCCTAGGGGCTACACGTCTTCTAACACGAGCGTGGCAGCTACTCCCGGCTCGGAGCTTTCGCCGGGACTCTTGCCGGCCACTCTGCGCTACGAGGAGACGGCTCACTATCGACAAGAGCTAGAGTCGGCTAAACGTGAGAATGAGAATCTCAAAAGGAGGATTAAGGAGTTAGAACGGGCTCTACGGGATCGCCGACAGAGTGACACCGGTCGGGCTAATGGTGGAAGGGACCGAAGCGAGAGCGCCAGCACTACAGCCAGCGTCAGCGTCAGCGGCGCGACCGGAATCGGAGGTGTCATCGGGGGTGGTACTACCATAGCCGGAGACCGGCGAGGAGAGCGTAGAGTTATCGAGCGGGGCATGAGTAATTTGAGTATTTCTGGAAGCGTCGGAGCTGGTGTCCCTGAAGATGAGGTTCTGGTGGGCGAGAGCGCTGCAAGTGGCGGTTTACCAGTGGCTGGAGAACAGATCCGGGACGCAAAGTAGGATGTTAAATATGTTTAAACATCAGCCCCTAGGTGGATAGATTGCAATTTATGCAGTCTTGCCGAAAAGAATTATCATTAATAGGGTTTAGGCATGTTATAAGGATAGCCGGTGGGTTAGCCGACGTGTGAATGACTAAATGAAGTCCAATTTGTTATTGTCTTGCAATTGACCTTTTTCCCTGTTGATTGAGACATTTGCACTAACTGACCAGGGCTTCTATCCGGGTGTCTTGCTTGTTACTGTATTTACTGTACTATGCTGAAAAGTGTCTAAGACATTCTAGAAATTGCAAGGCAAATTTGACTTAACTAAAGCTGCGCATAACGTACTTTTATTCAACATATGTTAAATTAGGACTCTTTACCCGGTTTATTTAGGTCTATGTGGTTTGTTCGTTTGTAGAGTATTTAAGTCTAGGGTAAGCAAGTACCTAAGGTATGTGGTAAAGGTCCGTATGGTCTTCACTCTGACGTTTACATTATAGTGTAAAGGCCTTTGTATGATCGGGAATGCCCTGTTATTTCCCGTACGACTTGATGGCGAAGCTACTCCTATTCCGTGTCTATGATAAACCTACTGCAACTATAGAATGAAACTTCGTCAGTTATGTAGGTTGTCAACTTATATATAACGAGCTGTAAGCAAGATATATTACATGTCAGGGAGGTTAGTATGTAAGAGAGCTGATGGGAATTGAACATAACCTTAACAACTGAAGAATATATCGAGGCAAATGCCCCGGATTGTCCGCCTACATATTGTGAGACCGAGGCTTCTCTTTATTATTTAGCTTCGATGGCGCAATCGGGCTAAAAGTTTCGTCTGCACATTTCACCGAGACTATGCCGCCCATAAGGGAATTCTAAGTAATGTACGGATCCATAGAATTGGATTAGGTACTTAACACATGGTTAGATGCGGCTCTCGGAACTACTATTATTTCAACTATATTTGCTTACTCCTACAGTATAAGCCTTATAGAAAAGATAGGAGATTCAAGAATAGACTACCTAGGTTAGGTAGGTAGTTTAGGTAGTTATTATATGTTTTCTATCACTTTTAACTCAAATATTAATGTCTACCTAGTTACTCTTAATAAATAATAATAAACTTTCATAACAGAACTAAACTGATTTATAATTCTCATTACAATGAATGCTCACCAACTATATTCCACGGGCCCAGGAGGCGATTTGTCAGTCAGACTGTCACCGTGTCGCGCTATTACATAGCGAAAAAGTAGGGATCCAGACAGACAATCACGCAATAGGCTCCACCCGAAAATTTCGAGCTGATGTCCCCTTAGGCCTTGGTCTTATTATCGCGACGACTATGCGTGTATATATACCTAGGTATAATACGTTCTCTCATGCGCCTTGTAGCCATGGTGTTGTTTTGGGACAAGACTTCGAATTTATCAATTTGACTTGCCGCTCTCTTCGGTAGCAGAACCTGCTTCCTCCTAAGGTATAATATATATAGACGACGGATTTACGTATTCCTCAGCTGTTACGCCGAGGATCGTCAAGGAAAGAGAGAAATGGCATCTTCGACTTCGGATTACGCCGAACAGCCGGATGATGGTGCTGTTGCGTCTGCGGCTTCTAAGCCGTTGAAGCATTCTATCTTCCGGTCCGTACCCTTTCAGATTGCCGTTGCGTGTGGTGTCTCTTTTACCGCGCCGGGTATGTGGGATGCCCTCGGCGGTTTAGGGGCCGGCGGCGCAGCTGAACCATATGCTGTATCGGCGGCTAATGCTCTTGTTTATGGTCTCTTCTCTATCGTCTGTGTAGCTGCAGGAGCTATCAATAATCGCATCGGTCTACCGTATGGTCTTGCTCTCGGCGCTATCGGTTATCCGCTCTACGGTGCCGGTCTCTACACCAACAACGTGAACGCCACCACCTGGTTTATGCTCTTCGGCAGCGCACTCTGCGGTATCTCGGCCGGTTTTTTCTGGGCTGCCGAGGCGGCCATCATTATCGGCTACCCGAGTCCTAATGACCGTGCTTTTTACCTTGCCATTTGGCAGAGTGCTAAGGCCGCTGGTCCTATCGTTGGCGGCGCTATCAACCTTGGTCTTAATGCGCAGCGCTCTTCAGCTGGCTCCGTCGGTTCCGCTACATATATCGTCTTCATCGCCATCATGTGCCTGGGCCTACCTATTGCCCTCTGTCTTAGCCCCGCGAGCAAGGTATGGCGCAAGGATGGCACCCGCGTCGTCGTACGCAAGGAGGCGACCTGGGGTGCCGAATTCCGGGCTGTGGGCAAATTACTAGTATCGCGACGTGTATTGCTATTGCTACCAGCTTTCTTCATCAGCTATTTCTACAACGGCTTCGTTAGCACGTGGCTGACTAAATACTTTACTGTCCGCTCGCGTGCCTTTTCCTCCTTCTTCACCAACTTTGCCGGTATCTTCAGCTCCTTTATCATTGCCGCCCTGCTCGACCGCCAAAGCATCCATATCCGAACGCGTGCCCGCATTGCTTTTACTGCCATTGTTACTATCCTTATTGGCACCTGGATCTGGGCAACGATCTTACAGAAGCGGTTCTACGATGCGCCGGTTTCTCCTGTGTTCGACTGGTTCAAAGGTGGCTTCGGTTCCGCGTACGCGCTCGTTTTCTTTTGGACCTTCGGCGGACAGGCCTTCCAACAATTCCTCTACTGGCTTGTCGGCCAGTATGCGACAGACCTGTCGTCGCTTTCGCACCACACGGGTATCCTACGAGGTGTTGAGGCTCTTGGACAGACGGTTGCTTGGGCGTATGTTATATCTTTTCCCCCTTAAGTACTTATGCATTTAATTACTAACTATCTTGTTCACAGTATGCAATCCGAAGGAAACGCCAATCACTTTGCCAGCATCGGTCTCAACTTCGGTCTTACTATCTTATGTGTCCCGTTCACCTGGATTGTGCTCTCGGAGCTCGACCACAGCCACGAGGTTAGAGCAACTGAGGATCAAAGTGTCGTGAACGACCCGGATAAGAAGCAAGACAGTGCTTCTGCCTCGGTTTAATTGCTTTGTTTTTAATATCATGGTATAAATGGATAAAAGCAACTGGGGATTTGAATTTAATGGGCTATGCGAAGTATCTCATAGAAGAGCGAACGAGCCGGCAAATAAGGAGATTGGGAACTTTGGATGATACCCTAGCTGATAGACAAATAGAAATCTTTTTTGATAGGAATATTCCTAATAATAACAACCACCCTAAGTATATCATAAGATTGATCGGTGCTAGGGATTGTTATGACCACCTCCTTCTGGTAACCTCGACGATCTAGTTCATTATCAATACAGCACTCAGGGAAAGGCAACTTAATTGAGCTCCCCTTTGGTTCCTACGGAGAAATCGATTCGAAGGCCCTTGCATTAAACACGTATTTTTCCTTCGATACGATTGAACATATTGGTTGTTCTACAAAGGGCCACGACGCCACGACACGTGGGCCGTCAGAAGGTGACACTTCGTGCAACAACAATGCTTATAAGAGGCAATTAGGCTTAGAAGATAATGCCAATTAAGTCCTAAGCGCTCTCTCGCTATCGACGGTACTCGCGAAGAGATAAGTTTTACTTTTACAAGAGATCATGTCTCCACGTATTATATACTAGGTACTCAAATCGGACTATGACCATAGGTTTCGGATTCTCCTGAAGAAGTATTTAAGCGAACATCTTGTCAGATTCGTAAATGCGATCCAATAATTCAACACCGAGTAAAATACATATAAGATAGGGGATGTGGAGGCTTTTATTTATGAGGCCCGGAACCATTAATTCGGGTCTTTACCATAGTGCCGAAAGCGCGGAGTGTGTATCAAAACTTACCTACCTACCTCTTGGAGAAGTCAATATAGGTACATAGGTTAGGTACATAGGTTAGGTACATAGGTAGGTTAGGTACCTAGGTAGGTGGCAGCTACCTGTATTATGAATTTCGCCCTAGATGATAGTTTATTCGCATTGCGATGGTATGATCGTGTTGCTTGATTGGTCGGTTTATTCTTTCAGCGCCTTAGTTTAGTCTTTGACGTCTCTTGAATACAGCGTTAGCAGCTATATTCTATGATTTCCTTGCCACGCATATATTGGTAACCATTTTATCCTATAAAACCCTCTAACCATAGAAGCACATATCAATATAAAAAGATCTTAAACCTGTAAATTACCATATGAAAAAGCCAACGTTAAACCTTTGTACGTTATATCTTGAATTACGAAGTATACGAAAAGTTAACTCCTCTTCATTTCATATTGTTCATTCCCCGTACCCACCTAACCTAGGTATTGGCCCCAGCTAGTTGGTTCGAGTTGCATGAAAAAAGGTCCTTTGGACCCCTGTTCGCTTACAATGCAACATCATTCTAAGCTCACCGTTTTATCTTTTTTTATTCGGTGTTAGGACGGAAACCAGCGTAGTCCAACGTTATCCAGCATCTTATGGCATTATTTCGGTGTGACTCAAAGCCAGAGTCGGCTCGTATATAACGAGTTGTCTGTGTCGCTTGGCTTGCTCTCGTATATTTGTAGTCCAAGGGGATTGATCGTAACCAGAGGACACAATGGCCAACGAAGAGCCGTCGGCAAGTTACTACCAACGATTTGCGAATGCATTTGACCGACTTGCCTGGACACCTTCCTGGGTTAAATGGGATCCCGAGGTGAATCATGACCTCAGCTGGGGAATGAACATCCTGTTTGGACTGGTAAGTAAATTATTACTATCCTGCCAGTGATCAAACCGAACTCAAGATCTATTAACATGATAAGCCGCACTTATGCTGACTCCTATCTAGTCCGCATCTTTCAGTGTAGCGAATCTCTACTATAGCCATCCTATCTTGAATATTCTTGCGGTCGACTTTGGCATCTCAGATCAACGCGCCTCGTTGGTACCGACTATGACTCAAGCTGGATATGCTGCTGGACTTCTTCTGATCGTACCTATTGGCGATATTGTTCGACGTCGGCCTATGATTCTAAGCCTGATATTCGTAACGGCTCTAATAGTAAGCGTCAAACTTCGGCCGTGATACTCCTAGCTAACCTGTCTCAGTGGCTTGGCTGTACTCTTACTCAGTCCTTCTCGTCATTCCTCGGTCTCTCATTTATCGTCGGTCTCTTGACTGTGACTCCGCAACTTATGTTCCCGTTAGCGGTCCAATATGCCCCACAACGGCATCGGACTACTATGATATCAGTGGTTATGTCCGGCCTTGTGTTCGGTGTCCTCGTTGCGCGTCTTCTTAGCGGTATTATCACTCAATATACCTCGTGGAGAAACGTTTATTGGATTTCGTTCGGGCTTCAGGCGCTTGTGTGGATACTCCTCTTCTTCACTATGCCAGATTATCCCACCCTGAGCCCTGGAACGTCTTATCCAAGGATTTTCTTGAAAATCATCACTCTCCCTTTCCTGAACCCGGACCTTACTCAGATGGCGCTTATAGCCTTTTTGACTTCGGGGATGTTTACATCTTTCTGGACCACCTTGACGTTTCAATTAGCTGACGTTTTCCACATGTCAACATTGGCGATCGGCCTATTCGCTCTTATCGGCATCTCACCGGTGTTTCTTAACCCGGTCATCTCTCGCTTGTTGATATCACGCCTACATCCTCATGGTACTCTTATAATTGCGCACCTAGTGACTCTTGCCGCGATCTGTATTGGCACATTCGTTGGTACGTTTTCACTCGCGGGCCCTGTCATCTGGGCATTCTTCGGAGATCTGGGGATGAATACAATTGTTGTTGGAAACCGTGTGGCCATAGCCCATGTCGATTCTAAAGCTCAGAATGCTGTGAATTCCGTCTACATGGTTCACACATTTTGCGGACAGCTTTTTGGTACAGCCGTCGGCAACGCGCTTTACGCCAGGGGGGGCTGGACATATTCCGGTGCCTTCAATATCGCGCAGATGATAGCTGGGCTATTGATCCTTTTTGTGAGAGGACCACATGAGAAACGTTGGTTAGGTTGGAGTGGTGGATGGGACATGAGAAAACCTAAGATAGAAGAAAATGGATCGCTTCGGGGAGCGCAAGCCGACGTGGAGGCAAACACAAAGGAAGTAGTTACTTAGATCCCAAATGAAGTACCTACGGAAGATGAAGGCCCCAAAGAGAGGATAGAAAATGGTGATGAAAAGACATAGCTGCCTTGTAGTTAATCGGGGAAATTAGACCTTTTGCTCGGGATATTGTCAAATATTTATAATGGATGATTAACTACCTACCTAGGTAGGTACCTAACCTAAGGATTCTTATCCTCTATTTTAAATACCTCTCTACCATAAAAACTGATAGAGTGTTTTTGTATGAATTGTAATTTTGGGTTCTCTTCTTTCGTAGTTCAGCTTTAACCCCTATTTCATAGCCCCTATTTATACCAGCCACCAAAGCCACATATCTATACCGTCTTTATACCGTCCTATTCACTGTGTGGTCATGCGGGGACGACCTCATAGGCGATACGGTACATGATACATGAGCAACCTAGGTTAACTGAGGTTCTTATCTATGGGTTCCGCAGGCCACATTTAAACGCGCGTGATTATAATCAGATGTGAAATACGATTACATATATAACTGAAATATATAGAGTAGCAATTATAAAGGGAAACTTATTCTTCTCCCATACACTCAAACCTCAAGTTTTAGTCCATGATTCTAATTGAAACATCGGGTTTAAGAGGTGTCAAGACATGAATATCTCATTGCACCAAACATATTCCTCAGTTACTGCGAATAAGTTGTATCTTTTTATTGCCCTATCCTAAACGATGGACCAACGCGCCGCAATCCCCGTTACTCTACCGAGAGAGAACCCCACCCGGAGCTACTGGCAGCTTGAACCCCACGAGATCGCCGATATGCGCACGACTGGTTTATTACCGGGGAAGGCGGAGGTTGTCATCATTGGAAGTGGCATCACTGGGGCTGCAATGGCTTTCAACCTACTTGAGAAAGGCACCCGCGACATTATCATGCTGGAGGCTCGGCAGGCATGCTCGGGCGCAACAGGACGGAACGGTATATTCTTTTTCCTGAATATTTAGAATGCATTTTTTGAAACTGACCCTATGTGTTATAGGAGGTCACACGAAGGCAGCATCCTACCTCTCATTCCAAGCGCATGAGAAGCATCATGGCACTGCTGTGGCTGTCAAGATCGCTCGTCTCGAGCTGGCTAACATTCGCGCCGTGCACGCGTTCGCAAGAGAACACGGGATTGAGTGTGATAGCCATCCTTGTGATACAGTAGACGTGGTTTATGATGCGGCGCGATGGGAGTTCGACCAGCGTGCTGTTAAGGCTATGCAGGATGCCATGCCCAGCGACGATGCCTCTATATACGCTCTGCATAGTACCGAAGAAGTAAGCTCCAAGTTCTTCTGCGGCCATGGAGGAGATGAGAAAGTATATGGTGGCTTATCATATGAGGCAGGAAGTATAAATGCCTACAAGTTTACTACAGGCGTGCTGAAACTGTGCTTAGAGAAGGGCCTTAACTTGCATACCAATACCCCCGCGCTCAATCTTGAAAGGCTCAAGGGTGGTGGTTGGAAGGTAGAGACTCCCAGGGGTTCAATAGAAGCGCAGAAAGTTGTACTGGCTACAAACGGATATACTGCAAATATCTGGAAGAAATTCCAGGGAATTATAGTTCCTCTACGTGGACATGTCACTGCGCAGCGACCTGGTCTAAGTATACCGAAAGATCGTCTGGCAGGCTCATACACCTTCTTCAGTAAAAAGGGGTACGATTATATGATTCAACGACCGCAAGGCACACAGTTTGAGGGGGACATCGTAATTGGTGGGGCTCTCACCAACGCCGTCGCAGATGGTCTCGAGGAGTACGGGACGACAGATGATACCACACTTAACGATGACATCGTAAAAGCTCTTGAAGACAGCTTACCGAAATATTTCGGCGATAACTGGGGTAAAGATGACCAAGAAGGGCGAATACGTAATGTGTGGTCTGGTATCATGGGTTATAGCCCCGATGGCCTCCCTTTCGTCGGGGAGGTTCCAGGAGAGAAAGATCTTTGGGTCTCTACTAGTTTCCAAGGCCATGGAATGGTTCTCTGCTGGATGTGCGCCCGCGCGCTCACGACTATGATGAATGGTCGTTCGGACGAGGACGAGGGCGAGGGGTTGAGCTCGTGGTTCCCTGAAGTATTCAGGATTACCGAAGAGAGAATGCGCTTGACTTTTCGGGGTCGCCTACGTAACTGAACCGAAGTACTCGTGCTGACATGCTTTATGGATTATGTCGAAATTGCCTTGAAGCCTTTTGTTAGTCTGGAGGAAAAGGTTATGAAGGGATAGTTACATATTGGTATTATGACATGCTTTAATATGGCGTGAGGGAGTTTCACTCGACTGACGATGTAGTGAAAAGAACGGCGAATGTGTGAGATCGACTGGTTTTGATTCATTATAAGTGAAGTGGGAGGTCTGTCCTACCTTATTAAAATTCTTGCTGATATTTTACCTGACAGCGGCCTCTTAACCGCTCATTTCAACAATGTCGGTGGGGTATGCACTAACGTTACATTGGAATATTTACGCAGGTAATGCAGAAGATGAGGCGACTATACCCCATTCTCTCTACCTTGCTAAGATGATCAATTAGCACTAGGTAGAAGTTCCAAGCTCTATGGGACCCGTAGATCCGGCATGTAGCTCCCGTAGTTCTTTTTTTAGTACCATCCCGCCCTTATTACCGCTGCTAGGCATCTAGATTTCCTCGTGCTATAAGTTTTAGCGAAGAGACGAACACGCCCTTAGAGTCATACTGAGATCGAATGAAGCATGGAGATGCTGGCACTTGATATACAGAACTTGGCATGCACATGAGGTTGACTAATTGAATGTCTAGACCACCGGCCGTATCAGTAGCGAGTCAAAATAACTTGGAAGGGTTTACACCGTGAAGTTAAATTAGGTGGAAAGATAAGATTTTATTGGTAGTTTATGTCAAGTCAAGCCATCATCGATCTAACTAGTTGACAGAATGCTACGTTTATTCCTCATGTACATCCTACGCGGTGAAATATACAAGGGGTGAGGAACGACAATACAGCGAGTTGTAGATAGATTAAAGGGTAGTGACTTGCTCTCTTCAGCTCGACTTGTATGGTTAGTTTTACCTGGTCATCCTGTATTGATGTTTGAGGTTACATCCAATGATTCCCCGGAAACTTATATTCTATTTGAGGGTGACCCATATATGTAACAGAATTTCGCTCTCGTTCTCGCTCTCGGCACATACTAGTAGGTAGACTGGTTGTTCTAGCGGGATCTACCGATCGTTATGCTCTAAATTCTACCATCCTAGGTTAGGAGGCTAGGACGAGTTCAAGTTCAACTAGCACATAGCTTTAAATACATCTATCTAGCTGTAGGATCAATTAGGGATGTCTTCCATATGGCGCTTTGAAGGAAGCGATGAACGTTTTGGTTTCTACTGAATCTGGTAAAGACATTATGAGTCTCCACAACGTTCCCGCCCGAGGACACCACACGTCGTAGTAGGATGCATGTATCGTGTATTTACCTAGTGACTAATTGATGGGGTTTGACTCATTCTGCGGTCTAGCTCTCGTGAACTACGCAAGCTGATCGTTTATTCGACGAGGAGACATTGTAAGGTCACGCCCGCCTAGTATTCACGTTTTGCGGCGATAAAAGGAAGATAGGCGCGGACGGTCGGAAGGTCGGAAGGTAAGACCTGAAAAATATATCCGAGTCTGCATAGTATTCGGGGATACAGATGACTTCTTTTGCTCTTGGTTAATTGGTGGACATGGGTAGTGACGGTTCACTTTCAGGCTGGGGCTGCGCTCGCGAACAAGGTACCATGCTATGTATAGTCCGCGCTTTTCGGACTATGCCTCACAAAATGAGGTCCGAGAAGGCCTAGGTTGCGGAGCCGAACATTCTCGCTAGGCCCCGGTTTACATAGACATATATAGATCAATCCAGTTATATAAATATATAAGACTACATTCCCATATGGCTGATAATGACAATATGTCTAACTACCAATTCTCTTGTCTTATTAGATATAACTAACAAATACTTATTCCTCCTTTCTTCCCCTTTAGACAAACAGGGGTAAATAAAAGTTTCTACTACCTACACCACCTCTAAGTACCCACTAGGTTAGTGATAATAGATTTTCGACGATAATGCCGCTCAAGGTCCTCATCGTCGGGGCGGGTATCTGTGGGCCTGCCTTGGCAACGCTACTGCGGCGTTCCGACCCGGAGAACAGTATCACGGTTGTGGAACGATACCCGGGAATAAGACATAACGGCTTACAAATTGATCTTCGGTCATGGGGTGTACCGATCATGAAACGGCTTGGGCTTATCGACGCCGTGAAAGCGAAGTGTGTGCATGAGAGCGGCATAACCTTCGTCGACTCCAAAGGCAGACAACACGGGCTGTTCGGTGCCGCAGGAACTGAAACCGGCCGTAAGTACCTTCTATTAACTCCTTTTTGGTCCATCGCGATAGAACTTTATTGTCGAAGATATTGAGGAGTTGGTATTCCTAAGACAGACTTCGGCCATTCATGTTTCTTTCCTATACGATTGATTGCTAATACCCTACTATAGAGCAGTCTTTCACTAGCGATTTTGAGATCCTGCGCGGCGACTTGTGTCAGGTTCTCTATGAGGCTAGTCTACAAGATTCAGATGCAAAGGTAGATACTCCCGAAGGTGAAAATGGACCCGGCGTTAGCTATTTATTCGGCACGACGGTTACGCGACTGGACCAAGATGAAAAGGGTGTAGATGTAACTTTCTCAGATGGTCGGACGGGGCGGTATGACCTAGTAGTCGGTGCCGATGGCCAGTGGTCGCGAACACGGCGTATGATGTTTGGCGAAGAGGCTGGGCTCGGTATGTTCAAGCGCCTGAACGTCTACGTCGCATACTTTACCATTCCAAGGGAACCCGGGGACGATGACCTGGCGCGCTTCTACCATGCAGGAAAGGGGCGCGGCCTGGCCACGCGCACGGGCGACCGGCCTTACACGCAAGTCTACCTGGTGCTATTCACAGAGTCGGAAGAGGTGCGACGAGGAGTTGAGCGGCAATCCGTAGAGGAGCAAAAAGAAACTTTCGAGAAAATATACCGCGGCGCTGGGTGGCAAACGGACCGCTTCCTCAAGGGGATGGCCGAATCGACTGACTTCTACGCGGACTCTATCGGGCAAATTAAAGCGCCCCATGTGGTCAAAGGTCGCATCGCGCTGATTGGTGATGCGGGTTACTGCGCAGCGCCGGTAACAGGCATGGGCACGACAGTCTCCCTGGTGGGGGCCTGGATGCTGGCTGGCGAGCTAGCACGACACAAAGGTGACGTACCGACCGCTCTAGAGGCCTACGATGTGAAGATTCGCCCATACGTCGACGAAGCCCAAAAACTCATGCCTGGTATACCCAGAATTATGACATTAGAGTCGAACTGGGCTATCTCCCTTCTACACCTTATTGTATCGATTATCTCGTTCTTCAAAATCGACAGGCTAATCATGCGTTTCGCGCCCGAAGAAAAAGGGGGCATGCCGGTTCCGGAGTATCCAGAGCTGAAGGGGGTGTATCCCGCATGAACTAGAAGCGGGAAATAGGAGGGGGAAGCCTAGGTGGCGAAGGAGCCAGAAAGGTCGATCGAGGTATTTGAGCCCTATTTCTTTGATATCTGTAGATTGAAGCATCGGGTTTGCAGGTAATGGGATAGGCAGAGCTTCCTGATGTCAATTTCTTTGATTTGTTAAATTAGTATACCTACCTATGTATATAGGAAGCGATATATAGCTCCTCTCTATTTAGATCTCCAATCTACATTGTATGATTTTTGGCAGGGCTCTTGAATCATTTTTCGTGTTTAGGGATTGCTTTCTTGAATATGACGGCTCGTGATATTGAACCGCTAGGCTGGGAAAATACAAGCGAGCACTAAGCAAAATCGATCTATAATTGAAATAGTCATATATATTAATATCTTGATGCCGGTAAGACGGCATTCCGACCGTGGTGCAAAGATTAAAAAGATATACTCACAATTTTCGAGAAGCCTTGACTCTGGCTCTATTCGTGGCTGTTTTACTACAGCAAGTGACTGTTAGCACTCACACCTTCAGGCTTCTTCCAGTGAGCCTGTACGCCACCCCAGCTCTCTTCACTGTAACCTTCTTGGACCTTCTTGCACGTTTTGAGACCCCATGCGGTGACGCCAACCATCAGACAGCTTTCAAACATGAAGGCACAGCTACCTTTACCAACCAAAGCAGGTTTGAGCTCAGCATTAGAGGCGCCCTCAAAACTCTTGGCATCCGGCCCATGCCCGCTCATAACGTTGTGCAAGCTTGCGCCACCAGGCATGAAGCCGCCATGTCCTCCCTTTTTTGCATCGTACTCGCCGGCAATGAGGCCCATAAACTCAGACATCGTGTTGCGGTGGTACCATGGTGGCCTGAACGTGTTCTCGGCTACCAGCCAGCGCGGCGGGAAGATAACAAAATCAGCGATAGCAGTGCCAGGGTGGTCTGAAAGAGCCGAGAGCACCGTGAAGATTGATGGGTCTGGATGGTCATACGAAATACTCCCAATAGTATTGAAACGACCAAGGTCGTACTTATACGGGTAGTAATTTCCATGCCAAGCAACGACATCAAACGGCGTATGAGCTTGCTTAGTTTGGAAGAGCGAGTTATTAAACTTGCTAGTAATCATATATGTATTAGGGCCTTCGGAAGCGATAGTGCCAAAGTCCTCGCTAAATGAAGCAACGGGAGCCTGGAAGTCGCGGGCGTTGGCAAGGCAACTCGATCCGATCGGACCCAGTTCCGGGAGTGTAAAGTGGCCCTGATAAAGCTCGAGTGCATATCCACGGACTGCACCGGACGGTAGATGAACTTGATACCTGATCCCGCGGGGTATTACACAGATCTCCATAGGTCGGACGAGAAGCCATCCTAGCTCAGTTCTGATATCTAAAACTCCATCCTGAGCGACTATCAGAAGATCACCATCCGCCGAGTAAAAGGCAGAACGCTCATCCATCGACTTTCCCGCCGCGTACACGTACATTCCAATGCCTTGTTTTAGGGTTGGATCACCGGCTCCGGCAATCAAACGTAGACCTGAGACGAAGTCAGTCTGCCCGTCGTAGTCGAAAGGATCCCATCGCAGTTGATTTGGTATGTATTCAAGCTTTGCGGGATCGATCAGCTTATCGGGCTTTAGAGCACCATCAGCAGCAGGGGAAAATGGCGGATGTGCACACGAAGGCAGTATGCGATAGAGCCACGACTGCTGGTTTTCATGTCGTGGGGCCGTGAATGCAGTACCAGAAAGCTTCTCGGTATATAGTCCATATGGAGGTTTCTGAGGGGAATTTTGACCAATGGGTAGAGCACCCGAGATAACCTCAGTCCTAAGTTGTTACAACGTAAGTGATTTGGTGTAAGTGATAATATCATATAGCCGACTTACTCAAAGTAAGACCCAAAGCCATTTTGATACCGATATTTCTCGGCGAATTCGAATGTCGTGACGGGCATCGTGAGTGGTTTAGAGGAAGTTAACTCAGTATAAGGTGGGTAGTTTACTTAGTATAGGTAGATTAATATTGTACCTCTTTCAAAGAGAGTTGGCGTGAGATGGATCAAATATTGAATGTAGCAACATGATCGCGATCGAAGCAACTCGGAACCGGAAGCCACTTGACGGAATCGGATACATTTTAGGTAAGGATCAACACCTGCCGAATGTAAACGCAGCGGAACGTGTAGAAGAGTTTAAAGGAGGCATTCCGATGCACATGCGCCGGCATTACAGCACACGCTGATAAGCAACGATAAGCAACATAGGGTGATGCTTAGGGTGCAGGTGGGTGGGTTGTTAGGGGGAGCCGACGCTAGAATTGGAGAAATGCGGAGAGTGGGATTAAAGGTTCCGATGCTATGGCGTCATGTAGATACCGCTAATATCCAGCAATAGCCGCTTAACCCGCTGTCAACCCCGACATTTTATTACAGTACATGAAGCCACGCTTGCAGGGCACCACAATAGCCCAAGTTTACAAACTTCAACTACTTGTGCTGTCTTCGTATACTGATAGGGCGGATCATCGTAACTCTTCTGCTGTGTGCTGATAGGAAAGAATATAGTTTAACTAGGAAGTCCTTCTACCCCGGTTTGAATTTCGGAAAGCTTATTGCAATGGCCAATGCGTGTTGGAATTCTTGTTAAAAGGGTTGTCGCCATTTTGGCTCTCTAGTTATAACCTTCAATGCTCTTATATACAGTAGTTATGTTCCCTAATTGCTACACGGGGATTGTCTGCGCTTCGATGTCCCCATAATTATATTATGGGGGTATAATCGGATACACAAAGGAATACTATAAATGTGCTTAAAGAAGAAAATATGTAACTTCAGCGTAAACGATTCTGCGGCCTCGGGAAACATGTGGCGATAATGATACAATACGATACTACCCGCGTAGGGTCGTTCATGCAGATATAAAGAAAGGGGACGGAAGTATATGATCATAGCTAGAACTAAATTCGTGGTAGATATCTACATCCTAGCCATTAGAAATTCGTATCGGGAGAGGACAGTACAGAATATCGTCCGTTTAGGTTTCAAGGTCAAAAGGTGACGGAAATGCGATACAAATACTAGATGGTGTTTGAAAAAATGCCTCGCTGATCTTATAATCCGCGTAATGATCGCGTATTATATAACAGGTACCTACCTGTTAGCAGGGAACTACTAGCTGAGTCTTTTTACGAACAGTATCTGGTATTGACACATAAAAACCTGGATCATGTAGCCTCTAATGGTGATTCACTGTAGGAGTGTTACCTACGCTGTAAAATCGAAATGAGAAGGACCTTGGTAACATACGGACGTTGCGAAGGACCGAGAGGGTCGAATTTTTATCGTTGCATTTATAGAAGATCGTATCTATTTTCTTATGACTGTCGCGCTCGCTGTCAAATAAAGCCATCCTGTGTTCCCATCCTCCCCTTCTCGTCGATACCAAGGCCCTGTGATTAGAGCTTCATGCGCTAACTTTATAGCTTCTCTCCAGTTGTCCTCGTCTTCTTGTGTCCAGCCCACCTCCGCGCGTCCTGAATGCGCACCCTGAATACGCACCTGCGTTGAGTACGTGTTTACTGTTATCTTGGATTCGTCAAACCCCGCCGCCTATAGTATTGACCTTCATTGCTTGTGTCATGGAGTACTATGTTCTCACGCGACATTCAATGGAGGGAGTGCTGAGATCAAGATTCAAGGGTCTGCTGTCAGGTACAGTACAGGGTATCTTAGCGAGAATGTGTACCTTATAAGTCAGTATTTACCATTCACTCATTGAGAAGTTTAGTTAGTTAACCAAGTCGCTCATACTGCTTATATACCGTCTATTTCACCAGGGAACCCGTATGCAACATATATGTGCATCATAACTAGATCACACTATAAAGGTCTGTAGCATAATTACTCCCTTCTTAAATTACCAATTGTTACGAAACCTTAGGTACCAAGGCACTTACAGTGGGCGGATATTAAAAACGTACAAAATAGATTTGAGTATCAAACATCCTCGACTTCCAATATTCATAAGTTAACATTATCATTATCATACTTATTGGAATGACAAGGGGGTTATACAGATCACGCAATAAGAAAGAAATAATGAAATGACTGATTCTGATTGCTTGGTTGAATTGTGTAAGAAGTGGGAGATCTACCAAGTGGGGAGGAATATCTATTTACATATACATAAATAACCCTTAGCTTAAAGCCAACGGGAGATCTGCAGCTAGAAGGTATTTGATAAATTTCCAGGTCTGCCGTGCAAGAAACCTGGCCTTGCCTTTGGTCGCCACCGGATGTACATTATTTACTTCGTGGCTCCAGCGCACGCCGCGTTAGTTAGCGACTATTGCGAATGCCTTGCGGATCTTTTCCCAGCTGAATGATTTATATCCTAATGCCTCCCTCTTGGGGTGATCCAAGCGCCAGAATCTACCTTCCGGGCCATCTCGGCCAGAAAGCAGCAGTTTAGCAAGAGTGGTCAGATAGTACGACCATGCGATTGAGAATGGCTGTGCTATAGAAATGGCGTTCGTGAAGTGTGGATAAAGGTGCGTGTACACGCCAAGGCCGATTATCAATCTTGAGAAGATGTAATTGCGGGATGGCGACGAAGGGAAGATTAGCGCATCAAATTGTACAACGTATAACGCTGCATGAGGAACAATAGACCCGGATGGGGCCTTTAGTTGGGGCTTCGACAAAGTAGCGTCCACGACGATATACTTCGAATGTAGAATGTTTCTTCTCCAAGATGTCCTAATGGGCTCAAGGTAAGGATACGATGATTGTTTGTTCGCTCAACTTCCTTGTTGTAGTTCTTGTGGGGCTTCCGGGTGGCGGGGCATTAACCAATCGGGAGTGCTCGTGATGTCTTCGGCCCCCGACCGGTAGCCGGGACCCGTCCCGGCGGTGGGTGGCAATACCTAAAACGATTATCCTCTCCACCCAGCACTACCCAAGGGGTTATTTTGGCGGCTTCAGGAGCGTAAATCAACCACTCGGCACTTCCCAGTGTATGGTGTTGTATCTTAGTACCTAATATATGCAAGACCTTCGGCCACCTACTAAGTCAAAGCACCCTTACGGGGGCCACCTTAGTAGGGGCCACCTTAAATTTTTAAACCTTTAAAATAAACATTTTAACTTTAATTTAACGTTATTTAATTAAATTAAATTCAATTAATTTATAATTTATTATATTTTAATAATAATATAGTCCTTTATTATCAATTTAATTAACAAAGTTTCATCTTTTAAATTAATGTTAAAATTGTTAATTATAATTGTACTACCTAATTCTTAAGCCTTTAATTGCTCTTTTTCTTTTATAATAGCTTTAATATTTATAAACGTCGAATTTGGATTAAGTAATATTTTATACTATTTTTATGGTTTTATATTTATTAATACCTTTTTTAAATATTTGGCGTAAGCCTTTATTATAATTAATTTTATAATAATTTTATCAAAAACCTTATTAATTTTATTAAATAAAAATCTTATTATAGATTTAATAAACATTATATTAACCTTAAATAATTCTTTAATTAAAATATTAATATTTTATAAATTTAAAAATGTTATTAAAAAGATTAAGGTTATATTTTCAATAAAATTAAGTTTTTTTAGGTTAAAAATAAGGCTTGGGAGGGCTGGGGTAATATCGGAAGCTTCTTGGAGTATAAACCGGTAATTTAATAATTTATTTCGATCTTTAAGATAAATTCCCATAGCCTTTTAATTAACTAATATATTATGTTTAATTAAACGTTTTTTTTGTATTATTTAATAAGCCGTAATAAATTTCTTTTTATTAAAATTAAAAATATAATATAATTAATATATTTTAATAAATTTATAATAATAATTTTATTTTATTAATAAGAATATATTTATATTAATAATTTATAAAACATATAATAAATATATTAAGATGAAAATAATATAAATTTTATTTATAAAACATTTTTAAAAGAATTTTATTATAGTATAGTTACTGTAACTATTAAAAATTAATAATTATTATTATTAATAATTTAATAATTTTATTTTTTTTAAAAAAACTTTATAAAATTATTTAAATATAATATTATTATTAATTTAGTTATTAAAAAATATAGTAAATTTTTAACCTTTAAATTTAACGTTTTTATTATTAAGAAATTATTATTATTATATATATTTATTTATATATATAATAAAAAAATTTAAAGATTGGTTATTATTATTAACGTATTTAATAATTAACATTTAAATTTTATTATTATAATCTTTAATTATAATATATTTTTTATAAATTTTATTAATAATTATTTCGTTATTCTTAATTTTTTCTATAATTTTCATTTTATTAATGTTATATGTATACCTAGCCGAGATATTCTTAATTTTAAAGGTTTTAAATTAATTAAAAAAATATTAATATTATCAATTATAACCCCGTTAATTTATTTATAATCAATTAAATAAACCTTAACCAATTTAATATTAAAATAACAAAATAAAAATTATATATACCAATATTTACCGAAAATATCAGGCCGATAATTATGGATTAATAATTTTTTTGTAATATCTTTAAATCGATATAAAGAAAATGTATGGTTAATATAGTTTAATATAATAACTTAATTGGTTAATTCCTTTTTTTAATATTTTAATAGTTTTTAATATTCTTTTAAATAGTCGTTTTATATCTTATAACCTAATATTTGATTTATAAAATAGTATTATAATATAAGGTATTTTTTAAACGTTTGCTATAGGAATATACCGTTAAAAACGTTGTTTATTACCGTAATATAACATAATTAAATTAAAAGAATAGATATTTTAAAATTATAAAAAAATAAAGATTTAAATAATAAATTTTATTTTTTAATTAATTAAAAATTAATAAAATTATATAATAATTTATATGTAAACTTCATTGCAAACGCGTTGCGTTTTTAAGGTGGCCCCTACTAGGGTGGCCCCCGTAAGGGTGCTTTGACTTATTCGGACATTTAGAGGTATCTTGGTTGTTGGTAAAAAAGAAAATTTCGTCTAGGTTTAGTTCAATCAATCAATCATCTATTATCTGACACCTCTGCTTCCGTTTGCTTGTTCCACATTTGCGCATAGAGTCCATTCCTTGTAAGCAAGTCAACATGGTTACCCCTTTCCACTATCTGACCACCTTGAAGAACAAGAATCATATTCGCTTTAGTTATTGTGGACAGTCGATGTCTGGAGATTGATCAGCTGATGTCAAGAATATAAAATGTGTAAACAGAACTTACGCGATAGTAATCGTTGTTCTCCCCTCAGAAATCTTTTCAAGAGAACCCTGTATCTGTCCTTCCGTCTCTGAATCAAGCGAGGATGTAGCCTCGTCGAGGAGTAGGACACGAGGAGACTTCAGAAAGGCACGAGCAATAGCAACCTATCAACATTAGTGTTATCACCTTTACACGCATGCAGCATGATTGACCTACTCTCTGCCTTTCCCCACCCGAAATCTTAAGGCCTCTTTCTCCCACAATAGTTGAATATCCTTCTGGAAAGCCCAATATTTTCTCGTGAATGCTAGCATATCTACATGCATCATGTACCTCTCGCTCCGAAGCCTCTGGTCTCGCGTAACGGATATTATACATTATAGTATCGTTGAATAATATGGTGTCTTGCGGCACCACGCCTATATGGCTTCGAAGGCTCTCGATGCGTATGTTGCGAATATCTATATCGTCTAGAGTGATCTTGCCTTGGTTGGCATCGTAAAACCGAAAAATCAATTTGATTATAGTCGACTTTCCACTTCCACTTTCGCCAACGATGGCTGTGGACGTGCCAGGTAGGACCTCAAAGGACACATTCTGCAAGGCAGGCTTTCGGTCACCGTATGCAAACGAAACATTTGAAAAACAAATCTTTCCCCCGTGTGAGTTTACATCCACGGCGCCGAGACGATCCGCTACTGTAGATTCCTCTTCGAACTGCGCATCACAATTAGACAGCCTGCAAGGACTCCACTGATAGGTTAATTAAACTCACTAGCTCTAGCATACGCTCGGCATCCACCAGGTTATTCTGTACTTGTGTATAAAAGCTGCCGAAGAAATTTAACGGAGCCTGGAGCTGGGATAAATAGGTAAGAAGTGTTACAAACATGGCTACTTCCCGTAAGTCAATCGAAATCTGGTAAGCGTTCAAATAGCAAACGAGAAGCGTCCCTAAAGTGAAAACGCCATTTTGGACCGCGTTGAGCAGATTGAGTGAGAAGAAAACGTTATACTCGGCGGCTTGAAAGTGGGATATAAACCCTTCGTACCTCGAGATTTCCATGGGGACAGCGCCGCTGTGATGGACGGTCTCGTACGATAATAGGGCATCTGTCCTGCAAACAATAAATATTGGGTTACTCTTCAAGGTTCATCATACTCACTTAGCTGCATCCATCTCCCGATCTCGTCGAACCATTTCTCTCCGAGCACGGCCGCGAAACTTAGCCATATAGATAGTAACATATAAGTAGATCCAGGTGACCGCGATCACCATCAAGGCGTAGAACGCATCAAAGATGAGGAAGAAATAGGCCGCAGCGATCCACAGGTCTGCTACCATCGGGAAGAGCTGAAAGGCAAACCCATCAAGGAAGGTGTTTAATGAACCGCCTTTACTCAGTGCACTCATCACCTCGCCGATCCGCTTGCTGATATGGAAGTCGAGAGAAAGCCTCAACACATGTGCGAAAGCAGCAGAGCTTAGGCGCCGGTACGTTGATTGGCTAATAGGGATCCAGAGGATAGCACGAATCGAACCGATAACACCCTGTTGTCCTTGTAGCCCACGAAACAAGATGTAGAGGAGAATTTCCCTATAGGGAATTTTTCCGGGCCCTAACGAGGCGACTACGGCTCCGATCTGATGAGGGACTAATATGTTGATAATTCGCTGTGCTATGAGTAGAAAGAAACAAAACACTGCCCGAACCTGAAGCGGTTTAGAGTCCGATGGCCTGTAGCTGATTAGTACTAGTTCATACACAATAAACCATATGCATATCTAGGGATTACCAGAGAAATGGAATCAACTTCCGAAACCCGAGAAGATAGTCCAACCAGGTTGTTGTTTGCGCGTCTACGCCTTTTCGATGCCCATCGCTCGCGGTACTCTTCATAGGCCTAGAATTACCTGTATAGTTCCTAGAACTATGAGCTAGCAAACTGTCACTTTCATCTGGAAATGACCTGTTCTCATTATATAACTCCGGTGCGGTTATCCAGTACAAGGCGATTTCCAAGAGTAGCAATAGAATCCGCAAACTCCCGAAAGTAATCACACTGATGTACCATAGAACATGCGAGTCTTGCTTCCGAGATCGCAGCCCGATACTCTGATGTAAACTTGCAGATTCATATGCAAGGCTTATCAGCCACATATGAAAATGAACTAGAGTAACTGAATATGGCATGTCGGCATCAGGTAACAGCCCGGCTAGATAAAAGAGCCCTACTGCTATGTTGGACGACTAGCTTAATGTTAGGTTTGCATGTTATTGATACTGCCCCTGATAAGGTACACACGAGGTAATTCTTGGAATCCCATTCATCGACGTAATTTTTCCTAGCGAGGATGCACATTGTAATGCCAATCGTTCCCAGCTGAGTACATGTTAAAGAAGCCCTGCCACCATCTCATCTAATGGTATACATACTAGGGTTATTATAATCGCACAGTGTAGGCCGAAGAAGTACATGTTGATGCGTCGACTCCTTTTGCTCTCATGGGGAAATATTGCCGATCGTGCCCGGATAGCAGAAAATAAGGAAGAGGCGACGTAGCCAATATACAGGGTGATTGGATAGGTCCATAATAACATTTTGATACTTTGTTATTGTGAACTTTTTAGATGGGAAGGGAGTGAAGGTGCTTGAGTAGTAGCTCACATAAGGAGCGTGCCTTGTTGAAATGCCACCGAGCCTTATATAGTCGTTACGATAGAGCATTGGGCCTCGGTTGCCGAGTCGGCTACCCTCTGCATTACCCCAACGAAACCATTCTTACATGTCTTCCAATAACTACATTATACCTATTTCCTGCACCTTTTCAAGTATCCCGTTCCAGACCCAAACAAATTATACGTGATATCTAGACCTAAACGAAGCTTAAGTATATGATGGATGGCTATGGACTATCTTCAAGAGAAGCCACGAATGTCAACGTGATTTGGCCGCGAATTAGCAAAGCAATCACAGACAGAGAAGATACAGAAAATCTCTCTCTATATATATGAAAACTGCTGAAAATTGGTTGTTCCGGGAGGGACTCATCAGCCTATATAAGACGGTCATTGAGAGCAGGCTGTCTAGCCGAGTGGCTCTCCCAGAATAATGACCCAACTATGTTTACCACTAAGTCTTTTAAAACTCACCTATACGAAGTACGAAGTAGGTTAATAATATTAAGCATCGTAACGTTTTTCTATTTGCTCTAACCCTTGTAACGATATCCTTAATTATCAGCCAAACACATAATTAAAGCGCAGCACCTTTGGGTAATGTTCAACTGCAAATTTCTTCAAATATTTACCAAGAAAAAAAGTGTCGTATCAATTTGATATATTAGCTAATTATATGTCGCTGTTGAGTAGACATTAAACCTTCTAGCGGCCCGAGCATTTCTCAATTATTTACTCTCACAGTTGTCGTCTCCCCTTCAATAGTTGATAGCGCTAGGCTTTCACCAGGATGCTCCTCCGACGAGGTAGAGCGTCTACATGTGAGGATACCGACTATTAGAAAGAGAGCAAAGTAAAATGCTCCGCAGAACATACTAACCCCGAAGTAACCGGCTGGAGATTCCAAAATCGCTCCAGCAATGGGCGGTCCAATCAAGAAACCGACTCCCTGAAACCCTTCAACTAAACCTATTCTAGCTCCAATCGCTTCCGAGTCGGGATCAAGTTGTCGGACTGATGGTGGTATTAAAGAAGTTAAACCACCCACGAGGAATCCGTAGAAAATTACGAAGGCAATTATTCCTGCTAGCGTTTCTATAACCGACCAGCAGAATAGCAGCACGCATGCCCCAAGAATTGTAAATTGCCACGTAATTAGGGGCTTGGAGTAATTGGATATCCATGTGAGAAAAATGCGGCCGAATAAAGATGAGGCATTGATTCCCGCAAGTAGAGAATCGCCTACTGTCGGAGAGAGTCCTAGCTTTCCTTGAACAAAGGTAGAGACAAAGTAGAAGGGCACATCGATCCCCAAATTCAGAAGCAGGGCACAAATACCCAATAACATTAGCTTCCAGTCGTAAAATTCTTCACAGTTGAAAGCTCGTGGCCTTGTGTTTCTTTCCGTATCCCGTGGCACCCGAGGTTTTATGAGTAGGCATGATGCCAGCAAGAAGACTCCATTTGCCAGAGCAAGTGCGCGGCATGCCCATGAGAAGCCAAATTTATTTTCCAGTTGCCTAAATAAGATGGGGTATATTATTCCGCCGACGCTCAATCCTGTCATAGAGATCCCCGTTGGCAGAGCGGCGGCTTTTTCGGGAAAGTAGGCTTGAACCACTGCTTGAGATGGTACGAATAGAGCACCGGACCCCAGACCTATGGTAACGCCAAAGGAGAGAATAATCCACGCGTATTGTCCTGCGAAGCTGGTACATAATAGACCGATAACGTTCAACGCTCCACCGAAATACATTAGGGATCTAATGTAGCCTCTATCGTACAGCGGCCCACTGATGATTCCAATTATACTTGATAAGAAGCCTTGGGTCGTTCCGATCCAGGCAATGTTGGAAGATGAATACAAGTTCAGGAGATTATGTTCGAAATATGATTGGAAAACACCAAAGCTGTTACTCAAGCCGAAAGTACACAGTTGTACGAGGAAGGATGCAACAACCTGGGACCATGCTAACCAGCCGCTATCTGAAGACTCATCTGCTGACATATTTCGCTCGACTACGCTTGGTCTTGTGCCGTGGCTTGGGTCAGCAGTGTCGAGGTCTTAATATGGATCGTGGAAGCAGACAGACTAGAAGCCTTCGTAAATAGGTAACTAGAGAATCCAAACCCAAGCCGTTGTAGTTAAATAAAGACTATGGGTGGTATTTATTTACAATCTTTAGGTGGAAAACATAGTAACGGCTCTAAACTGGGAAATTTTCGTTTTAACTCAGTATCATACAATTATAAACAGTCTCGCAACTGAATAGAACCAAGTGAATTGGGCTTTGAATGGCTTAAAGAGTCATTAATTTTATTTCTAGGCAGCTGCTGTATTTACATTAATACCTCCTTCAAAAGGTTACTCAAAGGGTCTACAGTAGCAGTCACGGGCATTTATTAACGGAATAATACTTATCATTGTACTCCTATATCAGAACATGGCCTGATTTTACTGTTATGGAAGACTGGCAGGCGCAGTAAAAGATAATAAAGGAGATGTTGGCCTAGGGGTAAAGGGCACAGAAAGACTATCGCTAACAAATTTAGTATTACCTTTACTAAGAATCACTTCACAGGATCAACTGCAAGTTCCCGTTACTTGGTAGTGAGTTAACAAATTGCGTGGGAAATATGAAGATAAACTACCACGGATATTTCCTTACTCTATACTGATATATGTTGACTAACCTATTTGCTAGAAAGACACATGTCTTGCGCCAAATTAGGATCACTAATATTGAAAAGGGGGTAATTAGTTTATGATACACTGCATTGTTGAATTGACTGCAACCTCCTAAATATGTGGTCGAAATAGTTCACACAATCACAATATTTTGAAATTCGCTTATGCCTTCTTGAAATGCGTCAATGGCTGTGATGTGTACACAGATTTGTCGGAATTCCACAAGGCGCGCTTGAAACGACTCCCAGCTAGGTTTCATCCATTCGAGAATAGCAATCCTAGATTTGACCATGTTGTAGAAGGTTTCTGTCCCTAGAGTTATTAGAGGGTCGTGAAGGGAACGTTTCGACGTTTCAGCCGAGCTCCTTATGAAATGAGTGTATAACCTCCCTAATTGAACGCGCTCGGCTAAACTTAGCTCCCCATCTTCGCCCTCGAAATCTATCCCGGGAACATAGCAGCTAAAGAGTTCCTGCTCAAATTCCACTTGATATATTATATCTATTGCCAACCTTGTTAGAGTAGATACCAATAACGAGAGTGATGCGCAAGAATTAGGAAGGTCGAGTCTTGTAGCGATCTGAGATTCTATGCCGTAGGCATATTCGTAGCAGTCAATTGAGCATGCTACATCGGGGTGATCATTCACATTCTTGGACAATGATCCCCTTTCAATAGCCGCGAGAACTTTCGCGATCTTGTTCCAGTCAGACCACATTTGGCTCAACTTGTTCATCGAATCCATACAGGTCCCGATGGCATCAAGGGCCTTCCAGGTGGTATGTCGGGTCCAGAATTCAAGCTGTTCTGACATTATAACACATACGCGTTTAATGTATTCGACATTACAGCCTCTAGTTGCAGTAACCTTCCATCCTGAACCAGTTTTCCAGAAGGCTGATTTCCCAATTTCATATTCGAAGTACCTAGTAAGAGGTGCTATCATTCGCAAGTTACTAAGACTCGCGTCTCGATATATGAAGTGGGATATTATATGTATTCCAAGTCTACTTTCAGCAAGATCAACCAGAAATTCCATAAATGACTGGTCGAACCCATACGATGCATGAAGGTGGTTGCTGTTACGTTCCTCGCTGGAAGTATTTATGTCGACGGCGTTGGCAAATGTAAGGGTGTGAAGGATCGCCGGTAAATCTAACCGGGTAGTTCTTACAATGCTTTGACGAAAGCCCACTCGACACGTACCGATCAGACTATAATCGTCGCCAGTTGAGTTTCTTCGTAGGTGTAGATATGAACTGCAACCCGGGACATACATCACTACGTCAACTCCGGCAGTCGCGGGGATTTCTGTTCTGATTAACCACTCGAAGTCGCACTCGAGACCTGGGAAGGAAATCTTTTGAATAAAGTCGTAGTGATTGATTTGGTAGAATGACTCGAGACTTGTGACAACGTAGCTTTGTATGCTTAAGGCTCCTGTATGCGCATTGACACGTGATAAAGCGCTGGGTATCCTTTCAATATCGCATTCCGTCAATGATTTTGAGAAGTGTCGAATACGAAGTGATTTCTCAGGACTAGTCGTAAACAGCGTCCAAGTAGTTTGGCTGCCGACGAGCCATACGATGTTTTGAGTTGAGTTTCCCTTCCTAGAGAGACTATGAGAATATTCCAGTTTGAAACTATCTTCGTCGCCTTCATTGCGAATATTAGGCTCGTCCTGATCTGATATCGCAGACTGTTCCACTCTAGTAGCAACGTCGGATACAGATACGCCGTAGATCGTATTATTCTCACAGTCTTCTAACGGTATCTTGACTGGACGGTAAATAGACCAGTCTGGAACCCATGTAGGAAGCGAGTTCGGTGAATGGCCCTTAGGATATAACAAGATCTCGGTCTTACCGTGGCGGAGAATAAGATATGATGCAATACCAATGTAAACCTCTTCTTTTGATAAGAGGTAGTCTGGAGCTAACCCCTCGAAGATACTATTGCGTAGGAGGCCAAGCACGGCGAAAACATTATCTCTAGGGTCAGAAGCTTGGCAGCTTGAAGTGGCATCTAATAGCTGCAAAAGACCATCCAGCTCACTCGTTCTGTTGTTATTTCCTTGACCATATTCTAAAAGCCAAGGTACGTTGTGAGTGTAGCGGTAGGGTACTTTTAGGTCGCTAAATGAGGTCCAAGAAATGCTTTTATCCCCGCAGTAGAGAGTAACCTTTCTAGCCATAATAATCTCTTGGATGACCCAGACGCGGGAGAAGTACCGTCTTTTGAAAAGGCGCTCGAGACCTAGTTTCTGAGAACTGCTTAGATCGGGTTCTGCTGCTCCAGAAAGCATATTTAACGCATACATTGCATCGTTGCTGTCGTCTGCAGTAGGTCCTATATACACAAGGACTTGCGAAGCTTTGGAGTAAATATCACGCATTATAGAGACTTGATGCGACCGTTCGTAAGGGTCTTCCTGGTCGATACAAATAGAGTCAACCCAAATATTTAAATGGCCCTTAGAAAGTAGAAGTCGTAAGGCTGAATCGCAATTCCTAGTGATGGGAATTATGTCCCAGAATGCTCCTATGAATATTGACTTTGATTTGTCGTTGTTGTTGGTTTCTCCTGCCCAACAATATGACAGTGCTTCAAAGGAGTGAGTATTGGTTAAATCGGCAACATCTAAGTCGCCGTGGAGATAATCATTCGAGAACGAAGTAGAAAGCCTGAGAAGTCGAATGTCGTATTTTTGAGCTAAAGAGGGATATAAATTCCCATCGGAACGGAACCTAATAGCGAACCTATTCTCTCCAAGCCATAAATGACTTGACTTTGGTATACCGGTATGGCGTGTTCTTAAATATTTTGCCGAGACTTTGCATTCCGGGCCATTGCTACCCCTTTCCCCGTCAGTGGAATATTGAACCGACAATGGCCACCGGAGGTCTAGAGACTCTGGAGAATTTCTTTGACAACTAGATGAAGTTGAAAGACAGGGTATTTGGAAAGTTGATAACTCTACTGCCGAGTCACAGCTTGAGCAGAAAAGCACGTCGTCAACCAAGTATATATCAGGCCTTCGACATGTTGGACGGTGCCAACGGAACATATTGATGACGGGAAACAAAGAAAGAAAGTAATAATGCTATTTCATATAATTGATTGTCTTGAGTTTCGTATCATAGAATTAAAGATGGAGAAGAAAGTATCAGGTGTTAGGTATGCTTGGTTATGATACTAAGGTCTACGTGTGTAATGGAGTTTTAATTGAGTTGAAAGGCTGTAGCTATGCGCAATGATTATACTGGAATATCACTTGTATAGATATAGTAATGCACAGAGCCTACGTACTGCCTAGGTCAAAGAGGCAGAGATGGATTATGTAGGGTGTAAGATGTGGCATGTTATCAAATGGACGGCGGAGTAAAACGCATATATGTGGCGATGAACGGCTTTAATAGCACTTGTGCTTATAACAGGTTGACAGGTCTTGAAATCGTAGCCGGATTAGGATTAGTTGATGACTGGATCAACGAATTACTGCCACCAAGTGAAGTAATAGTGGAGATGAACATTGAAGTACATCGAAGCTTGCCTAAGAGATGCATGCTTAGAACCATGGAGATTGCATCGCCACTCTCTCCATACTACCCCGTCGACATTAATTAAATCCGTGTCAAGAAGTATGGGCAAGGCTCTCTGTAGACTAGTTACTTTAAAAAAATTGTTAGCAATATGATCATTTCCATATTTTCAAGTTGTGCTCCCATACATTCATTCGGATGTTAATACATCGAATATTATAGTCTACCTACCTACTTTTTAAACAACTGCACAGTACTTTAACGATGAATATCCCTTAAATATGTATTTTAACTATTTAAACCAACCCTTTTTCATTTGCCTAATCGGTATAAGGCAAACTCGGAATTATGTATCAGGTAATTAAAAGGTAGTTAACTGCTATTTTTTATTGGATTTTGAACTATCTCAGATAATTTGCCTTAGATAATCGTGTTTAATATAAAATATAAATTACGATAAGCGTGTGAAGTGTGTTCGGTGTCCGCAGCATGGTGCACGATAGTCCATCTTTATTATAATGCGGCTATAACGCCAACAAGCCCCGCTGCCGCCGCTGCAGCTAATGCGAAACCCGTCTCTTGCGGGTATGCTGCTCCCGCATCAGAGCTGGATGTAGAAACAGAAGACGCCTCAGATGAAGATGCGCCGGAAGTCTCTGTTGTGGGCGATTGGGTATCGGATCCTGAAGTCGTAGGAGAGACAACACTGGTGATGCTACTGATTACTGTATCCGTTTGAATAGTGGGAGAAACTGAAGTATCGGTCTGAATGGAAAGGGAAACGGACGTGTCGGTTTGAATGGACAGGACTCCGGTTGTGCCCTGGTCGGCTGCGGAGCTTGGAGACTCAACGGGTCCTCCGGGGTTTGATGTTTGGCGCGGTTTCACGTCGCGCTCTGCCTCCTTGATGGGTTCTGGGGCATAGGTTGCGGATGCTAGACTACTTGCTAAGGCAAGTGTAGTAAAGATGAATTTCGTATACATGACGATTCGTTTTCCTATGGTTACAGTGTATAATACTGGTGAGATAATTGATGATTAAAGACAAAAACAGTAAGATAGGTGACTGCCTCTAAATATATCTTATATTCGAAATAGTTGCCCTTCCCATCGTGATCCGAATTCGTGATGCGGGGATCTTGAGGCGACACCGATTGACGTATGGGGCCATACTAACATGACGTCGGCGTAATCAGGGGTTAGGGGTGACTGGTTACCCACGATTCGCAATTAAAAGGTTGCGGGGTTTGATAGGATGGTTGAAATAATGAATTCCGGGGTAACACGGATGATTGCTCAACTACCTCACAGCTCTAGCAGCTGAAAGGTTACCTCGGTCCGTACCTAGGTTGCATCGATTTAAGGAGTTGCCATCAACAGCTTAAGCTGTGTCTATCATGGCTTAAACTATCGATGTTGACGTATGCACAGCAGAATCTAGGCGTTTCAACTAAGGTGAATGTGGAAGATACCAGAGAGATAATTGGATGTAAAAGGAATACAGTATGCAATGCAATACGAGTTTATAATCCGTACTAAACACATAGATAATAGGCACCTAACTTCCATGGAATAAGATCGTCAATAGGTAGAAGTAGCTTATGTCTTTGCTAGCGTAAGAGAGTTAGGGGCAGGATATAATTAGTTGATGTTCAGAATCTCTCATCGCTACATTAGGTACAGTACTACGTCTAAATGTTGCTTAAGCTGTGGTTTTCCCAAAGTAAATTCCAACAGTCGAAAATACAAAATATTTCATGCCATGGAATAGCATATGACACCTGCGCTTCCGCTTCCAAAGCTGGCGGTCAGGCGGTTTGCATACCTATGTATTGTTTATCGATCCTCCAGTTTCGTGTTGATACAGTATTTAAATCGAGTTCAAACTGTATACATCTTTCGCCGTGTCAACCGTCACGGGCGTCTGCAGTCATCTTCAAACAAACGATCTTGATCGTGTTAGTTGGCACAGATACTGACCAATCCCCAACTCAGCCATACTTAGGCCATTAAAAGATTGACCGAGGTTGTTATAAATCCTATTGGTTTGGTTTCAATAGAAACTGAGGTAGTTGAACGGGCGGTGCCGTAGTTGTAATGGATTATTAGGTACCTAATTCGTGTTATATTCGTTGCAAGCCCCGCAACACATCCGTTACCTTACCTTAGGTACCTCCTTGATATATTCTTTATCGTGTTCTCACCTTGAGCGCCTCTTAAGGTAGATCTCTGCACTGCTCTCTCCACTAATGCGCAAGACTATAGAATATCGCTCAAAGTTTTCAACGCCAATGCTCTAAATACTCTAAAACTCTTCGCAATATGGTTCTAATCAATACTTGGTAATCCGAATTGACATTGAACCATAAATGTTACGCCTCAAAAGATAAGTTCACAAGATAAGTTTCCATCTCTTCTGTTCACGACGCATATGCTCTGCCCCGTTGGCGTTATTATGACACACATCTCGCAATAACATAAAGTCTTTTTCAATTCCACTAGCATGAATGAAAGACCTGTATGCATAATTCGACGTCCTCGGCCTATCCAATATATACTACACTTAATATGAGTTTACCGGCGGCCAATAATCTATTTAAATTAAGTCGGGTCGCGATATAAAACTCGATGACCACAGCACGTTTAATGATTTCAAATAGTCTACCTAACGTAATCAGAATAGGTGTTTGGAGAATAGGTATTGCTACATAGCTGAAGTAGACCCTGTCGTTATTAATGACGCGTCTGGATCGAACTTAGGAATACAAGGCTGCAGATATTTCACAAAGGCCTGGCCTAGCCCTGGCTATCCGGAGAAGCTATGCACCCCATTTTGTCCTGTATCGCGCCACTATATGTAAAGATGTAATTAGAGGTAACGTGGTAGGTAGGTAGGTAGTTACTCTTCCGATAAAGAGTAAAGATATAACATTGAAAATATTACTACTTGACCGGTCGTTCATTTTGACCTTCTAGCTCTTGAGAAATATATTGTTGTTACATCTAATATTATTGTCCGTGCCGTAAGTTAAGATTCAACAGTTAATAGACAAGCTATCCGAACAGCAAGTTCGGATATTAAGCTTGTTCAGCCGCACATGACGCATTCCGCGCGACGAATTGCGTTGTTTTTGAGCCAAGACCCGATAACCTTACCTACGTGTCAGCAGTCAAGTATACATACTGCCACTAAGAGATGGCAGTATATCATTAGCTTTATTCAAGTATCGATTATAAAGACGATAGAACCGTGCTCTTGTAAAAGATCTGTGACCTCTCCTATATAAGCATGGGTTTGATTCTTTGAATACAGCACATGTCCTCTAGTTATTTTCAGTAAAGGCTGTGTGGCGCCAGGACAATGCAGCAACGTGTACTTGAGCAAGACCCAATTGAATTCTGAGAGATGTGGTCGGGCGTTTATAACGAAGCTCGTCGGGCTCCATGAATAAGTCGCCCCTCGTTCCCCGATTCAAATCGGTGTCTCAATCGGGTCCGATTAGTTGATCGTGGCTGTGCGACACTCATTGCTTTTTCTTGGCTTTCCTGGTGGCTTGTTCGCTTATACATATACCTCTTATTAATTCTGATGTCCTTCGCGTGATGCTCTCCGCCGACTCCGGCCAAAAGGGATGCCCCAGCGCCAGCCAGCTGAAAGGGCTGACACTTTAAGCATACGTCAACTTAGTTTAGTTCAAATCACCCAGTCTTCGCCCGGAGAGTGAATCAAGTATTTCACTCCCCCATTAATCTTTTCTCATACTTTCATAAATTAGCGCGCCAAGGAATTATGTAGTTAGCATCATGAGGCCTCATATTTGTTAGGAAGTATATGGTCATCTACAAACCCCCCATTAGCTGTTATTTATCTTCGATTTATTCTGCCGCCAACGTCTTCTGGTGGAAAAATAGTAGTTGTATGCAATATTCTATGATGTATTTACTCTATAACATATTATGGCTATCCATCCAGCATTTACATTTGGCCAACGGCCAACTGGGCATTCGCAACTCGTCAACCGACCTCGTTCCTATCTATCAGCCTTACTTCTCGAACCTGAGACAGAATCCTGCAACATTTAATCCTGCCCTTGGTGGACAGGACTGGGGGATGTGTTGCAACTTAGTTGTTAACGAAAGCCTCGTTATCGAAAACAATACACTCTATATTCGGGCTGGGCAAACCTTTTTCACGGGCACAATAAATGATCTTGAAGAGTTTCCTAGGTTTCCCTGCGGCGCAAAATACAACGGAACTTTATCGGCGCCTCATCAACAATTTTGGATGCCTTACTCGTGGTGTTACAACCATTGCCCCGGATGGCCTGTTACAAAGGCGAACGATCTCGGAAAATGGCTGAAACCCCTGATTGCGTTCATACTACCGTCACTCATTTTTTGCCTTAACGTTCCTCGTCGCCGCCGCCTCGAACTGCCGACTAGTTTATTCTCTGGCGGATCTATCGATATATCAAGTCTCCCTCTGTTTATTCTTAAAGTCCCTCTTACTTCATTTATTGTTACACTTGACATTAAGTTAAAATACCCTTACAAGGGCCACCCTAATAGAGGCTACCTCAAAAACGCAACACATTTGCGATAAAATCTATATACAAATTATTATATAATTTTATTAATTTTTAATTAATTAAAAAATAAAATTTATTATTTAAATCTTTATTTTTTTACAATTTTAAAATACCTATTTTCTTAACTTAATTGCGTTATGTTGCGGTAATAAATAACGTTTTTAATAGCACATCTTTACAATAAACGTTTAAAAAATATTTTATATTATAATATTATTTTATAAATTGAATATTAGGTTATAAAATATAAAATAACTATTTAAAAAAACGTTAAAAACTATTAAAATATTAAAAAAAAATTAATTGATTAAACCGTTATATTAAACCGTATTAGCTATATGCCTCTTTTATATCGATTTAAAAATATTATAAGAAAATTATTAGCTTATAATTATTAACTTAATATTTTCGATAAATACTAGTATATACAATTTTTATTTTATTATCCTAATATTAAATCAACTAAGGTTTATTTAATTAATTATAAATAAATTAACGAGATTATAATTAATAATATTAATATTTTTTTCAATCGATTTAAAACCCTTAAAATTAAAAATATTTTGGTTAGGTATATGTATAGCGCTAATAAAATAAAAATTATAAAAAAAGTTAAAAATAACAAAATAATTATTAACAAAATTTATAAAAAATATATTATAATTAAAAATTATAATAATAAAATTTAAATATTAATTATTAAATATATTAATAATAATAATTAATCTTTAAATTTCTTTATTATATATATAAATAAATATATATAATAATAATAGTTTTTTAATAATAAAAACATTAAATTTAAAGGTTAAAAATTCATTACATTTCTTAATAACTAAATTAATAATAATATCGCACTTAAATAATTTTATAAAATTTTTTTAAAAAAAATAAAGCTATTAAATTGTTAATAATAACAATTATTAATTCTTAATAGCTATAATAACTATACTATAATAAAATTCCTTTAAAAATACTTTATAAATAAAATTTACATTATCTTTATTTTAATATATTTATTATACGTTTTATAAATTATTAACGTAAGTATATTTTTATTAATAAAACAAAACTATCGTTATAAATTTATTAAAATATACTAATTATATTATATTTTTAATTTTGATAAAAGAAAATTTATTATAGCTTATTAAATAATATAAAAAAAACGTTTAATCAAACATAATATATTAATTAATTAAAAGGTTATAAAAATCTATCCTAAAAATCGAAATAAATTGTTAAATTATTAACTTATATTCCAAAAAATTTTCAATATTATCCCGGCCTTTCCAAATCTTATTTCTAACTTAAAAAAACTTAATTTTATTAAAAATATAGCCCTAATCCCTTTAACAACACCTTAAAATTCATAAAATATTAATATTTTAGCCAAAAAACTATCCAAAATTAATATAACGTTTATTAAACCTGTAATAAAACTTTTATTTAATAAAATTAGTAAGATTTTTAATAAAATTATTATAAAATTAACCATAATAAAAGCCTACGCCAAATATTTAAAAAAAATATTAATAAATACAAAATTGTAAAAATAATATAAAATATTACCTAACTCAAATTTGACGTTTATAAATATTAAAGTTATTATAAAAAAAGAAAAAACAATTAAAAGCTTAGAAATTAAATAATATAATTATAATTAGTAATTCTAATATCAATTTAAAAAATAAAATCTTATTAATTAAGTTGATAGTAAAAGACTATATTGTTATTAAAATATAATAAATTGTAAATTAATTAAATTTAATTTAATTAAATAACGTTAAATTAAAATTAAGGTACTTATTTTAAAGGTTTAAAAATTTGAAGTAGCCCCCACTAAGGTAGCCCCCGTAAAGGTACTTTAACTTATTATTTGGACATGCGTCATGTTCTCAGTGGCTAGTCCAATAATCACATCGGGTATTTATGAGGCCCTTCTTGATGCTCGAGTCTTGTCGTATCTAGAAAGTCGAAGTAAAGAAAACTCTCTTTCTGCCAAAGAGAAAGCTCATACTCTACTTTCGATCTTGATAGGCAACCTTGATATTCAAGCTTGGCACTCGAGTAGCCTATTCGTACACAATATTCCTGGAGGCGTCTTTCGAAGAAGGCCCAGCGCTCAGCTCACGAAACCAAATATCGATTCAAGGATAGAAGTTCCACGCCCATTAGACTTAATTACTCCAAGCCACTCCCATAGTGCCAGTACCTCGAATACATCAACAAAAATCGCTACGACAGGAAGGTTTAAACAGTCATCGTATAGTATTCAGCAACGCCGGAGTATTATTGCTACTAAATGGCGCTTATTAGCTATGTTGGACTCACAAATCAGCTTTGGTACTTCAGTCGGCGCGCCAGTTCTTTTTTATATTGCATCGTTTATCTGGTCAGTCTATGAAGTTCGCGAAGAACTAGGTTCCTAGTAAGTTGCTAGATGGCATTTCGTTCATGATCCTAGATACGCTTTTTATCTTTAAAACACTAACATCTAACAATAGTGTCACAGCACACCAATTAGCTGCTGGGATGTTCTGGATGACGATACCCCATGTCGCTCTTGTTAGCTGTCTTCTCCTTGCTGGGAACAACCCGAATATATGGCAAAATGCTGTCGCCGAGTCCCTACTCATTTCCGACCCCTTTACCCCTATAGATTCCATGAGATTGGCAGACACCGATTTAGAATCTGATCCCGGTGGGGTTCGGAATCTTCATAGCTCAGAGTTTACTTCGAAAGATCCAAGAGCGATCAGATATACCAGATCGATTGTATCTAAGTTGGCGAACCGCATTTTTGAGTTGGCTTACAAGGAGTCCAGATTCAAGCCAGCGTGGATGTGGAATAGGGGATCCAATAAGGCCATGTGGATCACGAAACTTGGTGACGAATACCCATATCTTCGAGGAATGCGGGAGGAAGTACTAGACAGAAACTTCAAAAAGGATCTCTGGACCTCAGGCTTTTATGGATTTACCCTTTACTTCGTACCAACATTCTTCAGCGTACTGGTCAGGTATTGTCTTAAGGTCTATCCTGTATATTTATTTTTGCTAACTATGTCCAAGCTATACTACTCCTCGGCCTGGTTTCGGCTGCCGTTCCCTTATCGTGTTTGCCTACGGCATATCGCAACTGATCCTTCAGCTTCTGTGGTTGCTGCGGTGGTACTTCTCTAAGCGTGACACGCGCGGTAACCCTAACAATACATGGTATACGGTAATAAAGTCAACTTCAATCTACTTATGGTACTTGATATTTTTATTTGCAATATTTATTGGAACTTTCACTAGTATTGGGGGAACAAGTAAGTCAACTAGGCGAAGATATACTGGCTCCAGTTACCATGAGTGACACTAACATTGACGTAGTATTTGTACTTACAAATGTCTTAACTAATTGCTTCTGTGCGATTCCGGTATGTCAACCTAAGCGTCTAAAAAGGGTGATTCTAATCAAATCACTCTACAGGCTAAGTACTGGCGAGACCGCTGGACAAATCCCGAAGCGCTTATATTCGTCGATGACTCTACGTGGGAACAGTTATATTACGCCGAGAAGTGGTGGTTTCCAGCTGGCGTCATTGGTGTTGTTTTCATGACTATTGTTGCCTACATCGGATGGTGGTATCAAAGGAGTCTACGCCAGCGCTACTATGACTTGGTAAGTAATATTGACCACGTTAACGACATTGAATTTGAAGACGAAGAAGTATCCGATATCGATATTTATCATATCAGGGAAGATACCATTAATACTATCCATAATACCTAATAAACGGGATACAGTTTCCAGGATGAAGGGAATAAACACCATTTTAACTATTATATTATATGTTGCAAATGAAGTGTTTTGAAGTATGTATGGGGACTTTATAGCATAATACAAAGAACTGTTTTGCTATCTGAATCCTGTCATTAGTGAGGTACCTCTTATTATCGTATCTAGAAATGCATGTTCAAGAAGTCTAATGAGAAATCCGGTATGGCTTGGGATAGATATACCAATTGGATACAGGTTTCGTGCTAACGTTGCATATGCTATATTAAAAGTAGACATTTTACTAGTTATTCTCAGCAAGCAACTCGGCCCAAGCGGCTTCTAGCTGCATAATAGACAAATTTATTTCTCTTTTCGGTCATGGAAACCTTAAAGATCATTCATCGCTTGTGATATTTTCCACTAGTTTCCGACCACTCGGGGTTGAAAAGTGCTAGGATTCCAGAACATAGCATACCTACTTTTAGTATATATAGATATAAGCTCCCGTAGTTAACTTAGGGCACCTCGCAGAACAACGAATCGTTTTCCTTATATCTTGCTCTACCTCATAAGATAGTTTACATAAGGCTTTAGAGACTCAAAACTATAGTTATTAACTATTGAGCGCAGTGTGAGAGAACATCCAAGTTCCCTTAAGTTATATAACTCTAGACTGTATTTGTCTTTATATTCATTTGGTTAATATGATATTTAAGTAGTTTCTTCAATACCCCTTCAAGAAGATCTTGTTTAACTCCGGAGTCCTTAAATACTATTATAGCCCTTATATGGGATAATCGGCTTTTTTAAGGGAAAGGAACAAGATTATATTTAACCTAACTCGTCACCTTATTATTATACTAGATGTATTCAATTGATCAATGGGAGGTCCATTCATTACATCTCGATTTCTCCCTTCACCTTAAATTCTTCGACATAAACATAACTACCTCATAACTCCGTCTCTATAAGGTTAAAAATCGCTTATATATTAAGGTGTTCAATTATATATCACTAGTATAATAAAGAAGGGGGTTATGTTGCATGTTTTAAAACAATTCCCTCTTCTACGAATATAAACAAATGATTCACCTTACCCTTATAATATATACTCTTACTAAAAAAAATAGCTGGAATTTCACTTATCAGTAATAGTACGCAACTTTACTTACTAGGATCAGTTAAAACCCTTTAACGGCTTAGTTGTTTATCGGTACGAGAGTTAAAGCATTCGAGTTTACTTAAGGCCATCGAATAAGAAAAACTCAAAAAAGCGCAAGGAAAACACCAAAGATAATTTGCCTTAAGAAGGATCACAGCTGATAAATGAATCTATTGGAGGTTTCATTATATGATATTAACTAGTACTTTTAATATATTAGAACTTGTCTGCCCCCTGAAAGATATCTAAGCTAAGTCCATAGGTAAGAAAACATCATTAAGAAAACCACTTGATTTTTACATAACCTCTATTACTCACCTAACTAATATACAAAAACAAATTTCTTTAGTATTTCTCAAGTATAATCATTACCTGGATAGTTACCGTTATAGGTGGTAATCTTGGTTGAGCCAAGGTACTCATATTTGAGACTTATTAACTTCTTACTCCGTTATTCAATGGTTTTAAAAATAATACGCGAAGAGAATTAACGGTATCATTACGGCTATCATAGATACTGGAGCCTGGCTACCTATGTACCCTCTCACGATGTATATTAATCTGACATCCATATTATGCTGTCATCCTATCCGTGCCATCAACACCTATGAATATACGCCACTCTCCCACCATCGGGATTCCTGTTTGTGTAATTATGAATCCTTCCGCTTACCGTTTCTTTGTTTCTCCGGCTAATATTGGTAAGACTGTATGCAGTCTCCAAGCAGATATGTATACGGTAGGCGTTTATTTGAGAATCCTGCTGTAGGTAGTTACCTATTTGTAAAGACATTATTTGCTCAAGGACCCGTTCAATTGATAGTTGACGGCATATAGATTGCACTATCCGCGGTTACATCTGTATTTTCCCGCTTCAACACACCATCAGTACGAAAGTGTTAAGATCCTTCGAGTGGGTTTATCAATCGTCGTCTGCTGAGATGCACTTCGTAAGACGATCTTTGGGCTTATGCAAAACATACCGGTTGAGACAAGATCGGCATAGCGCAAAAAGAGATTGTTGTAATATAAGCATGTAGGTTGTGCGCTAACTGAACGAAAGCCGGCTGTTAAGATCAATTTAGATGCAGCCTTATGCCTTATCTTGCCGTCAGTGAAACTACAAAGGGGTAGAGTAGTGCATATATGATCTAATACAATGGATAAGTAAATGTAATTCGATAAGATATCACAAAAGTTTACATATATAATAAGTACAGAGCCACCGAACTAGAAAAGTACGAGGCTTATAATCACCAACACCATAGCTGAGGTTATTTGGACTGGGTGCCGCGTTATCATTGTGATAGAGATGTAATGTGTCACTTTATAAATATGTCAGGTAGACACCACCAGCAGATGCAAGCTTGACATATTTCAAATAAACAGTCGTTTTCTGCTCGTGAGGCACCAGTCTACGTCGAAGAGGACCAATTTGAGTTAACCCGAAGGATTCGCTCTTGTAACTTTTCATATACGTTCGTGGCGCAATTGTCACATTGGGTAGCTTTCGGAACAGGAATTGGCCCCCAAATGACTTACGTCTTAGATTCTCCACATATGCCAAACATGAGACCTGATATGATGTAGACAATATAAAGTGTAGTCGCAAAATCACCGAGATAAAGTCGCAGAATCACAAAGAGGTACTTGCAGATCCTAAAAAGGAAGAAAATGCGAATTAGGCTTGTTAGTTACATACCTAGGTAGAAGTACCTACCTACCTATATATTATGGTAGTACTGATTCATACCTTACTGCGTGACTTTATGCGTGGCGTCGTGTTAACCCTGAATTTTATCAAATTGAACTTTATATGTCATCTCTGTCTCTAATTCTGCACCGCCGGGGACCTAATGTAACCGGTAATGACCAGTAATGAAGTAGAAATAAGCATTATGATTTAGAAGCAATGCTTACGCCTCAAATCCTCCGGGGTTCCCCTGCAAAGGCCTTGTAAAATCCTGCTAAGCTACCCGTGACGCCACTTTTCTATGTAGCCGGTGTGCAGTCTTACATTAGATAGGTACCTAGGTTAGGTACATTACCTGGTAGGTAGGTACCTATCTTGATGGCAACCCGACCCCTCTAGTCGTGGCCCGTGCCCAACGCTGCTAGAAGGTTAACTCGGGGCTGATTATGTCCTGTCGCATATAATAAGTAATGACATTTTATGACATTACAAGTTACCTTTTGGTCAAGTGGATAATCTGACATGTCCCAACTGCCGGGTCGTAGCCACGGGCTAACGGTGTTCATTAGGTACTTAGAAGATATTTGAAGGTTTGAGGGGAGAAATATGCGAGGTAGGTAGCTATAATATTTGTATGTACTACTAGTTCCGAGATTGATAATTCTCATATTTATTTCTCGTTACACTAATAGCCTGCTCAATTCATAACATTGAAGCTCAACGTCAATAACTAGAACATCATAATTTGGGTCCGGCCCATCCAACTCATTGTCTGTGCGTAAAATCCCGTAGACATATAACTCACATATGTACCTAAATCTTAGTACTATTACAATACATCACCTTGAGCACGTAAGATTCTTATACCACCACAACGTCATGACGGACATGAATCCCAGCGTGTTGAGTATGTTCAATGCTCTCTTCAGTCCCTGCAAACTGCGCCGTTGCCTTGGTTTGTGTAAGGTACGGGTTCGCATTTGAGAGGCTTCTAGGGTGTTTATGAAGGGAGTCAGTCGACCGTCTGACAAGTTCATCTCCGTCTTCATCGTGAAACGGTCGATGATTGCTTGAAAGTCCAGTCTTAGAGTGACGAGAACGAGTGCTGAGAAGACTCCAAGCACCATCGCGGTAAGCTCGTTGGGCTAGGAAAAAGATACTCGGGAGGCTGACACTGATGATGGATATGGCGATCTCCGAACCTAACCAGAGAATTGGTGTAGAAATCTTGTCTATGTATGGATTATTAGGCAGAAAATTGAGTATAATTGGTAGGTAAAAGAGTCTTACATGTCGGATCCTTTTCAACCTCGTCGCCGGCTTGAATAATGGTGACAAGGCGGCCGATAGATACCACAACGACGCTATGGACTTGTGTCAGTTATGTAGGAGGGTATAGGGATTGCCGAGTCGAGAAAAATGGAGAAAAGAGCAACTCACAGGTATCCACATACGAAGACACCTAAAATTTGAATTTTACGTATCGTCTTCATATGTAGTTTCCATAACATCGGCAAGGGCATCACCAGGATAATAATGTCGATAATAAGACTGGTTATACCGCTACCCATCCAGAAGCGGCCAGTGTTAAGACAATGACCTTCTAATGTGGTATCCCAGGCTTTTGCGATGGGAGTGCACATGAATGTAACATCTAGCAAGATCGTGACGAGCCATATGACGTTCATAGCATGCACTATCCATAATGCATACTTGAACCGAGAATTCGTCGAACCGAAAACGCGAGCATAGAAGAATAGAGCTGAAGACTTGGACACAGCAGTCCCCGTGTCAAAAATGTAGTAGACAATCCAGAGCAACTTCAGAAACGGCTCGACATTTCCTGGTGGTATTACTTGAACATGAAGTCCAAGACCCAGGTCAAGTAACTTTAACCCAATTATACAGACTGCGATATTTAGTACCTAATACTAATTAGCCATAGTTAGGTACCGCGTGGTCAAAGCCTTATAGGGGCCCCTACCGCACCCGCAAATGCCGTCCAATCGTCCCACCAGAACTTGTTAGGGGTTTTTGACATGGTAGACACTGGCATTAGAGCCCGAGACCAGGCGCGAATGAGTACCACTACTGTTGGAACAATCATCATGGCGATGAGAAGCTTTCTCAATTCGTCTTGTTTGGTGTCATTAGGGTTAAAATCGGGTTGAGTTTCCGCTGAAGACATTCTGGGGATTGAACTCTCATTGACGAACTTGTGGTGATGGGTAGCCTATTGGAGATATTATGGTGGGGGTAATGGAAGAAATCAAGAGAAAAGGTGTTGAGAAAATAACTGGCTGTCAAAATAGCAGGACTATTGGAGGATGTGGTTTATACATAACACCATTAACTACGATTCCTAATACAATCATGATTATATAACCTATAAGAGGCTGATGCTATATTACTGTACCTTCAATTAAGAGGTACCTTATGTATGTAACCACCAGGGATTGTGCTATCCGATCAAGAATCAAACCCCGAATGGTTTGAGGGCAGTTGATTGGAGGGACCGTATACGCCTCTACCAACATGTAAGGTAATACAACATGAAGTACAATGGTTAAGGGCTGATTCATATGAATATTAGCTATGAAGAGTGAAATCTCAAGTTCATAGATATCCCTGCTTGTTTGCTTTTCAGAATGACACCAATACCTGGTACATTAAGTACCTACCTTCCTGGATACCTATCCTACAAGCAGCCTAAGATGACAAGCATACGGTGTCTTAGAGTACCTAGGTATTTATGGACTGGTGATACGTATAAGTTCTTTACTGCACAATGTTCTCGTTCTTCCCCCTGTAAGGTTCTCACTAAGTCGTTACAATCATTTCTATAACGAAAGCACTCAAGTTGACTTCACTATGTCCGTTCTAGAGAAGGTTTCCTCTTCCCAGCTCGAGCCCTCGCGGGAAGAGCAGACGGAGGTGAAAGCTCAAAGTTCAATCACGGATGCGGAGACTGCGAACAATAAGCAATCCTCGGCCGGAGATCCACCAGTTCGAAAACTGAAGCCCATGTCTTGGTTCTTCGTTGTATTTTCCTTGCTGGCTGCCCTATTTCTCTTTGCACTCGATAACACCATTGTTGCCAATATCCAAGAAAACATCATATATACGCTTGGAGGTATTGAAAAACTGCCTTGGATTTCCGTCGCGTTTGCTCTAGGCGCTGTTGCAACCAACTTGCTCTGGTAGGTACATGTCATGCCCCCGCCTTAGATAGCTACACAAGGCCTAATTCATTAGGTATTTAATTATTAACAAAGAGTGTAGGGGTCAGTTGTACTCCAATTTCGAGAGCAAATCACTTTTCGTCTCCAGTGTGGTCATATTCGAGGTTGGCTCTGCGCTTTGCGGAGCTGCTCCGTCACTCGATGCACTCATAGGCGGTCGGGCCATCTGTGGCATTGGAGGAATGGGCATATATCTAGGGACAATCAACATGGTATCTGCCCTGACAAATGATCAGGAACGGCCCATGTACCTAGGATTTGTTGGGCTAACATGGGGTATTGGCACAATGTATGTATAACCCTTTACTCCTAAACCTTTGGCAGGATAGAAGCGCGAGGTATACTAACCCCTAGAATAGTCTTGGGCCTATAATTGGCGGTGCATTCACTGACAGCTCTGCCACATGGAGGTGGTCCTTTTATATCAACCTCTGCATCGGAGGTCTTGCTGCCCCTATTTATTTATTCCTCCTGCCGGTCGCTGATCCTCACCGAGGCCAAAGCTTTCTTTCCCGGGTAAAGAACCTGGACTTGGTAGGGACAGTACTTAGCGCCGGCGCGATCACAACCCTCGTGATGGTCATTTCATTCGGCGGTAGTGTCTATGCATGGAACAGTGGTCAGACAATCGGCCTCTTTGTCGCGACGGGAGTTCTCTGGATCGCTTTTATACTACAGCAGCGGTTCTCCTTGCTCACTAAGCCTCAAAGCCGCCTCTTTCCCACCTCACTTATAAAATCTTGGGAGATGGATATTCTCTTCGCTCAAATGGCTAGTGCGCAAGTCGTCGTTACGATTCCCATTTATTTCATCCCAATCTACTTCCAATTTGCCAAAGCAGAAACCGCCTTGCGAAGTGGTGTCCAGCTTCTCCCGTTCGTATTGCCACTAGTCTTTGCAGTTATGCTAAACGGAGCGGTCATGGCCCAAGTTGGATACTACATGCCGTGGTATGTAGTCGGCTCAGCTCTGGCATTAGCTGGCAGCGTGTTGCTTTATACTATTAACATCAATACGACGGACGCTCGCATTCACGGGTACTCTATTCTAACCGCCTTTGGCGTTGGCCTCTTTTCACAAGCTGGGTTCGCAGTGGCACAGGTGAAATCAGCGCCCCAGTTGCTGTCGCAAGCGGTAGCTTTCATTGGAATTGGCCAAATCAGTGGTATCACACTAGCATTGGTAATATCCAACAGCATTTTCTTGAACGATTCAACCGATAAGATTGCTAGTATATTACCTGATATGCCGCGGAGCGTTGTCCAACAAGCGGTTTCAGGGGTTGGGGGAGACTTTTTCAACAACCTCACTTCGGATCAGCGACAACGCGTTTTAAATGCCATAATAGAAAGTATTGACAATACGTTTATTTTGGTTATCACAGCCAGCGCACTATCCCTTGTCCTTTCTGTCTTTATGAAACGCGAGCGGCTTTTCGTCACTCCGCCAAAATGAGATACAGGGAATAGTTACGGAATACAGGTTACTATCAAGTATTATAGCCGAGATTTCAGATCCTTGCTAGCAAGAAATTCTGTTATATTTCTACCCATATGTATCCAGAAATGGTTTAATTGGCGTCTTGGAAGACTTTCTGTTAAGGGTTGGGGCTCTTCCCCTTTTTTCTTCACTTATAATCCGACTACATAGAAGTGTTAAAATCCGAAACGTAGGACTTTGCTAAGTTTATTATAGTATATCAAGCATATTTTAATACAGACCATTTTACGTACGATTGCTCAGAACATAATTCAGAAATTCTCTCCATCCAAATCAATTGGATTAACTAGTTGCACTCAAGGGAAAAGTTGAGTTAAACACACCCGGGGATGACCACCGAGCTAGTCACTTTAACTAGTGGCTTAATTAAAGTCGTACTCTCTCTCTTACATGCAGCATCTTCATGCAATGCAGTTCTTTTACCCTTTCTGTAGAGGAAGACTTCATTTCGTAATAGGGGTTAGAAATAGGCCGAGACATATTCGGAATCAAGATGCGAGTGCACTACACCGCCCTATATGCTACACAAAGACATAGGTAATGCAACACTGTTATGTGCTATTGTGTTAACACGTAGAATCTCTTATGCTCCGACAGTATCCGGTTCAAACAATCCGCAGAAGCGATATTTTTTCCATCCTCTTCCCAGTTGTCCCTCTCGCCAACGTACCGTCACATTCTAGATGGACTCCGAAAGTAGATCGTAGGCAAAATAAAACCCAATATATTCTTGTAATATAATAGTGCTACTCTACCAGGTTAGGTAACTAGGATATAGCCTCCAAGATTCTACCCTGCTATTTTTAAAATAGCCGTACGGTCGTAGTTATAGCGGCATCAATAAGCAAACTAGCGCCATTGATGTAGCTGGCCGCTGGGCTACACAAAAACGCAATGGTATCAGACACCTCCTCGCACTCAGCTGCACGTTTGATAGGAACAACAGCCGAGATAATGCCTTGTACCTCGGGGTTCTTTTGTATCTCTATATCCAACAATGGTGTGCGTACCCAAGCTGGACACACAGCATTAACACGAATCCCCTCAGGAGCATGGTCAAGGCCTGTCATATATTAGTTACCACTCCCGAGAGTCTCTAAACTTGGTGTTCTTTTATACTGACCTGCCATCTTGGTGATTCCCATGAATGCATGTTTTGAGATGGTGTAGCAGCCTTTGCCCGGGAGACCAACAAAAGAATTGGCCGACGCAAGGTTAACAATGGCACCGCGCCCAATGTCACGCGTACCATTCCTGCTGCTCCAAGTCTTAGGTTCCTGCTTGCGCATCGCTGCAACCTGAGCACGCACGCAGACCAAATTGCCGCGGGCATTAATGTTCATGATGCGGTCAAAATTATCAACGTCAATCTCAGCTACAGGGGCGTTGACGCCGTTGTCAACCTTAGTAAGACGAGAGAGGTGTTAGAGACTATGGTATAGTACTAGCTTAGTATGGTATATCACTTACGCCAGCCGCATTGACGGCGTAGTCGAGGCGACCAAACTCTTTGACAACAAAATCTACCATGTCCTGGACTGACTGTGCATCCTGGACGTTCATCGTAAAGGTTGTGCTTTGGTAGTCTTTGTTAATCGCATACTTTTTGCTTTCTTCGGATGAGGCTTTTGCTGTGTCCTCATTCTTGTCTGCAAATACGATAACCTTCGCGCCGGCCTCAGCAAGGGAGAAAGCAGCTTCTCGGCCGATTCCGCTGCCAGACTAAATTCCAGTATGTTAGCGACTCGTGTATATACCTGTGGGATAGGTAACATCCATACGCCTACAACGAGGGCGATACCGTCAAGTTTGGTACTAGTAATCATTGTGATAGCTTGGCTAAAACTTAAGATAAATGAGAGCTTGGTGTAGAAATTGTAGAGTGTGGTGGAGATGGGAGTTGGAGGAGGCTTGCTTGAAAGGATGAAGGACGTTTAAAAGGTCCACGATTACCTATGTGCCTAGGATCAGGGCCTGTAGAGAGAATCAGTATGAGCAACAGCATGTAAGGGATAAAGAAATGTTGCTCTGTACTCCAATAAGCTGTTAAGTGATAGTTTCACAAGCAAAAGCATTTCCATTAATTTTAATAGGGAAAACTGTAACAGGTACGTCCTTACGTCGCCCCCATTTCTAGGTCACATCTCAATTGCGTCCGAGCTGAGTTAACATACATCGTATCACATTGACCGACTCTATTAAGCCTTCTTTATCCCTTGACCCTGGTACTTCATGACCACCACCATGAATGTATTCGTACCTATTATCCGAGCTGCATAGTCTGCTAAGCGCCAGAGCCTGACCAGGTTCGATTTTGTCTTCGGCTCCCCAAATGTGCACAGTTGGAATATTAATTGTCCCTTCTCTGGTCTTGGAAGGGGTGGTGTGGGAATAGCGAGTCGGTGGCGTCCCCGCGTCGATAAAAGGGGGCCGACCGGAAAAGAAAATCCCACATCGGAGACCGGATTCTCGGTGCCGTAATTCGTCGATAAGTATAGCACACGCTAATGAAACCCCTTGTGAGAAGGCGATGATCCCATCGAATGGTCCGTCGGTCTTGATATATTTTTCCAAGTCGTCAACTGCCTTTTTGAATGATTCTGTACTGTGAGGTTTGTAGTACGCAAAACACAAATCCTCGGAGGTGGCAAGATTCTCGATCCCTAGAATATATATCAGCTTATTAGTTCATTCGTTAATTAGTTGAATCTTATGCTTACCAGGTGCTCTATCCTGTGCCACCACACCTTCGACAAAGTCGTACGTATGATCTCCCCCTAATTCGTACCGTAACGCTGCTACAACTCATTTAGCTCCAGGCATTCAGACGTAGTACTTCCAACCCTACCTACCGATTTGGAACTCAAAGATCTAACAAATTGTTAGCTTATCACTATATGTGAGACAACGGCCTTGTAACTCTTAAGACATACTTTGCTATTAGTCCCTGCACCATGGAGGCAAAGAAAATGCATTGTCAAGGTAATCTCAAATGCTTCGTTACGGTACGTTAGGTACCTACCTAAGTAGGGAATTAGGTACTAAAAATCTAGAAGTTGTGAAGTCATCCGCTGGTAATGTGCATGGTTCTTATAGTTTTTTCTCTTATAATATCGTCAGTTTCTATTAAACATCAATTGTATATTACGTAGTATTTCTTGAATATTGTACAATAATATATCCCGTTTCCACCCAGTTTTTGTAATACATGCCTAGGTACCTAGGTACCTAATAAGTGAGATTAATATTTCTATCGGACGTGGGTACTTGAACTATGATTCGGTTACAGAAAGCTTTATCGGAAAGAGATAGACCTTCTTGTTCATAATAAACGTTGGTAAACTTATTGTATTGGCCAGTAATATGGGTGTGGGTGGTTCTACGAGTTCAAAATTGCATATTATATCACAGGAAGGACGTTTTCCTCTGATTATTACCTCCTCTTTTTTAAGGCTCATATTTGATGTGTTTTTGCTTATACAATTTTTTGCTGTGATTCTTCTTCGATCTGTCCTATAATGATGCCTAGGTCTATCGAAGAGGAACCTATTGCGGTATGTGGGCTATCTCTGAACTTTCCGCAAGATGCCTCCTCAGAAAAGGATTTCTGGACTATGATTCTAAACAAGCGGAGTGCAATGACGATGTTCCCTCGGGATCGCCTAAATGTCGACGCATTCTATCACCCTACTCAACGTCATGCCCTCCGTACACGGGGTGCTCACTTCATCAAGGAGGACCTTGGAGTGTTTGATGCCAACTTTTTCTCGCTGACTCCTACGGAAGCTTCTGCTATGGACCCGATGCAACGAATTCTACTTGAGACAACGTATAAAGCGCTTGAAAATGCCGGTATACGACTCGAAGACGTAAAGGGTTCAAGGTCTTCTGTTCACACGGGTTGCTTCACAAACGATTATCTACAACTGATACTGAAAGACTCTGAAAGACTTCCTCCATATGCAGCAGTTGGAGCTACACAATCCATGATAGCAAATCGTCTAAGCTGGTTCTTTGATCTCCGCGGGCCTTCAGTTAACTTGGACTCAGCTTGTTCAAGTAGTGCTATGGCTGTCGACCTTTCTTGTCAGTTATTGCTCAGCGGCGTTACTGATATGGGTATTGTCGCTGGCTGCAATTTGCTACTAGACCCCGATTACAGTACTATCCTGAGCAACATGCAAATGCTATCTCCTGATGGTCGATGCTTTACCTTTGATCATCGTGCGAATGGGTATTCTCGCGGTGAAGGTGTCGCAGTTGTGATACTAAAACGTCTCTCTGATGCACTTCGCTACAATGATACCATACGGGCTATCATAAGGTCTACCGGTACTAATCAAGATGGTCGAACGCCTGGAATCACTCAACCTGATCTCAAAGCTCAGGCTCAACTAATCCGCGAAACATATAAACGAGCGAACTTAAGCATGGAACATACGAGGTTCTTCGAGGCACACGGAACGGGAACAGCAATTGGAGATCCAATGGAGGTTGGTGCCATTGCAGATTCTTTCCATAAATATCGCAACTCCTCTGATCCCCTTTATGTTGGCTCTGTCAAAACAAACATCGGTCATCTTGAAGGCGCCAGCGGTATTGCGGGGTTGATTAAAGCAATCCTCGCCGTAGAGTCCGGCATAATACCACCAAATACGAATTTTGAATCATTAAATAGAAAGCTTGCGTCTTACGACTACGTGATAACTCTGCCGGCGGAGCCAATAGTTTGGCCTGCTTGCGAAGTCCGAAGGGCGTCTATTAATTCCTTTGGATATGGCGGGACAAATTCCCATATCGTCATCGACGACGTTTCTAGTTACCTGAGACATAGAGGTTTAGTAGGGAACTTTAGAACAGCCAATCCATACTTCCGGACTGAGAATCTTCTCCTCTCAACGACCATAGAAGAATTTCCAAAGCTTCTTGTTTGGTCTGCTTCTACAGGGATTGCTACTCAACGCATGGTTTCTACGTGGGGGAAATACTGTTCAAAGATGCTCGATATTGATGCAATGCCGTCGGTTTCCGATATTGCATACACTCTTGACTCTCGTCGAACCTCACTACCGGCAAAGTCATTTGCAGTTGTTTCAGCTACTTCAGATATACGAGCTCTTGTAAAACTCGCTTCTACCCCCATTAATACCCCAAAACAGAGCCCACGGCTAGCATTCGTATTTACTGGTCAAGGTGCGCAGTGGTACGCTATGGGGAGGGAACTCTTGATGTACCCGGACTTTTTAGAAAGCATTCAGGCCGCAGAATCTATTCTCGTGGGTATGGGCTGCTCTTGGTCTTGTCGAGGTAGGTCGGCTCATGTTCAACAAGTACCTGGAATACCACTAATCAAGTCATTATAGACCAACTTTTGAAAGACGAGAAAGAATCGATGATAGATTACCCGAGCATTTCCCAATCCCTTACTGCAGTTGTGCAGATGGCGTTGGTTGATCTCTTAAGGTCATTTGGTATTAGTCCTGTTGCTGTCGTTGGTCACTCAATGGGTGAAATTGCTGCATCGTAAGGTCGGCATCCTTCCGTATAGTTACTCCCACTGACGTTCGAATAGCTACTGTGCAGAGCTTCTAACACGGGAGTCCGCTCTGCGTATAGTATATTACCGTGGCTACTTTACCGCTACAATTTCTAAGCAAAGCCGCTGCAGGGGAGCTATGTTAGCTGTGGCCCTATCTGCTGAAGAAGTAACCAACTACTTCAATAATATGAGTTGCGACCATACTAATATAGATCTCCCTCTGGTAGTCAGTTGTATCAACAGCCCACGCAGTACAACAGTATCAGGAGAGGAATCTGAAATCGAAAGACTTAGACAGATCCTAGAGAGCAAAGGCATTTTCGCACGACGACTACGCGTTCCTGTTGCCTATCACTCTCCTCAGATGAATCTGGTCGTATCCGATTGCCTAAAGCACTTTGGAATCCTTAAATCACCCCAACCAAAAGCCAACATCAAGATGATCTCGTCAGTCACAGGCTCTATTTTGACCAGAGAAAGAGCTTGTCAAGGGACCTACTGGACAGCCAATCTGGTCTCCCCTGTTTTATTTTCGCAGGCTGTGGAGCGACTTTGCAGAGATTCCACCCTGTCGCTCCGCAAGAAGATTGATGGTAGCCATCATGAAGCAATCGTAGTTGACAATCTTATTGAAATTGGTCCCCACGCAGCTTTACGTCTTCCTATTGAAGAAGTCGTTGAGACCTTACCTCGGAGAAAATCAATCAAATATCTGTCTGCGCTGTACCGTAAGCAATCCGCTTCGGTTACGCTCTTAAGATTGCTAGGGCAATTGTATTGCAGCGGTGTTCCCATCGATTTACGACGCGTAAATGACCCAGAGCAGCCATTTCGAAGATCCCGAATTTGTCTCGCCGACGCGCCAGAGTATCCATTCGACCACTCGACGAGATATTGGTGCGAGAGCCCTCTTGTTCGGAATTATCGTCTTAGAGCACATGGCCACGTCGAGCTTCTTGGTTCCCCTAGCCGAGATTGGAACCCACTAGAACCTCAATGGCGATGTTACGTTCAAGTTTCCGATATGCCATGGCTCGTAGACCATAAGCTGAACGGCAGAGCCGTTTATCCAGCTTCTGCCATGATTTCCATGGCTATACAAGGGGTTTCACAGCTTGCAAACCGATATCGGAATATGATTGGCTTTACTTTACACAATATTCGATACCAATCTGCTATTGCAGTTCCTTCTGAATCTGGAGACTTGGAGACGAGGTTACAGTTAAAGCCTCTTAAAGTCACTTCCGCAGCCCGAAGCTCTTGGGGTTTCTCTGTACATTCAGTAACTTCTGGTAATTGGGCTGAGAACTGCTCTGGGGTGATAGAAGTTCATTACGAAACAGAGCTATGGGCTGAAGAGGATAAGCAGAAGTCTCACTATTACAAAGACCACTTCCAAAAGCGAGATACACAGTGCTATAAGGTTTTTGATTCAATAGAGATATACAACAACTTCATCAAGCACGGGTTCCACTATGGGCCTTCATTTCAAGGGATTACGACAGTGAATCATGACGGCACTGATACTCTCACGGCAAAGTTAAGTTTGAGCAGTCCCCTGAGTGGCTCTACCGTGGGCAGTTCATTTATCATTCACCCTGGAACGCTTGATTCCTTTCTACACCTTGCCTTGGTGTCTTTAAGTGGAGGAGACAAAATAATTCCAACTCAAGCCATATCTAGAATCGATAAAATCTGGATCTCAGCGGAAGGATTTAACTTGCCGCACAAATCTATCCAAGCATCAGCAAAATTTGAGGGTGAGACAGCAAGAACCAAGCTTTATTCAGGGTTTGCATTGTCGGACGATAAAGAACATCTGAGGCTGGTAGTCGAAGGGCTTCAAACTACTATCATCGCTTCCGATAAAAGACCTGAAGAAATTGCTGGCCACGACCAATTTTGGTGTAGTGTCCAGACGGCTGTGGATGTCGATGCCCTATCAGGTACAAGGATTTTGCAACGACTGGAGTCAATTTGCGGACCTGACCCTCCTGGGCCGAGCAAATTCTTTAGTGATATCAGACGTTACCTATACTTTATGGTCAAAGAACTCCGTAAGAGCGTGACCGCAATGGGAACTGATTCTACGAAGCCATATCTGAGAAGATATGTAAGCTGGATGGATTGGCAGTTAAGCCAAACAATTGACGATGCATCTATAACGGATGACGGCTCACTTCGAATTCGAGTCGCAAAGCATGGGTTCCTTGGAGGCTTCATCCTCAAAGTTGCTGATAATGCCCTAAACGTCTTGCAAGGGAAGTCTGATATGGTACAGCTATTTTTTGAGGATAATCTCATAGGAAGATTCTACGAAGAACTGTTAGCGAGCTCTATATGCTACCAGAAACTCCAAAGCTACTTAGCAGACCTTTCATTCAAATATCCCAACCTGGACTTTCTTGAAGTTGGGGCTGGCACGGGTTCTTTTACTGAACATGTTCTCAAAGGAGTTTCGAGTACTGCATCTCCTGTGGAGAGATTCAATAGCTACTACTATACAGATATTTCCTCCACATTTTTTGAGGGTGCTCGAGAACGATTTCCAGCTTGTTCTCGGAAATTGAAATTCGCTGTCCTCAATGTTGAAGAAGATCCCCTGAGACAAGGATTCAAGGAGAATATGTTCGACGTCATTTCGGCATCTAATATTCTTCATATCACGGACAACCTTGATCTCACACTTCAGCGACTACGAAAGTTATTGAAACCGGGGGGCAAGTTCCTTCTTCACGAGTACATACACCCAGACCGAATTGATGCCGGGTTTATTTTTGGCTTGCTGCCGGGATGGTGGCCAAAAACAGACGAAACCCGTGTATTGAGCCCTCTTCTAAATGAGGAATCCTGGAATATGTTACTACGCCGAAATGGCTTTTCAGGTACAGACTTCATCCTTCGCGACTATGCTGATGAGGAATCTCATCTAATGAGCATCATTTGTGCAACAGCAGTAGAGTCTAAAGATGTTGTATTTCCAGATGTAACCATTGTGGTCCAACCCGGCTCAAGTGTCCAAGAAGATATGGCCATATTTTTAGCCTCGAAACTTTCTGTCGAAGGCTCTCGTGTGATCCGCATGGATTTATCAAAACCCCAGGAAGACATTTCTTCCCTTGGAAATATTATCACGCTGTTCGATCTAGAAGAGGCCATTCTCTCCCGATTAGACGAAGGTAACTTCGAACCGCTAAAGTCAATTTTGCTAAGGGCTTCGAGGATTCTTTGGGTTTCCAAAGCGGACACATTTCCTTCATCCCCAAGCCACGGGATGATAGAAGGCTTCGCAAGGGTCTTCCGGATGGAAAACATCAACTGCAAGCTGGCTACCCTGACCCTAGAAACAGATTCTGAATCACAAATATATGATTGTAATCATATTCTTTTCGCATTAAAGAATGGTATGAAGTCTCAAGGTTTTAACCAACCCGAAGATTATATCGTTGTAGATGGCTTTCTGAAACTGAGTCGAATATACGAGAACATAGAGTTTAAAAAAGCAATCTCAGAGAAACTACCAAGAGAAATGTTGACGACGGAAAGTGTGAAAGACGCGAGACCTTTTACAATCACATTCTATGACTCAGAAAGCCTCCTAAAACCGCAAATTGTGGAAGATAACTCTACATTCTCACCTATTGGCCCCGAGGAAGTCGAAATCGAAATTAAGGCTCTTGGCCTCGGTCCCATTGATTTCTCAATCCTTTCAGGCAATATTTCCAATATTAATATTGGTCGAGAATGCGCCGGTATCGTGACTAAGGTCGGCGCCAACTGCGATATTGCTGTAGGAGATCGTGTATGTGCTTACAGTGCCGATCTATTTTACTCCACGAGCCGAGCCAAGCGAAACCTGGTAGCTAAGATACCGGAATCTCTGTCCTTCGAAGAAGCTTCCACATTGCCACAGGACTCCTGCATTGCCAATTATATTGTACGAGAAGCTAGAATCCAGCGTGATGAACTAGTAATCGTACGAGGTGGTGACACGAGACTCGGAAGAGCAACGCTGGATGTATTAAAGAAGTACGGTCCAAAGCTATGCGCAACTATATCGACGCCAGGTGATGAACCCTTCTTCAGCGGCATCCAAAAGCTCACAGAAAGCTGTTTTACCGAATCGTTTAAATCGTGTTTTTCGGAGAAAGCTAACGTTATACTGGACTTCGTGGGCACCGATATGCTGCAGCTAACAGAATGTGTGTCAAAATTCGGCCAGATTTTGAGCATCAGGGAAGTCTCAGATGATAGTTCTATTCCAATAAGTCTCTTCGAGCTACCAGCCACTGTCGGTTTTCGAATTTTGGATGTAGTTGCAGTATTACAACACCAACTTGATCGATTGGAAATGCCCTTTTCCGAAGTAGGCGAAACGACTTCGATCCACCCTTTCCACGTAAAGACAATTGACCTCTCTGTTATTGAAACGGTTTCTTCCCATATAAGAGATCTTGATCGTGAAGAACGGATTGTCATCAAGTATGATGACGAAAGCCAAATACAGGTGAGCCTCCGCTTTCTTTTGATCTAGGTAACTAAGGCTGATATCTGTAAAGATCCACAAAAAATCTGTAAAGGGTGATCTATTCGATCCATCTGCCAGTTACGTGATCTCCGGTGGTCTAGGAGATCTTGGAAGATGCATAGCTGAATGGATGGTGAGTCGCGGTGCTCGGAATCTTATTCTCTTATCACGCTCCGGTCCACGAAACAAGGCAGCCAGGACAACGATTCAACACCTAGAGCAGTCGGGTGCTAAAGTTTACACACCAGCATGTGATATTTCAGACCACTCATCACTTCAAAGGGTCCTACAGCAACTTCAAGATATACCTGCAATCAAAGGATGTGTCCAAGCTGCGGGCGTTCTCAAGGTGAGTAAAACGACAAATGATTGATTAAAATTATAAGCTAACAGAACGAAAGGATATCATGTATGACAAGATGAGCTTCGAAGATTGGAAAGTTGCAGTTGATCCCAAAGTTAGCGGCTCTTGGAACCTACACAATCTTCTTCCAAAGGGGATGGATTTCTTCATCTTGACGTCTTCAATCACCGGGATTATGGGTCAAGCAACACAGATCAACTACTCGTCGGGAAACACTTACCAAGATGCCTTGGCGAGATACCGCCTTGCAATTGGTGAAAAGGCTGTCTCTCTAGATCTTGGCCTCCTTTCCACCGGTGGATTACTATCCCAAAACAAAGGTCTAGCCGAAAGGTTTGCTGCAGAGAATGTCTACACAGTGCTGTCTGAATCAGATATATTAGCTCTGTTTGATCATTTCTGTGATCCTAACCTTGGTTTAGACCAAATCCCGGCACAAATAGTTTCAGGAATCATTAACCCATCCTTGCAAGATAGGCGAAGTCCTAGCTTTCCCCTGGCATTCCATCATCCCTTCTGGAGCCATACTCTTGTTCAGAGTGGTAATGGCCAAGAAACAGGAGATAGTCCGGACGCTACCGTTAGCGTAGGCCGTACACTGATTTCCGCGAGCTCCGTTGCAGAAATGGGCGGAATCGTAGCCGGCGCACTTGCAGACCATATTTGCAGTCTAGTCAGAACTCCCCGAGAAAATATCGACTTGGAAGAGCCACTTCGTATGGCCGGGGCTGACTCTTTAAGTGCGGTATACCTTCGCAATTGGATTAAGAAGGAATTTGCGGTGGATGTCGCAGTTTTTGACATTCTAGGAGATATGTCTATCATTGCGCTCGGAAATTCCATCGCTAGTGAATGGCGAGAGGCTAGAATTGTAAGGTAGACCAGATGTTTAGAGCCTCGATCACTGTTTCGTTCGAATAGAGTATGGCGCCAGATTCGCTTATTTGGTAGATTTATTATTTGAGTGCAGCATGTTTCAATTTATCCCCTATATATAGTACCTAACTCACACAAGCTGGGTAATATCCAGAGAAATCTATTCTCTTGCCATATCAGGGTTCTTAGTTGCTATAAACGTGCCCTCTCCCGACTTTGGGGCACCAACATCAGCAATATTAGATAGCATTGAGACATAGATGTATCCGCTAACAATATGCGCAACGCCAGCGACCCCATCTTGCCCTAGTATCTCTCTCGCATGCTCAAAGCTTGCATCATCTAGTGGCTTACGCAGCTTTGTAAGTTTCAGTGCCAGGTTGTAAACGGTGGATTCACGGTCGCTAAGACCACTAGGAAGCTTTCCGTGGAACGCCTGCTGCACCTGTTCTTTCGTGAAGCCAGCGTAAATACCGATTTCAGAATGAGCATACTGTAAATATGGAACATCATACTCAGAGGCGACGGCGAGGATACAGAGCTCCTTTTCCTTAAATGTAAAACGTTTCTGACGCATAACCTTGGAAGCGAGGGCAAGCCATGGGTCAGCAATGTCCTCCGTGTAACTGTAACAAACTATTAGCAAAACACTCGAGGCTATCTCTAAGTGAAGACGCACAATAATGAGGAATATGGACCGTAAAATAGGCCTTGGTCATTCTTCTGGGTAAGATGGCTTGGGAATCGAGAGAAGAGGTTCGCTATGCCATCTTGAGCGCTCTTCTGAGCGTCGCTGAGTTCGTTTTCTGACACAATGGGAAAGCGAGTCATGATTATTGCGTATACGAGTGTACCTAGTGTTCTAGACAGAATATGACGATGGACAGAACACGTAAAGGTAAGTCTATTATAGCCACTGACCCCAACTGGACTGATGGACGACCAGCCTGCATTGCTATATTACAACCCCCACCCCCCTTTCTGTACACCCCTCCTCCGATCCGAACTGAGACTTATGGGTAGGATGTCAGACATGTCGACTCGCATGCATATTGTTGCAATCCTTGCAAAGCACTCGTGTCAACGCTATCAGCTAATACGCACCCCTTTTCCCCGGCGAACGCCTCAGTCTTATAAAAGTGGGCTGATCGACTCTTTCTTAAAATAACTGAACTATCCGGACCAAGACCGTTTTTTCATTTGCCTCATCTCCGATATTCAGTAACCGTTATCCCGAAGACACAACTACCTAGGTACCTAGGTGGAAAATCTACAGCATGGATAAACGCCAACTAGAAAAAGATTACTCGCCACCCAAAAATGTCATTATCGTAAGCTACGCCTAATACTTCTGTATATTTCCATGTTTGTGTATGTTTATGTATGTTTATGATCTTGAATAGATCGGCGGGTCCCTCTCCGGACTCATGCACGGCATCATGCTCCACCGTCTCGGAAGCACAGTCCGAATCTTGGAACAGTCACTCACCCATACACCTGTCTCTCACATGGCAGGAGTATGCTTAGGCATTGATGTACAACACCTTCTAAAGCGCTTCGATCGCACTTCAGACATCCCCTTGGGTATTTCGGCTGTGCAACTACAGTCACTCGATAGACAGGGCAAGATCCGTCCTTTTCTACGGATCAATCGGATCATGTCTTCGTGGGATGCACTTTATTTCCGGCTAAGGGCCAATTTCGACATGCAAGCAAGCCACTATGTTCCCCATCCGCCTGCATTAGATTTAAGGGCAGATGAGAATTCACATGGCGCCAATGCAAGAGCAAGGTATGAAATTGGAAAGCAAGTCGTAGGGATAGAGCAGTTTAAGACTGGTCAGCTACTGGTTCGCTATAAAGATCATATGGACGGCGGCACAGATGCACAAGCACTGGCAGACCTAGTAATCGGTGCTGATGGCCCAAACTCGATAGTCCGCACGATCTTTTTAGACCCAGGTCAAACAGACCGGAAATATACGGGATATGTGGCATGGCGTGGTGTAGTTCCAGAGGAGCAAGTGAGCGGAGAGACGCGAGAAGTATTTCGGGCAAATATAACCTATTCGATATTAAAGGGTGAAGGCGGCCACGTGATACTGTAAGTTGAAAGCCTTTATGTTAAAGCTCAGAGTTGCTGATGTCGCTGCGTAGTTATTATATACCAGGAGAAGGCGGTTCCGTCGAGCCTGGCAAGCGCCTCTTGAACTTCTGCTGGTATACAAACGTTCCTCTTTCCTCCCTAGATACAATCATGACCGATATTAATGGTAGACGGCATCAAACCAAACTACCGCCCGGACAAGTCCGCCCTGAGGTTTGGGAGACCCAAAAGTCTATAGCCAAAACACAATTTGCGCCACCATATCTCGAAGTCATTGAAAAAATCAGATCGCCTTTCCTACATCTGATCACTGATTACTGCTCTTCACGCGCCTCCTTTATGGGAGGCAAAGTCCTGCTAGTTGGAGATGCAGTCACCTTGCTGCGACCGCACATTGCTTATTCTACGAATCAAGCCGCATACCATGCTCTCTTGACCGAAAAACTAGTCACTGGAAAGCTGACGCTGGAGAAATGGGAGTACCAAGTAACGACCGCTGCATATCTGCAGTGGAGGCGAAGCGCGTGGTTCGGAGAATATTTCCAGCGACCCCTTTATATTTCCATTGGAACCGCTATGCTCTTCTGGGCTACATCTGCGTTGGCAAAGCTGAGGATTTGGATGGGGTGGTTGCCACCGCAGGCAATTTAGGTATCAGGCAAGGAGAATGAAGTGTCATTCCTATAATTGGCTATATATTCAATATTTACCTAAAAGAGGAAAAATAGACAGCTTTGAGTTGAAGAGAGTCGTCGAAGGGTTTAACACGATGTTTTCAAAGGTATGGAGACACTAAGGGGGCAGATAGGAAGGGAGAATATAGGTACCCAGGTAACTAGTACCTACTTAAGCCCTTTATGTTTCTCCTATTATCTCCTATCCTACCTTAGGTTAAGTACATAACCTACCTGCTACTCGGGTTAGCTAAGGCAGAGTATAACCTCCGTCAATTATCAAGTCAGCACCTAATCCAAAGTATTAGTAGGAGCCTCAACCAAACATAAATTAGGACTGACCTGTTACATAACTGCTCGCATCGCTCGCTAAGAAAACGTATGCCCCCTTAAGTTCGGATGGCTTGCAAAACCTACGACCGGGAACCATCTCGATCCACTGGCTTCTCCATTCCTGAGGGTGAACGTCGAGCACTATATATCCGTTAGATATGGTGTACCCATTCATACAACGCAACCTAAGACTTACTTTCTGTTTCAATAAAGCCCTAGTTATTGGAAATCATAGTTAGATTGATTCGTTTCAATGTTTGGGTGCAACAGTGAGATCCCATACCGGCGAAATATTGTTGACTCTTGTGTAGTCCACCCACTCTACGGCTAGCGACTTTCCGAGATGTACGAGAGCAGCTTTACTCGCGTTATAGGCGGCTTGATTTTGAGGAACATTGACGAGTGTTGCCGACACTGACGCTGTAAATATGATGGAGCCCCGGTGCGGTTGCCCGTCCGCCTTAAACTGCTTCTCAAACACGCGCGCCGCAGCCTGCGCCGCCCAGAACGCACCGTTGACGTTGACGTCGAATAAGTCACGGAACTTGTCTTCCGGGTAATCCAGAGCCGCGATGTTTGCGGTGACGCCCGCATTCGCCACTAGAATGTCTAACCGGCCGCCGCCTACCTCCTCTGTAACTGCGTTCACGACGGCTTCAATTTCGGCCCGTGAGCGCACGTTACACTTATATGCTTTGACTAGTCGACCCTCGTTGGCTGATGATATTTGCGCAGCTATCTCATCCGCTTCTTTTGGTGGCGTGCTTGAGTAGGTTATCGCCACTTTCGCGCCGGCTTCGCAAAGCCCCCGTGCGACTTCAAGCCCAATTCCTCGACATCCTCCTGTGACTAGAGCAGTCTTACCGGCGAGGCTGAAGTGCGATAGCACTGGGGCTTCTGGATTGGGGTGAGGTGCAAGAACCATATTGAATACCTAAGGTACAGAGTAAAATTAGGGATAAATTGCGAGATCTGTGAAACTTGATATGTTACCCTTGAGATAAAACTTAAATACCCACGGGGTTTGAAGCCGGGCATCACATTTTAAGGGGGGTAGTACCGGATGGGGTTTGGGTTCAAGGTGCTCGGCTCGAATTCGTGCGGGTAGTGGACTACATCATACCGAAATTTAGACTACTAGACAAAATACTTGATCCTCTCCAATCAAATGATCCCAAGGCCGATGCGGCTATCGGGTGGAGTGGGACTTAAAAAGTCTCTTCGGTATTCTCCTCACTAAAGTGGCACTGAAGCTTGAGTAAACCATGAGAACACAAGGCCGGAATAGGATCAGCTAAAAAAGGGTGGTAAATAGAAGGCTTCTTAGTAGAAGGTCTAAGTGGGAATGTGGCCGACGAAAATATTTGCTTGGTAGATATTAAGGGAATAATCAGACACAAGTAGTTGTCTAATGGCATAACTCTATAATTCTTAGACGCCTAGCGTAGGTAGGTATATGTGGATATCTCCTGATACAAACAGCTGCCTTTAATAAATGTGTATTCTCCTAATCATTCGTGGCCCCCTTTAGGGGTCTCGAAATTAGACCAGCAGTAAAATATATTCTTGCCGGAATATCCAAGTCAGCATTTTTTAAAATAGCAAAGTCTACAAGAGCGAGAAATATATCTATAGTAGGTAAGCTCGAAGACGGGTTCCGGGGGACCTCCGTAAGTGGATCGCGATATTCTCGGATTTCGGCTCCGGTACCGCTTGACTTCTAGCACTCACGGATCTAAGATTCAACGTAGGCTATGTTATCATATTGTAAAGAATAGAGCCTTCAACGCGCTGTAGTTGGCAACGATCTAGGAGGTACTTTATCGGATTCAGGCGCTCGCTTATACGCCATATCCGTCTTAGATTTGAGCGCCGCACGATATTTTAAGTACATTTCTGAACATCAATTAAACAAGTACTACCATCACAGTTCTCACACAAGTACGAAGACGTATATCGCCCATAAAACAAAGGACAGTTCATATTACAGGAGAGGTTCTATACTAAGGTAACGAACAGACTAGATTTTAGTTTTTAGGGTGGGATAAGTATAAGTATGGTTCGTATAGTTAATACATCATGATGGCCGAACAGCTTCGGTACCGAACTCCAAGACCGACAATTTATATTTTCCTTCTATTATTCCGTGGAGCATCACATTCTATATGCCTTGTAGCTGCTGTCGCCCGGCTTGTGATATTCCGACAACCCCTTGTTCCAACGAACCAGCTTGTCGGTAGACTCCGCGGCCGTTGGTTTGCCCGCCTCGTACATAGAGTCTAGTCGGGATAGCGCTTCGTCGTTGCCATTACGTCTCTTCCTCCATACACATCGAAGGATTAAAATAACCACGGTGATGAGTACTAGACCGCCTCCACCTCCGGCAATACCCGCAACAGCTACCACCGGGAGGTTGCCAATCATTCCAGTATTCCCATTATTTGTCTGTGCTTGGGTAATAGTATTACCATTAGTGTCGGCTATAGCGCTTTGCGTAGCGGTGGCGTCTTCCTGGGGAAGCTGTGTGGCCACAGCCGCGAGAGTCGAGGAAAGTTGTGTTGGAGCGTCCAGTGTGCTACTAGGTGCCTCTGGGATGTTGAGACTTGTAGCTACACTATCGAGGATAGAGCTAGATGGTTCAAGGGTAAGGCTTGATGGTTCGGCGATAGAGGTCGATGGTTTAATGGATGTCACAAGCGTTGTTGGCGGGGCTGATGTTGTCAAGACTGATGTTTTAGAAGACGAAGGCGAAGGCGAAGGTGAAGGAGAAGGAAAAGGCAAAGGCGAAAATGTCGTTAGTGGGCCGGCAGCCGGGGTTGTAGTTGACTCAGGACTAGTACTCGGCTCGAGAATAGTAGTCGACTCGGGACTAGCAGTCGTCTCCGGTGCATCGGGAGTTAAGCTGTCTGTGTTTTCAGCAGCGCCGGGATTGAGTGCAATTGCCGTAGTCTGAGGCGGTAATTCTGGCAACCCCGTAATAGAGTTCTCGATAGCACTAGCGCTTGTGGGCTGTTGACGTAGTGGCTGTTCGTCGTCATCATCATCGCCATCGTCCTCGCCCTTCGAACTTCCGGGCTTGGGTGTCGCTACTATTTCGCCGTTTGAAGTCGCGGGCGCAGTCGGAATCGCTCCGGTATTGGCTTCGGGATTAGTTTCCTGGTTTGCGTTCCCAGCATCCTCAGCTGGTGTCGTTATCTGCGGAACCCGACCATTGTCGTTGTTATTATTCCCACCCAAGAGACCTCCGCCCAAACCTCCCAAAGTATCGCCCAAAGTATTGCCTAAACCACTTAAAAGGCCAGCCATCGTAGAATAAAACTCTAAAATAGAACACCAGGTCCAAAGAAAAGAATATTAGGAAAAAAAAATGTGTACGATGCTATCACCAGGACTCTCGCATCGAATATTGTTGCTCAAAGTTGCGAATGAAGATTGAAGATATCTTGAAAGGTTTCTATCTAGAACCCAGGAAATGGGGACTCCATCCTGAAAGTATGAAAAGCGTCGCGCTAACACGCCCCCAGATGAACCCCTCGTAAAAGGCTTGGTCTGAAGTCATGATTCGATTCTCTGGCACGGCCTCAGTTTCATGTTCCCTAGCAAAACTATCCCTGGATTGGCGTTTCGTGCCGAGACGGGATTGATATTCACTTGATCTGCAAATTGTAACACCCCTGTTAAGGCGCTCTGTGCATACATAGGTCCTGCATTGGAACCTTTAGTCGATCAAACATCATCAGGTATTTATGGGTCTAATTCGTTTCTTCCATATCGTCTTAGTAGCCAGATAGCCAGAGTACATGGTCGACTTTGTTTCTCAATGTGACGCTGAGCCCCTGTCGATCATGGGTATGCAACAAGAACCTAGGTACATACATACGTAAATCAACATCGTCGGAATGCAAGTTTTCAGCTGGACATGTTGAAGTATATTTCACTGTTTTCTACTGCTCTTAGTAGCTGTAAAACCATGTAGCATAACAAATACGTAACTAGAACTGATAGTATATGTTTCTAATTTGGAATTATCGCATTGCATTAATCCTTGCTAGTCAGCCTTTTTCACATACACAGGTTACCTCAGTATGTAAAAGCGACTTCATAGTCTAGATCCAAGCTAGATTCCAAGCAACTGCAAGAGTGATCAATCTATGATTTGATCTTGCCCAGAATATTGGCAGATGAGTTCTATTGTCGATTACAACTCTAAGCTATCACCAAGTAGCATTTGACGCGGAGGCCTCTTAACGATCTACATATGGAAGGCTTCTGTTGTGGGGATATCCACTTTGCTAGCCGCCATTCACCCAGTCTTCATGATAGGTAGTTCGAAATCTCGACAGCGGTAAGAAATATCATTGCCGAAGACGCGGAAGGCTACCTACCTGGATATTCATTCTCCACGATGCGGTATAGTTCATTTTTAATCCCAAGGGCTTAACTGAGCAATGGATATCTATATCATCGGCATTGTCAAGATGCGGTGACTTGATCCTCAACCATCCCTGGACGTTTTGCTGTTATCCGGCCGACGTGCTTTAATACAGAAAGATCCGTTCCGCTCAGGGGCTGTTTTGAGTGATAGAGCTACCGGAGAAGCCAATTCATTCTCTTCCGAGCATTGATTACTCTTTTTCATGTCGTTCCCTAGAGGACATGATGGGCTATGTGTACTACCTAGGTCAGGTTCTTGACGACGTTCTTTATTCCCGTAAGAGACTTGTTCCCATTTTACCCGAAAGTTCCATCGAACGTGCCTCGCCACCTGTACTTACCTGGACAGAAGGGATTCCGTTAATGTCAGTCCCTAGAGTAGGTCAGTCCCTAAAGTAGGACCTGACGGCCTGGAGCCACTGGCTAAGTTTAACGTCCGCTTTCCCCAATGCTCTGCTGTCGTACTCACTGCCCATCACCTTCTGCTCGAGCCACATTTCCACTTCTGATAGGCGGCAATTGATCTCCTGCTCATTTTCCACGTTTATCCAATATCTTCCTGCCCACTCTATGAAAACAAAGAACCGCCCCATACGTGCCAGCGATCGAAAGGGCAGCAGAATGTCCAAATAGGGTCTCAGCGCCAAATCTTGATCTCTGTCCATGGTGAAATTGCCCTCTTCAAATGCTTTACCGGTCACCCTCTGACGACTGTCATTATCTATGCTGTATCTTGGCGGTTCAAAGCGAGTCATATAGACGGCTATTGTTAAGGCGGGGAGGTTTGCATGGATTCTAAGGGAGTCGACGCTACTCTGCCAGTGAATGTACGATACGGGATCCGGTAATGTCAAAGGGTCACGCGTCTCAAAAGGTGGACATACCAACTCCAAGTAACGAAGATAAGATAGTGTATTAGGCTTAAGAAACTTCGTGATGAATATAAAGGTTTCGAGTCCAGCTAAGACGGATGAGCGGCCCTTCCATATTCCCACGATTGGGATGATAATCATGCGATTATAGGAATAGAAAACGGCTCGAGAAGATTCGTACATGGCTCGACTAACAAGGAATAAGGCCTGCGGGGGACGCCAGCATCGGCAGCGAGACGAGTAAACACAGTGATCACGCATGCAAAAACATCCAAGCTCGGAATGATAATCTGCACAATGTTGAAATACACGACGGTCGTAGTATTCCGCAGACACTTCCTCTCTAGGAAATTTATAATGAAAGCCACGTTGTGGTTTCCACCGGACCTCATTCGTGGGGGTGATCAGATCGGTGTATTTTAGAATTGATTGCTGGAGGTCTTGCGGAAGATCGAGGAACCGGAAAGGCTGATCTAGATGAGTAGGTTTGTCTGACACTATGATGGCTGTTTGTCGGGCCATAGAGTAGAGATTCCTATTTTTGCTGCGACCAAGACGCAGGGCGCAGTCCTTGAGACTTCCGGGGAAATCGAGAAAAGGTTGCAGCACATCAAGAGCGATATATATCTGCGAATTTACGTCACAGATAAAGTGTAAGCTAAGCTTTTGAGGATTTGAGTATGTGAGAATATGCTTTGCAGTTTGTTGCCATGCAGCAACGCGACTTTCTCGAATAGGCTCGGTGTTTATACCGTCCAAGATGTAATTTCCGGGACAGTAGCCATCAGCCAGGCGGAGATGAACGTATAAGTTGGTTAGGTTGTTACAAGCGTGAGGAGTAATGTTGCCGAGAATACGGAGACCATCATCTACGGCCCGGTGGGGAACGAGTAAGAAATTCTCAGAGTAGACAACAGCACTGACTTCGGCATAGACGGCTTTGCAAGTCTGAAGGAGGTGGAATGTGAAATGGAGTTTATCACACCAGTCGCAAGGGTCACTTTTGAATATTTTTTTTTGATGATTTTCCCCTTCAAGGTCTTCGTGGGGTTGTTTTAATGAGTGTATGTAGATCGAGTTTCCGCTGATGAGACCTGCATAATCATAGATTCGCCGTCGGACAGGAGCCGGGAGATCGAGCAATGTCCTATTATGCGTGCAGGTCCTCCGGCCAAACCAATGGCATATTCTTTCCTGGCGCAAGGCCATGGTATGACTGAGAGGTAGGTATTGTTAGGTATGTTAGGTTACATGTAGGTACCTACTTAGGAGCATCAAAAAGGCACAGGTCAGTGTGGTTCGAAGCTAGAGCGGTAATTTATGAAAGCACTGTACCGCCACAAGCAAGGATGGTGGGCACTCAAACAAGGTACGATGCGGGAGGAACCAGACACGGGTAATGAGCCACGTTCTATAATCGTATGTTAGGTAGGGTCATACTCATAATACAGTACAGGATTTATCAAGTAAATTATTTAATTCAGTGTTGCTAACTACTAGTTCTTTAGCAGTATATATTTGCAAAATATATTACTACTTAACTTAATGTATATACGATCATTGCTACGCAAACAAGTTGATGCCTCTAGTTCTTCATATACCCCGCATTTAGGCTTACTCTACCGTATAATTTCCAATCCATTTCCGGTCTAAAAGCCGTATTAGATCAACTAAAATAGAGGCTAGTGGTTGTGGTAGAGTCATTATGTTCTTCTCTTAAGCATTTGTGCTGGCGTAGATAACGTCAAGTTATGAAAGTACCTAATCATTAACTGATGTGGCTATTTAAAGATTAGTTAGAGTCGTATGAATATAGAAGAAAAGTACCTGTTAAACATGGCCAATGTCGATCTGATACAGGAAATGCGAGGGGCGGTCAGTTTGGCAATCGACTGCGCAGACCAAGACTTGAGGAAAAATATCAACCAGGAATTACACCAACATCCCGAAATAGCATATCAAGAAGTGTTCGCACATGATACAATCACGCAGTTTCTTCAAGATCGCGGATTTACCGCAAAGCGCAGTACTTATGATCTGGCAACAAGCTTCGAAGCCGAGATCGGCACTTCTGGACGTCTCGTGGTAATATGTGTTGAATATGATGCACTACCTCAGATCGGTCATGCCTGTGGCCATAACTTAATCGCAACATCATCTATTGCCGCCTTTCTCGGCGCTGCTGAGGCCTTGAAAAAGAGTGGTGCTGCTGGACGACTCCGAATACTCGGCACTCCGGCCGAGGAGGGCGGTGGTGGCAAAGTAAAACTAATCGATGCAGGGGCATTTAAGGATGATATTGCAGCAGCCATCATGGCTCATCCAATGCCTAGTCACCAGATATCCGGCTCCAACGCGCCACATATATATGACGGTCTAGCAGGGTTGAAGATGATAGCGAGTCATAAGTTTCGCACCGAGTTTCGTGGGAAAACAGCACACGCTGCTGGTGAACCGTGGAATGGCGTCAATGCCCTTGACGCTGCCGTCGCAGCATATAGCAGTGTCGGACTTCTTCGTCAACAAATCCAACCTGACGAACGTGTCCATGCTGTAATTGAGGTCGGCGGGACGGTGCCGAACGTAATTACAGATTACACACGTATGAACTGGAACGTTCGAAGTCCGACGATTGCCGGAGCTGATAAATTGCTTGCACGCGTGAAAGCATGCATAGAAGGGTCAGCCACTGCAACCGGCTGCGAGCTCAGTTATATCGTGTAAGTCTTCTAGATGCACGTGAAATCAGAGCTGACAGTAGTAGAGCGCCGACATACGCAAACTTGACGGCAAACCAAGCTCTTTGCGAGGTATATGCGGATGAGATGGGACGTATTGGTGATAAAATTTTATTGCGGAACGAGAATCCCATAACAGCTTCAACTGATATGGGCAACGTCTCCCATATTATACCGAGCTTCCACGGCGCGTTCGCAATACCGGCGCCGCCGAACACTTCGCTCCATAATCCCGGGTTCACTGCGGCGGCTAGCACCGACGAAGCTCATGAAAAGGCACTGCGGTGTGCGAAAGGGATGGCGATGCTGGCTGTTCGGGTACTTTTAGATGAAGACCTCGCTTCCAAGGCTGGTAACGACTTTCAACATAACCACGAGTGGTAAATCTATGGTTGAATAGATCTTCAGATACCTGTAGAAGCATTTCCTATAATAAAATTAAGTCAATGTAGTTACTAATAGTATCTAGTAATGCTGATTCTAACACTTATCATTCAAGTAGCAATACACCCGCACTACTTCCCACAGGGTGAGGCGACGTACCTAAGAGTCTAGGTCGAAATCGACATCCTTTTTGCATTTGACATTGAGGGTTATTGCAGAAATAATTTAGGAAGGATATATGATGTTCTACGTCTTTCTGTACCTTTTGAACTAGTAATTGTCTATTATAATACTATCTATTTTCTATCAAAATCCATACGCTTTCAACATAGAGTCCTGGAGAAACCGCTGCATAGTTTCCTTCTCTAAACATACGCTGATATCAAAATCTCCCGTATCCGCAATGTCCATGACCTGGACGAGCCCATCTATTCGCGGCATCACACCATGCACGTACCGAGCTAGTTTATGCGTCGCGCAGAAGTCAACCTCGTATGCCCGTGCTCGTACCCATGAAGTAACGAGTGTATGCTTGGAGCCAAGGAAGGCTTGCCATAGGCGCTGTGGGCTAACCTCATAAGCTGCGTCATGGATATATGCAGATACAGCATCTGGAGTGAATAGGGACATCATCTGTCTAATTGAGCCGGCAATTGAACCGATCGTTGTAGTGCTCACTTCGGAGCCAGGTTTAGCAACATAACCCAACAAGATCGGAGAACCAGAAAAGGTATTTGGCAATGGTGGATCGACCCGATTGCGAACCCCAAGGGTAATATCAATATATACCTGATCTTGAGACCTCTCAAGCTGTCTTGCACGATTGATAAGAATCCAGATGTGCGCTAGAGCAGCATCAAGTCGTGAGATGCGGTGCCCTCTTAGGGAGTCTGGAAGACTACTCTCAGCGGCCTTCTTCATCGCGATAATGGTTTCCGCCTTGAAGCGTATTTGCACATGCTCTACAGGAGCAGCCAAGTCCCACGTTGGCCAAGGTGGAAAGGAGGAGGGGCTTAGCTCTGAGCGAGCCAGTTCCTCCGGTGATGGCCTCGTACCGAGTGTAGACGCTTCAGCCCAAGGAGGATAGCCCGGTGCATCTTTGGCCCACCAATCGTATCGATGCATGGGTAGGGCTCTCGCTATTTTGACTTTCTCTGGGTCTGGTCCTGTGGGGGTAAGATGGGCGCGCTGGTCTAGCTGCGAGGGTTCGAATAACGGTGCAAGACGCTTTTCCCCATCGGATCTATCACTCCCAAACAGATATCGCGACTGCACTGCCCAGGCATGGGCGAATTGCATAAGACACACAGCATCGGAGAGGCAATGCGTAAGCTTGATACTGATCGCAAACCCGCCGCATTTGAAGCTCGTTAACTGGATAGTAACGCCTGGCAGACCCTTAAACTCCGACAAGCTTGAAAACGCAAGTTTCGTTTTAGCGAGGAGGTCATTCTGAGGGAAATCTGTCGCATTCCACACTTGCTTTGCAGTTAATCGCTCCCCTTGGCTTGGTACTATAGCGCTGAGCTCTCGGCTGTCTTCTACAATCGTCAATTCTACTCCAGGATCCCCTGAGCTACCGTACACAACCACTGGCCGGCCGATATACCGAGGGTTGGCATCGCCTTTCACAAACTCCTCAGATGCCCATTGGAGCTGGCCTGAGAAGTGCGGGTAGTCGTCCAGGGTCTGCCTAAGCGCTTTCTCCAACCGTTCGAATAGAGTAGGATCACGCGAATCGGCGTTTTCTGCTCGATCGTAGAGCCAGATTGCGCCGCATGGTGCAAATCGCGCGACGGATGCGTCGAGGATAGACAATTTCGTAGTCGCTATCTGTTTGGGGCCGTTCAGGGGGAAAACCCTCTTTGCATGTTGAATTTGATATACTGGATCCGTCATGACGCTCTGGGTTTCCGGCCCTTTCATCTCGTCTCCAAATCTTGTCAGTGAAACTGTGTTTTGAACCCTTTCCTAGTGTAAGATTCAATCTTCTATTGTCGACGTTGGACTTTCATTTCTTCCACGCGCGTAGCTAAAATGACACTCCTCGTTTGATCGCCACATGATTCAAGAGGGTTGACAATGTCTATGAAGAACACCACCTTACTTATATGGCCTGAGTAGAGATCCGTTATTGAGTCTAATTGAGTATAAGAAATCCGCCTTAGGAATGCCGTGAGAATGACAAGTGACCCCCTATTGGGAAGATTATTGATCGGATAAGGTCGGGTCAGGCGGGTATGATTCATAATGATTCATAATTATCCGTAGCTGTGCCGCAACTCGCAACCAATATCCATTATCCTATCATCCTCGTCCTCCTCTATAGAACGAGTGGATACCTCTTTTGATGGTAGAAAATTCCATAGTATTTTAGCCAATTAAAATTCAGTAAAGTCGCGATACATTCTGTATAGGAAGAGACCTCGTAGAATCTGACCATTCACATTATTAAACATGGAAGAAATTCCTTTCTACTAACCGGATTACATGACGTGACTTTAATAAAAGCGCTGGCATCTTTTATCTGTGGACCTCTCCCGTACTTACCGGCAGCCGACCGAGACCCCATGCGCAGGTTAAGAACTGTCACTGTATTTTCATAGCTTGGTAGTAACTTGTATTTAGCATTCATTTAATAACTCGAATATGTATTAGGTTGGGTGCAGTACATAAGGTACCTTTATAGAGTAACTAGCCACTAATATTGAATGTTTGGGTTGCCTATCACTTAGACAAAGACAACATATCGAGGCTCAGGTATACCTACCAACATTAGAAATGAGACAGCATGCTAGTACCGAATCATTATACGTACCGAGTAGAATACCTAGTTGTATTTTGTTACATAATTTACCAATAATACCAATCCTTGTTTAAGTTCAGGATACCTATAGTTTACCTAGATAGACAGGGAGCTATGCTTCTTTGACTTCCGTTACGTTTTAGTGTTATCTTTCAACTATGTCATTTAGAATAATCTAGGTTAGAATAATGAAATATCTAGGGAACTTTTGCATGCTTATTGATTTAATATACATATCCTTTGTTTCGGTTCTAACCAAGTACGCTTTAACATACATCCGGCCCTGCCGATAAAGCCTCTGCAACCTGCTTAGCAACTACATCATGGATGGGATACGTCGGATGCAAGTTATTGAGCCAGAAATATTCGTTTACGGCAACTCCACAGCTAGGAGTAAACGTGTCGTCATCGGGTGTGCCACTGGGATTATTAGTTCTTCACTCAAATATAATAGGAATCAATCGTTCGGCGCCCCTGAGGGGCCCTGAGGGAGTGTATCTTACTTCTGATACGCGTTGCAATAATCAGTGGTATTCTTAAGGCCTGCAGTTTCCGCGTATGTACTTGGCTTATCCAAAACCTCGGCAAAGCTCTTGTTTGAGTCATAAACCCAAACGTTGACTTCGTCTGTATGGTTGCTCTTCAATGTAGAGGCCGTATCTGCTACTCGTTTGTTCCAATCTGCGATCGCTTCTTTCTCCGTATCCACAGATTCTTTACCCTGGCCAACAGTTAATGGACTGCGGTCCACAGGCGGGACGTTAATGAAGACGAAATTCCTGGCGCCACTGTTATAAAGCTGATCAACTAAGCCTGAGTAAACATCAAAGATCTTGGTGTATAAGGGGCCCGAGGATTCTGGTCCAGACCCATACGAGTTCCCAACGTCATTGATACCAATCCAGAAGGCAAAGATAGAATCCGCACTCGTCCATTTAGGTGCAGATGGAGCTTTAGCAGAAGTACCTATGTAGCCCGGGATAAACTCTTCCTGTACCTGTTGCTTAACAGATAAGACGGTAGGCATATAAGGCTTAACAAGATCTGAGTCGACAGTCGCACCTCCGTAGGCCAGGTTGTAAGTTTGTAAGAGTGACGCATTATACTTGACGGTAAGATACCCAACCCAATTGGGCCCATTCGACGATGTCCATCCAGGATATTCAGGGTTCCCAAACGGATTAGAAGGTGAAGGAGGGGTTTGCGTATAGTTGAATCCTATGAGAGAATGTTAGGACTGGTCCCCTTAGGTCAATTAATCTTTCTTTTAGCACCTGTCTGTGTGTAGCTATCCCCACTAGAAACAAGTCAGTATATGCTATGCAGAATCTGATCAGAAACGCTAACAAGATGAAGGCATGTTTGATATCCTTCCAACCGGTCCATTCTGTCGTTACCGCACATCCCTTTCTTGCCGATGGTAGCGCGTACGTACTTGTCGCAAGGCATGCTAATGTTGCAACTACGAAATGAGCCATCTCTTAGTAGACCAATGCTGAGATACTACTGATCCCGCACTGCCTGATTTAATCCAAGTCGCAAATCTGATGTTTAAACTTCCTACGTGTGTATTCGTGGTGGACTTCAAATGGACTGTGACATGGACTGATGAATGAAATGGAATTGAGTTTTCAAGACCAAAGGAACCAGAATATGAGACGTTATATATCAAAAGACTTATTTTAGAATTCATCTAGGACATTTTTACGGGTGGATAAGTTAAAGTACCCTTACAGGGGCCACCCTAGTGGGGGCTACCTTAAAAACGCGACGCGTTCGCGATGAGGTTTATATACGAATTATTATATAATTTTATTAATTTTTAGTTAATTAAAAAATAAAATTTATTATTTAAATCTTTATTTTTTTACGATTTTAAAATGTTTACTTTTTTAGCTTAATTGCGTTGCGTTATAGCAATAAACAACGTTTTCGACAGCATATCTTTACGGTAGGCGTTTAAAAAATACTTTATATTACGATATTATTTTACAGACCGAATATTAGGCTGTAGAATACAAGACGATTATTTAAAAAAACGTTAGAAATTATTGAAATATTAAAAAAAGGAATTAGCCAATTAGGCCGTTACATTAAATCGTATTAGCCATATACCTTTTTTATATCAATTTAGAGATATTATAAGAAAACTATTAACTTATAATTACCAACCCGATATCTTTAGTAAATATTAGTATATACAATTTTTATTTTATTATTTTAATATTAAATCGGTTAAGACTTATTTAATCGATTATAAACAAATTAACGAGGCTATAATTAATAATATTAATATTTTTTTTAACTGATTCGAAACTTTTAAGATTAAAAATATCCTGGCTAGGTATATGTATAACGTTAACAAAATAAGAATCATAAAAAGGATTGGGGATAATGAGATAGTTATTAACGAGGTTTATAAAAAACATATTGTGATTAAAGATTATAATAATAAGATTTAAACGTTGATTATTAAGTATATTAATGGCAATAGTTAATTTTTAAATTTTTTTATTATATATATAAGTAAATATGTATAATAATAATAGTTTCTTAATAATAAAAACGTTAAATTTAAAGGTTAAAAATTTATTACGTTTTTTAATAATTAGATTAATAATGATATTGTATTTAAATGGTTTTGTAAGGTTTTTTTAAAAAAAACGAAGCTATTAAATTATTAATAATAACAATTATTAATCTTTAACGATTATAGTAACCATATTATAATAAAATTCTTTTAGGAATATTTTATAAATAAAGTTTACATTATTTTTATTTCGGCATACTTATCGTACGTTTTATAGGTTATTAATATAGGTATATTTTTATTAATAAAACAAAATTATTATTATAAACTTATTAAAGTATATTAATTATATTATATTTTTAATTTTGGTAAAAGGGAATTTATTACAACCTATTAAATAGTATAAAAAGAACGTTTAATTAAATATAATATATTAGTTAATTGGAAAGTTACAAAGATTTATTTTAAAGATTAAAATAAGCCGTTGAATTATTGGCTTATATTTTAAAAAGCTTTTAGTACTACCCCAACCCCCCCGGGCTTTATTTCTAACCCAAAAAAACTTAATTTTATCGAAAATATAGCTTTAATTTCTTTAACAACACTTTTAAATTTACAAGATATTAATATTTTAGCTAAAAAACTATCTAAAATCGATATAATATTTATTAAACTTGCGGTAAAACTTTTATTTAATAAAATTAATAAAGTTTTCAATAAAATTACTATGAAATTAACTATAATAAAAACTCGCGCCAAATATTTAAAAAAAATATTAATAAATACGAAACCGTAAAAACGGCATAAGATATTATTTAATTTAAATTTAACGTTTATAAATATTAAGGTTATTATGAAAAAGAAAGAGTAGTTAAAAGCTTAGGAATTAAATAGTACAATTACAATTAACAATTTTAATACCAATTTAAAAAATAAGACTTTATTAATTAAGTCGATAGTAAAAGATTATATTATTGTTAAAATATAATAAATTATAAATTAATTAAATTTAATTTAATTAAATAACGTTAAATTAAAGTTAAGGTGTTTGTTTTGAAAGTTTAAAAATTTGAGGTAGCCCTTATTAGGGTGGCCCCTGTAAGGGTGTTTTGATTTATACTTAGAATTGGGGGCGGCCTTTTTGCTGCAATCAGCGCGGAATGAATTTTGTCACCAATCATAGTATGGTCTGATTTTATACTGGCCTGGCCATCCAGGCTTCATCGCTAATCGATTTAACACACGACCTGCAGTTCTACAAAGGAATATTTTCGGTACTAGCACGCCACCCCCAACACAAATATTGGAGAAGACGGGGCGTCGAGCGCCGTACTTTCGAATCTAGCATTTGAAATTCCGATGTGAGTTCCCACTTTCAAATCCAATAAAATATGAAAAGGTCGCAATTCAAAGCTGCCTCACGAGCCTATACGGAGGCAGAGGTTCCGAACCACAATGGGATAGGTAGGTCAGGGGCACACATCGAAGTTATGCTGCAACGCCGGTCAGAAACTTTATCCGAGCTTCGCGTGAAGGAAAGCTAATGTTCTAATCAGAAAGATTCATTGGCCTGATTTTGTACTATGCGCTACCATCCTATTTTTATTCTAATAAATTTCAAGGATTAAACAGTGCCGGATATGGATAATAACTCTCGACTAAATGTTACGTTGGTCCATTTTATCACCTAGGGATCTTTGAATCATGATTAAAAAGACTATATCTCGTGGAAAGCTTGGTTTAGATCTACATCCCGTTTCAATAGTCTTTATTGCTGAATCTAACAGGCTTGAGAACAGCAGAACTACTACTACCCATAGTGCTATAGATCAGGTCCAAGTTATAATATTCCAAGTTCTTCACATAGTTAATAGACAGCTTTGTTCTCAGCATCCTGCAGATCGAAGAAGTGATAGAAAAGAACAATACGCTCAATGACGGCAGTGGCGTAATTTGTCTTTGCGATCATTACCTCGATGTACGATCTTGGACGCCCATGAATTTACTAAAATCTGATTAACGTTTTAAGTACGTTTAGTTACGTTACCGGCAACTTCCAACGGTAAGGGATTGATTACGCCACAGAGGCCTATGCGAGAGTAAAATAAGATGGCAGAAAGCCAGTAGAGGCTTATGAACACCATTTCACTGACATTATGTCTAGAAATAAGTCTCTCGCAGGAAGCATTTCTGTGGAGATACCGAATGTATGAGGGGTATATATCTATAATTAGTTCCTAGAATTATGAAAAGATCGAACAAAGTTGCTTAGACCCCATAATGAGGGAGTTACCTAGGTATATTTACCCACTTTCTATTAATAAACATCGCTTCCATTTCCTTGTCAATAGATTTTGCTAACATGCCCACCTTCCAATAGGTACTACAAAGTATTCGTCGTCCTAGCAGGAATAAGAGTGCTATATCAAATACTCATCATAGTCTATAACCTATCTTACCTTCGGTTTGGTGGTTCAATTGTATTTTCTGTCGGCAGATGATATTATTTTATAATTCAGCTTTTCCACTATATTTACTATGACAACCTAATTCCGGAAACGCAGGCCATATATAATTCCATCATGTATCATGTGTATTAGGTTATATTGGGTGCTTAGAGAGAATTGAAATGTAGTAGATTCTAAAGAAATGATGAGGAAATGTGTGTATCTAACTAGAGCTAATCGTTTATATAGACTCGCAGTTCATGACAAAGTAAGACGAGCGCCCCAACACTGTTAGTATATCAACCAGTTTCTCTACTATATATTAACATGTCACCATTTGGTCTCCTTCGCATAAGTCCATTGATGAAGGCGCAATCCATTCTCTATAACGTCCTTCTAGCTGATGCTTATGCGGAGGGTAACCTTTGTCTTTCCATTCGGCAAAACCGGTTCTAATTCGCACCAACCTATTGGTTTCCGCCCAGTACTGGATATGAAAAATAGCGGACCGGAACCTCTTGAACTGTTCGAGATCAAGCAAGGCGAAGGCTGCAACAAGCCTCACGTTGTAGTAAGGCATCTTCGTTACTGGGCTTACGCTTCTCCACATGACATAAATATGTGCAAGGTATGGCATTGTATTAACAAGAAAAACCATGTCCTGGTCCCCGAATATCGGCCAAGTCTCATCTAAAGATATCCGGCCACTAATAATAGCTTGGTTCTCTGCTTTTATGAAATAATCTTGATGGCCTTTTGCTTCTAATACTAGATACGGGAAGCAGACGTTGCTTTGGTTAGGCTGGACCAATGTGTGGATATCGCTGTTATTCATTTCCATTCTTAACTCAGGCACAGATAATAAATTATACCCGAAAAGTATATCGGGTACTGGGATCGGTAATGTGTTGCCTCCCTCTAAGGGGGGGCAAATCATGGTTTGGAATAGAGCTCCACTGCTATATTTGAGCAGCTTCGTGTAGGTAGGACTTCTGAGCCCTTCATCGAGAGTTTGGTAATCCTTAGGGACTTCGTCATCTTCAGGAATTTTAGGTTCAACTTCAACCCAGCCTTCACGGTTGAGGTCCAAGGCGAGAAGTATACCTTGGAAATTCGGGGCCTCATATATCTCATTCATCGCAGTGTCCATATACCGAGCATGTATCTTGCAGATATCTTCAGGAATATCGTCCCTCGGTATAGCATCTATTTCGTCAAGATGGCTCTGAACCCAATGTGGAAGCACATGGTTAGGGTGTAGTAGTTCGATTCTATTCACAGGGAGGACAGTACTTCGAAAATTCGTATGCATTATGAATTCCGAACTAGCATCCCCTCCTAGGATAGAGTCTGAGTCTGAGTCATCATCGTCTGTCGAGTAGATTTTTGCCTCAGCCGGTGAGGCTGGGTCATCAATTTCAAGCCAAGCAGATATTTTAGATTTTCCCCGAGAGATGAACTCCTCGTTGGCAGGCTCTTGGATTAAGGACGGCGTAGGAACGGTCAAGGGAACGTCTTCTGGATTTCCTTGAGCAAGTTCTTGAGAAGATGATTTTGAAAAAGGTAATTTGTATTTTTTTGTGTGGGTGAAACCGATGCTGTGTGAGTTGCTATATGATCGCTTTTTAGATATTTGGGGGTCCATGATGGCTGTTGAATTCGTAGGCAAAGGGGAAAAAGTATGATTAATCGTAGTGCAGCGCTTTTCACGGGATAGAAATGGCTCCTTGTAAGTGAACTTGCTTACGAACGGGTTGTTACATGTTCATAGTGTATTCTTATACAAGCCGTTAACTGATATACTGATATACTGATATACTGATATAATGAATTCAAACAAAGAAAAGAAATAGGTATCTTTCTAGACATGACACCTTTGACTATATCTATCCTATATGGATCTATATCTAATTCATATTAGTTCTATTTATCCCTGACAATACGTCTTATACATACGAGGGAGAATTAAAACTTTGAAAAGACTTAAAAGATGCCACTTTGAGAATGATGCAAAACTCTCAACCAGTCAGATGTAATTGGATAATGTACTTGTGCCGTCTACGTAAACTTGACGCCAGCACCTTAAAGGGTGCTGCGCATTAAAAAAGCGGTTAGCTGGTATCAAAGATAGCGTTGCAAGGGGTTAGAGCGAATAAGAGGCTATCCTAACCCTCGTCAAACACCTAAAAAGGAAACAAAATTAAGGGTACCTATGAAAGAATTATGGCAGAATACGAAAGATAGAAAATACTTTTAGGATATATGGGAAGCCCTCCTATTCGGAAGTACTTCGGATCAATCCTTAATTATACCAGCTTGAGGACTTAATAGAATAGGTACCTAAGGAGGTAGGTTAGTTTATTTTACCCCTATTGGGTACCTACTATATATGATAGATCATTTATTTTCTTTTTCCGGACTCATGACAACGTCGAATTTCTTCTTTGTGTCTGGCTTTACCTTGGAAGGTTATTATTATCACCCCTCCAATCGACAGGCCAATCAAATATCAAATATCTCTAATCAATCAATATGGTCAAACATGACCATCCTAAGGCGAACATTACCCTCGTAACTGAGTCGCGACAAGAACCGCGATTTCGTAAACGATTGACGCGCCGGACGCCCATTCGATCTGCATCCCGCTTTGTTCCTCAAGATCCCAACGAAACACCAGAGCATCATTTTCCCCTACAAACCATTTCCTCGCGATTTGCCCAGTCTCGCTTCATCAACCGCTATGATAGCCGTGAGATATTGATTCTTATTGACGGGAGCTGCGTCAATAACGGAAGTAGGGATCAGACTGCCAAGCCATCTTCCGGTGGGTGCAGTTTCACATTCAAAGGGCCAGGAAGATATGGATCCGAAGTAGAACATCCTTTCAAGGATGCTAATTATAATGACGGTGGGATGGTTGGATTTCCTTTGGAGAAGTGCGGACCTGGAGGCGAAAGTTACAATGCAACAAGTAACAGGGCGAAACTTAGAGCAGTAATTGCAGCACTCGAATTTCGCGATTGGCAAGAAGAAGGATGGCGGCGCATCGTCGTTGCGACCGACCTCAAATACGTTGTTGACGGCGCAATAAGCCATCTGCCAACATGGGTTCGACGCGGTTGGCGGACCAGCAGGTTGAAGAAAGTAGCTAACCGAGACCTGTGGGAAGAACTCAACGGTGTCATTGAGAACTTACAGAGGCGTGGCACCTCGATTTCATTCTGGCTACTTCGTTCGGGTAGCTTGGCTAAGACCAGATCAGCATTGGTACGCGAGACTAAAGATGCCGCTAGAGAGGTCGCTATCGAGCATACTGATGAAACTGCATTGGAGTTTACAAGGTTATGTGGCATCATGTTATAAGGCCGTGATATTTTGATTTTGGGAATTTTACAAGGGCTGTGTATCTGATCTGATATACCAAGCATGAAGAGAGAGAAACACAAGATGGTTGGGATTTGCCCTGATGCTACATTTTGACTCGTATTCTGAGTCGCAAACACAGTTCCCAGAAGCTTGGCAAAATTCCTGATTAGTGCCTAACCTTTGGACATGCTAAAAGCTGCCGGATCCAGTTAGTATGCAAGTGAAATAAGAGGTAGGTAGGTAGTTATGATAACGAGGGAGAAGCTCTGTACATTCGAGCTTGCTAGAACATAGAAATATAACATTCATGCGTCAAATGCTTCACGGCTCGAGCATCGTTTTCATTCATTGGCTCCGTATGGTTTTGATCGATCTATCAACAAATCAAACCTCCCTGATAGGACCTTTGTAATGTTTCTTCGCCCGGAGAGGATACCATATGATAGAAAACAAGATAACGACACAAAAGGGTAGAACACTCCAATTAGTCGTCTCCGCCGTTGGATCGTTCGTCTGAGGCCAGAAGGACCAAAATAGCGTTACCACATTATATACGCAGGCGAATATATTATTAATGGTTCCCAATGGCTCGGGGATTCGCCAAGGCCCCCAACTAACTTCTTGATCAGGGTCCTCTGTTTCTCCCGAATAAGGACGCATCCCCCCTGTAGTACGGCGCCAAAGAAGAAGAGCACAAGGAATCATGTAGGAAGCAAACAGAGCAGCTACCGACAAGGAGCACAAGGCCTGGAGGGCGATGGCAGACCCAAGCGCAATTAATGATAAGATTATGGTGACAGCGAAGGTAGTAAGAATTGCATTCGTTGGGAGAGTGTTCTTGGTGAGCTAAATAGACTCGGTTAACGAACATGGATCGGATCTGGGGTGCACATATTAATTAGATACATACCTTTACCAAGTGGTTTGAAAATGGAACGCCTTTGTCCCGAGAAAAAGACCAGAGCATGCGGGCCGTCGAGGCATATATACCAATGCTACCCGCTACTGTCAAGGCGAAGATGACACCCGCCATAAGGCAAGCCCCTGTGGTTGACTTAACCGCGGAATCAGCGACCTGGAGGAAAGGGTAGAACATGGTATCGACAGCTGCCACTGTGCATGATTTACTGTCAGCAATTGTACTTGGAAAGTTGTAGGGGTATTGGAGTGTCCATAGAACTGCAATGTGACTCACTTGCTGCATCCAAGTCGCTGATACAAAACACCATAGCGATAGCCATACCCAATGCAAGTGCTCCGTTAATAAGAACCGTATACATCAACGCCCGAGGAACTACTAGGGGAGCCGATTGTATCTCTTCGGACATATGAACAGCACAATCAGCTCCGACTATAGCCGTAGCAAGCGTGGGGAACCCAACAAAGAAAGCCATCGTCTGTGTAGGCCAGTTCCCATTGTTGAGGAATGTTGAAAAGACAAAGCTCGGTTCATTGTGAGGTGCAAAATACACCACTTCATCAACTAAGTCAGCAACGACTTCCTCAAGGTTTCAGGAGTTTTATAATCCTCTCTGGAGCAGTAACTCGTCACTAGGATCGATTAAGAAGTCTTACTCTTAAGAGAGAAGATAAAAGAGGTAAGGGGCTTCTTGTTGGTACATACTTGGGACTAAAACTCCGAAGAAGCCGGTTAAATGGAGAATGAGAATGAAGGCCTCTAACTTTGCCAATATACGACTCGTGGTAGAATTTATGAAGGTGGTGAAAAGAGCAAAAGCCCATATGAGCAGTACGGTGTGCCATGCTAGAGGTATATATGTTGGGTGAGCTAAAACAATGATGCCTTGTAGAAGAGTCGCGACAAGGTAACTGCACATGACAGAAATTGCTTGCCATGCTAATGTTGTAAGCCAGGCAGTCATGTATGATAAGAAGGTTGAACATGACTTTGGACCCAGCATCGAAACCCAGTGATCTACGTAGTGAACGAAAGTTAGTAGATGATCTAACTGAAGATATTGCGAAATCTCTTCATACATTGACCACCAGCAGTGGGTGCTGTCGAAGCCAATTCAGCTAACGTCGCATACATAGAAATAACTCCAACCCAATTGACTACGAGCCCCCATATAAGACCGGACGGTCCACTGATTCGATTAGCATTTGTTAAGCATCTTGGCAGCGTTCCATTAGAACTACCACTAAGTAGACTTACCCTATGATCAGACCTGGAACACTCGTCAGGAGAATGCTCTCCCACGAACATAATGCCGAACAGGAGAAGCCGAGAATTGACATGAATCCAAAACTTCGAGTTAGGACTGGCCGCTTCCCAAGCCGCCGTAGGACCGCGTCGTCATCATAATTATCACGCTTGCGAAAACTTGACGACGATTCATCGCGGAGAAGATTCCCGACATTAAGCTCAAGCTCGTCTTTCGACATAGCGATTGATATGCGCAAGGATACGCAATACCTTAATACAGAACGATAATGACTGCGCGAGAAAGAAACCGACAATATCGGGACCCGAGTTAGACGACAATAGGTCGAACTAAAGATCGACTTCGGTCGCCCAGTTGTGGAGAAAAGAACGTGATGGAGGTGAGCTGGACAGGACAGAACGCGACCCCCCCTCGAACACGCTCTATTAGGCCAGCTGAACTTCACCTAAGATTGCCCCCGGAAAGTGGCTGGTTGGCCCGAATAGAATAGTGAGTGGAATAGTGTAGACAGTGAGGCACAGAGCTAGGGGGCGATAAGCGAAAAAGCACGCAACCAAACAACGCGAGGGAGTGGCCTGTGTGGCCAAACCCTCTCGTGCAAAGACACGGCACAGCATGGCACAGCATGGCAAGGATGTAACATCACATCCCCGCACTCGGTGTGTTTCTGATCCTCCCAAGAGCCCGTCAACGTTTAAACAAGACCTATTGAGCGAACCAATCGGTTTACTTGAACCTCTGATAATAAATGTATATTATTGGAGCGCCAAATCTGACATCAGATAGCTATCATCAACATCTGTGTTGTCGATATAAGTCCTACTTCGCAAAATTTACTCTAACATTTCTTACTTATAAAATTTTGCTATCAACAATCGATCACCGTGTACGTATGGGTGTTACCATTTACTCAGGAACCGTGTCCAGTTCATTTAATAGTATCTACGGGGCATAATCCGGTTCCAATACGGTGCTGTTAGCGTGCGTTCTCAATAACGAAACACGTACGATGCTCTCCCGCGGTGTCCAATTGGTGGCGTTGGTATGGGATATGGCATAATCTCTGAGCATTTCGTCTTTCAAGTTTCCAGCTATAATCCTGGACTGTAGACTAAGCTAAGGAGGTAGATATCTCTACACAACGTCTCAGTGATCTATCTTACTCACAATGCACTTCTTCAGAGGGACAGCAGACAACAGATTATCATTGACCATATAATTCATAGCAATATCCTAAGTTCCCAGAACCATTCGTCGATTGGCAACACCTTTGCACCTAAGTCCGGTATCCATCATGCCCTTCAGACCATAACCCTATATAATCGGTTTCCTAATTCCGCCGTTCGTGCTCCGCGTCAACGACCGCTCCAGGGGTGATGATCACATCCGAAGTAAATCCACCGCGGATCTCTTTCTTGCCATCGCGGGCCCCTACATAGTGTAAGTCGAAAAATAAAAAGATGCGGTAGACTGAAGAATGAAATACCTAGGGGGGCTGCAGATGCGACGGTGCCGAGTCCCAGCAATGCCATGATGAAAGCCTTGTAAAGCATTTTGAAGCAGGTGGACGATTGGTGTGTATGAGCGTACTTGAGTTTATTGAGACAATATTGCGGTCTGTGAAACTAAAAACCCGCTTCTGTTGACAGGCTGGTCGACTGGCGGGGATTTATACAATGAACAGTCTGATATTCTGATATTCTGATATCAGATGAAAGAAACACCCCCACTAATGATATACAAGTCAAATGCAACATCGTTAGGACTACGATCACACAAGAGATCCAGACTACGAAACATGATTGGCCTAGTCGCATCTGGCACAGCGAGCACAGTCCTACGCAGGAAATTAAAAATTCAATATCACATCCGCCACTTTACAGGGTATTTCACATTGCCGGCGGCTATATCGAGCGGTGAATCCCGTAGGGCTTTCAAGCGGGGTGCCGAGTCAACTGTCTCGGCCATAGGTCGTGCATATCTGCAACAGAGAGTGGGATGATAATCTTATAGGTGCTTGATGGTATATAGGTTACATTAAAAAGATGATATACATACCTACCTACCTACATGCAGACATGCTCACTAGGTAGAACCAGATCTGACGCTTGCGTATCCTAGTGGGTCATAGCGTAATGAAGTCCTGCATATCTATATCCGTCGTACGACCTGTGAAAGTCATAAGGCTGAGTGAGATTCCTCCATTTTTATATTAATCGCTTGAACTAAGCTCTCTTCCTTGTCTAACTCCAAGAGTCTCTCGCATCCCGCCATCAATTATCATGGAGAAAGGCTCAACAGAATCTCGAGATCGCCTTCTCGGTGAAACAGAGTACATCGATGCGAAGTTCAGGAGCTCTGATGAGTCTAAGATATCAATACGCCGATGGATACGCAACAATGCCCTTCTACTTGTGATATTTGTTCTTCTGCTATACATCGCCATTTTCCTGACCATTGACTCCGCGGCGAGATTCGGGACGCAAAAGCAATGCCTCGGAGCGGATAAACACTTTAGTATGGGTTGTTGTCACCTATTATAGTATGAATTTCTACTAACGCTGTATAGGGTTACCTGGGGACGCTGTACGGTACGAAGAGAAGCAGGAATGGTATACCCTTCGCGAACCTTGGAACAAGGAGCCGTCAGACGAACTTGATGATCTGTGGGAAGACTTATTATATGGTTAGCATCCCGCAAGCCAGAGTCTCGTTAACATATACTGAAATTCTCTAGCGTTGAATATCAGAGTTTCCCCTCATGAAATGGAACGACTTGGTTCAAACCTCACGAATCGTATCCAAGTTGATGGTGGAGACTATCTTGGCGTTATGGGCGTATACCATCATCTTCATTGCCTGAATAATCTACGGAGGCTAGTTCATTGGGATTATTATGAGTCCCGTGTGTCAGATGTAGGCTCTACGGGTCCTTTTGGAAAGGGGCACTCGGGTAAGCCATTTGATCCTCTGATGTCAAAGGACTATTAAGCTTATATTTATCACCCCACAGATCACTGTATCAATGCAATCCGTCAAGCCTTGATGTGCCACGCAAACACCGAGATACACACAGGACAATGGATTTACGACCCTGATAGGCCTCAGGCTTCAAAACTAGGATCGCACTCGATAACTACATGCGTGAATTGGGATAGCTTGAATAATTGGGCGCGTAGCAGAGCATTGAGATCGGGTGAATACACCTACAGGCCTGTACCGATCGATGAAACCATGTCAGATTAGAGGATATAATAACTTATAAATGCCTTTAAATTCGTCATCTGACATGCATTATCAAGTACTACCCCACTGGAAGCACGAGATCCTGCGCAATGATTAAGTTCTTGGTTATATAATTACAACACGAGGCAGACATATTGGTTCCATGATAGTAAATATTCTCTTATGTCACCACTGTAGACACAAGTAGTGTATTTTTGATGTATTCTCCCCCGCACCTTGAAGCTGCGTCAGCCACGGGTATGTAAGGAGTTCCCAAGTGCTTACGTCTTTTCTAGGCAAGGGGGATGATGCAACCGTAGCAGCAGAGGGTAGTATTTGTTGGGCGTATTCAATGTACGACAGAATCGGTCCGATCTATTTTGAAGCTTAACCAACATCTGGACCTTTCATAGCTGCGTAGGTGGCTTACAAGAAGCCGCATATCCAAGTTTCATTACCATTCTTCAACGGCCAGTCCAGTTTTTCTGTTACGAACATACATAAGGTACCTCTTATTGATTGAAATCGCACATTTAGCTCCTATCCACTGGTCTAGACCCATTAATATGGCAGACTTACCCGTCTTAGAAAGCAAAGTGGCTTTTGATGCCCCCAATGCGGGAAAGCCATCCACCACGTGGTACAAGGTCGTCGGCGACCTAGACAAATCGACAACCCCGGCCTTAATTGTACTCCATGGAGGACCCGGTGCGGGACACGAGTACTTGGCTTCTTTTACGGATCTATACGAGCAATACGGTATTCCCATCGTATTCTATGACCAGATCGGGTGCGGGAGGTCCACTCACTTCCAAGAGAAGATAAAGGATGATTCATTCTGGACAGTCGACCTTTTTATTGCCGAGCTTGACAATCTTGTTGACCACTTAGGATTGCGCGAGAGGGGCTTCTTCGTCGCCGGCCAGAGCTGGGGCGGAATGCTGGCAGGATCGTATGCATCCCGGCGTCCTCACGGCCTGAAGAAACTGGTAGTCGCCGGCGCGCCTGCTAGCTTCCCGATTTTCATGGAATACGGTAAAACGCTGCGCGCAGCCTTGCCAGCGGATATCCGTGAGATATTAGAAGCCGGCGATCGAGATGGAAGCTACGAAACCGCAGAGTATGAAAGGGCTAGTGCCTGTAAGTAGCATCCCGAATCGCCTATCGGTTATATCTTATGCGCAATGATATCTTATATTGATCCGTCAGTCTTCTATTCGCGACACGTCTGTTCGCTTGACCCCATCCCAGACCCTGTAAAGCAGGCCTTTGCAAACTTGAAAGAGGACCCGACTTCTTACCATACTATGTATGTACTCCGACGAATCAATAGCAGTAGACTTATCGGGTATTAACATGGTAACCTTAGGCAAGGTCCTTCTGAGATAGTTATTACTGGCAACCTCAAGGACTGGGAGGGCTGGAAGGATGCCCATAATATTCAAGTCGACACATTGCTTTTGAACGGGAGGTATGACGAGGTGGGGGAGCCATGTGTAGAACCCTGGGGTATGTACAAGAAAACACCGATCTTCTGCCACTAATCTTCTGCTGATCATTGCTAACTACCAATAGTGAGTAGAGCTATTCATTTTCGCGTTGCCTCATTCTACTAACCCCTTGAATTGGGTTATAAAACATGTCCGTCCACCATAAATGTTACGTTCAAAGGCTAATAAGAATCTTTTCGGGATACTAGTTTAGGGTAATTCCGAGGGTCAAGTGGGTGGTATTTGAGAAATCTAGCCATATGGCGCACTGGGAGGAGCGTGAACGATTCATGCAGGTGGTTGGTACGTTTCTTACAGGCTATTGAGGTAACTCGATCATGTTATCAGACCTACCAGCAGACATATTCGCATGCACTCTTGCTCCTATGAATGAAACCTGGGATTATTATTCCAAGAGCTGAAGGTGGGTGAGTGTTGCAATAGCTTCTTGGGTCGGTGCTAAAGAGTTACAACAATGCAAAGGGGTTAGCAAATCAGACTATGTGTTACTCAACTCCATACGCAAGCTTCTATTTGATGCATACATCTCTTAGTCCAACTTTGATAGGTGAATTTAAATCATACTGCAGGCAGATCTGCAAGATTAGGTTAAGATTTGCGAGCTTGTCTGCGCCGCATGACTATAGCTTATAGGTATGTCCAATATACTAGGGACGCGCGATAGCCGACGTTTGGTTCTATTATATCCTACTGAACCTGCTAAACTAACAACTACTTCCTATATAAAAATGACTGCTTGGCAACGGCGTTTGTGTGGTCACCCTACCCCCTTATTAGTGATCCTCATGATAACATCATATGAGGTGGATGGTTTAATATGTGACGACAGCCCCGCTTACTTATCCGACGTCACCAGTATACATAGAGGATAGAAGGCTGATAAATAATAATTTTCCCGTGTACGCGAAGAATTACGCGAGCTGGTTTTTCGCTTCACCAACGCCGGCGAATTCCTGCGTTAAGAACCTTATTCATAGGGCTACATTTAACAAGGTACGCAAGGCGGGAACTAAAAAAGACTCTAGGAGGCAGTCAGTAAGTGAATGAAAATGATGTTTGCATTTCATATATTATAATAACCTTGCATTAAAAGCTTGCCAGCCGCCAGTCTATTTACTACCTAGGTAGGTAAGCATATTTTATCATTTGTGCCCCTTTTATTCTATAGCTACCATGTTCTTTGTAAACTCAAGATATTTCAAAGGAATGATGGCTGTATGCAGGAATCAACAAGCCCCTTAACGAGGACAAACTCAACGTAGCTACACCATTCATAATTTAAACCAACGGATTAGGTGCCGATAAACAACTATTAGATCAATTATAACCTACATAAGAGGTAGATGCCTAACTTTTTCTTACCATCATGCTGAAACTAATGCTAGCTCCTATAACGCCTAGCCAAAAACACCCCTACGGCATAATAACTCCCCAAACATACATATTTAAGGTATAAGGATCAAAACGTTGACTTCTGGTGCTCTTCAATGAACTGGTACCAATCATCAACCTCTTCGACATAATTCTTGCTCATGTAAAAGAACGACCCTTTCTTGACAAGATCCATATCAAGGCACCTCTCTATCTTCAGAGGTTTGGCGTCGGCCTCCTGCCTACACGTTCTATGCAAATTTGCCTCAAGTTGCGGGAGAAACAAGTTTGGCTCGTAACTCCCATTGGGGGACTTTGAGGACTCCATGGACCGTCCTAAGCTGGGTCTCTTACGGCACTCGTGTTGTTTCTGTTGAACCGCTACATCCCTCTGTTCGGCACGCACTGCGGCCTTTTCAATAGCAATTCCTCTGCTTATCCTTGCCATGGCTCTGTTGATATCTTGTTGAGACGTGGTATCTTTAACTTTTTGCCCTTTTTTCCTATGTTCTTGTCTATTCTGGAGTTTAGGTTCGTCTTGCCGAACCGTTAGCTCGTAATGTTGAAACTATGTCAATATATAATATACGGGGGTCTGAATAATGCAAGATACACTGGTAGTTTTCAACTTATATGCTGTTTATGCCAAGATTCGAAACAATTCCATTGTCAATAGAAGGATTTAATGGATGGTATGCCTAGAGTCTTTAACAAAGTCGAACAATCCATTATATCAAAGGATTTGGAAATAGAATAGATATCCCAACAAACCTTGTAGTAGGTAACAAAGATAGGTTCAAAGGCCTCCAGAATGTTTAGTATGGCTTACGAAGTCGCCCTGCCGTAATGTGCTATACGGTGCTTGGTTTTTCTTGGGCCGTGTCATGATACCGATGCTCATTATGTTACTCGACATATCGTAAGTATAGGTACCTTAGGTACACGGGGTACGATAGAATATAAAAATAATTGATCTGTAAAATGAATAAATATCATTATTCATTGACAATTTCCACTACTATAGCCAAGCCAATCTCTAAGATGTGGTCATAGATGATAAGCCCGGTTTATACCAACTACTAAGGTGGCCTCTTGTACCCAAAACACACAATGGCAGACAGGCCCAGCGTTTAGCCAAATGTATCCAATATAAAATGCCCCCTTAACCTGCCTAAGAAGAAGACTGGTGCCATTAATGTAGCAGAACGTGGCACATGAATAAAGACACCTCGTAAGTAGTAAAACCCCAATCTTGGCCATATATGATGTAGAGTTCATTATCATTAACCCCTAAACTAAAGTCGATACCGAGATTAATCAGACCTATATTTATCCCAAACATGCGCAAGTAAGCGGCGTCGACTAACCCCACGAAGTAATTAGGTGAGAGTAGCGAGCATGGCTCTCATCAAACTAGGTGGTGGTCCTATCGAGGATAAACATGTTAGCCAAGACTCCTCCACTTTAAGATGATTACAATAAGACGAGAGCGAGTATAAGCGCACCTTCATCTATCGATACTTAGGCACGCTAATGGACATCCTACCTTTCTTGTCCTTCTCAATGCGAACCCCGCGCCGTGGCTCCTCGATCCTCTCGACCTGTTCCTCATAAAGGACGAGCTCACCCGTCGGTAGGCGTTCGGCCGATACCAATTCTCGATCGGTGCTGTGACTATGCGACCGGTGTCGGGAGTGAGAGTGAGAGTGAGAGTGGGAGTGGTGGTGCCGTCTCTCCGCTTTCAGCAAGTCGCGCTCCGCCTCTAACCGAGCGATTTCCATCTTGATGTCTTTATTTGATCGTCGCCGGTCACCGACTAAAGCGAGAGGTCCCACGGCTAGTTCTTCGCTATATTCTCGATATTCTCGGGGTTCTATGATAACGGGAGTACGAGTCGTAGAAGTAGAATGACTACGGCGACTCCGAGTACTACGAGTAGGCGAGCTCTCGCGAATAAACGTCTGATTGACAATCTCGACGGGGGTTTGTGTAGCTGGCGCAACAGGTGCTGCAGTATGGATAATTGCTGGAGGTGGAGGTGGAGGGGGAGGGGGCATTGCAACTGGCGGTGGCGGAAGAGTAAATATTTCTTCTCTCCTTTCTTCAAAGAGGGCCCCCGAAACAGAGCGAGCAGAAGCAACTTCCCGTTCGGATTTTTTGTAATCTTCGCTCAGCTTGAGTAGGTCGTCGATATTCTGTTGGCCAAGAGCCTTTTGCACAACAATGACGTTACCCTAAGGCAGTTAGATCAATGATAAGACATTGAATATGGACTCGAACTTACCTCTTCAACGAATGGATAACCAAGGTCAATGAGCGCCAGCTTTGAAACAAGTCGTTCGGGAATTCTCGTCTTTCCTTTCTTGGGATACTCGCTCTTAACGCTCTTGACAGTAACGCTAGTGCCTCCAGTACTGCTCGAATCATCCGACGAGACAGATGCGCGTGAGATGCTTCTACTTCGAACACTCCCGCCACGACGCTTATCTCTCGATGCACTACTATCGCGACGCTTCTTCAATTTAACCACCTCTCTCTCGCGAACACGCTCAGGATAAGCATGGTATTCTTCATCACCATAGCGATCGGGCTCTGAGATCTTGATCTCATCGAATTCTCGCTCGGCATATATTCTCGGCGGAGGCAAAGCTCTCGATCGGGGAAGGGGGGTCGGCTTGTATGGGTCAGGGCGGAAGTCATCGCGACGGGAGTGTGTATCAGATTCCTCCCTGTCAAAAAATCGTGGCATGGGCCGTCTATCAAATGTATCAAGAGACGACTGCCTCCGGATTAGCTGTCCGGGTCGTCGTGGAGGGGACGGAGGGCGGAATTCTCGTTCACGTTCCCGCTCGGCCTTCTCACGGTTGATAACAAGACGCCGCTCTAACTCTGGAGGTGGGGAGCGACGAAAGCGTGGGCCTTCATCATAATATCTTTTTTCACGTGGAAAGTCCTCCTCCCACGGACGTGGTGGTCTTCGCTCGAATCTTTCATCCACAGAGGCCTCACGAACCCGACCTCCTGGGCCGCGATTGTAGTAACGGTCATGTTCCTCAAAGCGATCTCTTTCGGAGCCTTGCCGGCTACGGTCACTCTCAACAGCGAAGCGACTCTTGTCCCACCTCTCGCCATACGAGTCACCGTAGGCGAGATCGTCATCTACGCGCCTATGCGCCATAGTAGAATGATAAAATTAGTAAGAAATTATTGAATCAAATAGAAGGATATTTCGAAGAATTAATTAGTTTGATAGACGAGTATAAAAAGTTACGTTAGGCGATATCGTTGTAAGAATAAAATCGAGCGGAAGTTGGCGTCGTCGTAGATTTCGGACTATGACGACAGCGGGGAAACGACTCCGAAATGTCAACGTATTGATTTGACAGTTCTTATGTATGAAGTATAATTGTGCGCGGGGCGGCTTTTCGTGATGGATATAATAGTTGCACTACGCCGCGCAACACAAAGTCCAAGTAAACCGTTTTTGTTCTCCTCGGGGTTTCGCACGTTCCTGCTGCGTGTGACCTCTATGCGACTATATATGTCGCGGACTGACCGATAAACCTGATCAGCAGCCCAAAGGCGATGTAGTGCCCTCGCGGGTGTAGGTGTGCGACAGTTGAGCTTGTGCTTGTGCGTGTCTGTATACAGATACCGGCAGCTCGTGAAAAATACTGTTCGTTATATAATATATAACTAGTCGCGACTAAAACTTGGCAGAAGTCTTGACAGGAGTTAGAAGGGAGGAGAATGACGACAAGAAATTCAATCGTGGAATTGAGTTTAAAGATTTTGGAGGGGCAACCCTGTTCTTAAAAATAATCATTACATCAGTGAACATGTGTTGATGGCTGCTTAGCCCATCTATCTATTAGCGCTGCATGAAAATACAAGCCAATACAGCCACCATGTACCCAAAGACCCACAGAAGCAATACCGGGAGAGAGCCAAGACCAATCAGCGAATCCAAAGGAAGAGGGCGTGACTGCTAGGCTATGTTAGTGTAACATCGAAGCTAAGCTAAGGTTCTATCATAGAAATTCCGTCACCAGGAAGTTTTTAGTACATACCGTATAGACATATGTACCTAACCTACCCAATGTCCACTAATACCACGTATTCAATATTTAATAATTTTAATAATTCAATATTTAATAATCATAAATCATTCATCATATTATATGAGGAGAAGAACAACTCTTTGGGAGCAAATGGCATAAAGGCTTCGTACTTCCTTCAACACCTTGGCGGTAATTGAAAATTGGGCAGCGCTTGGGTTGTTATATTTGTCCTAATTCAAGACCCCGACAGCCAGTTACCCATGGATCTGCTTCTTCGTACAACAGTAAGATTTATCAAAGTTACATTTTACCATTGAATATAACCATATCCAGCCCATTCAAGTAGCCAGGTACGTATATATCGTGAGGGTCCACCAATGCGATACATGCCGACTATCCCTGGTATCCTTGGTAAATAGGGCCGGACATGGAAGATGCTGGAGGAAAAGTAGGTACATACAAGTTTGACAGCGTCGGAGAAAGATGATGTGTCCCATAAAGCTATGTATGTATCAGTGCTTGTTTTTCGTGGATCTCGACGGGATCTAGAATTTCGTGTTGTGATGGGTGGAGAAGTTCCCAAGCTTCACTTCCAGGATATTAAAACCAAGGCTTTTGATGCAGGGTGACGTCGTTCAAATTCATTGAACTTTCCAATCGCGGACTTGTTCGAATCGGGCTTCTCGTCCCGCTCACTTGGCGACAGACAGAGACAGACGAGTGTGGCCCGTGCTATCCAACCGGATTTTCTATCTTTCTCAACGTGTTGAATGGCTTCCCCTTGTTCAAGTCTGCATTTCTCAACCATGCAGTTTCTAATTCGTACCAAGGTACGGTGAAGTCGCCATGTACGCCACGCCCAAATCCCCAGACGGCTTAACGAGTCAAGAATCTACTTTTCGCGCTTACGTGCGTATATGTATTCGTACGTTCTCCGGCGACCGTGAAACTTGAAGCGCTGGGTCGTGTTTTGTGGACAACCACGCAATTGCTGATGCCCAACCAACGCAACCATGGCTAGACTTTCAACCTACTTCGCCTAGTCAGGGGTCCTCGAATTAAGAAGAAGCCCTCACTGGACCCTGAATCCGTTTCTGTCAAGAAATGCATAATCTATTGATTGGCCGCTAGATCCCTTTAGAAAGCTCTGTTACTATTTCTATGTACAAAGTCAAGTAGGAAGTGGTTCACATGGCCGTGGCCCGTCTATGTTACTATTGTTAACATTATATTATTAATAACAATATCATTAATAACAATATTCATATCACCCCCTTTCAAGCTGAAATCCGTACTTTGAATACAAGAGCTTGGCTATCGAGGTTATAGCCGCTCTCGTCGGAATATGGAAGCTTGCCTCCATTCATAAAGCCTTTTTGAGTGATAAAGTCGTTATCGCTTAGACTAAAGACATAGAATTCTCTATTAGAGACGCTAGGATCGACAGGAACTTTTCCAATCGACTCCCATTTCTCATTCTGCATATTATGATAGGTCAGTCTTAAATCGCACCTGAGCTTAAGTCTACAAGTAGCAGGGAATGCCTTACTAGTAGATATTGGTCTTGGTCACCGCCATTGTGGATACCGAATCGATTCAACTGCGCATTAACGTTGAAGTCGAGGAAGCTGCAATATTTCGCTGCCGTGATCTTCTTCTTGAGCTCCCCACTCTTGGATTTTGCAACGTTACAGTCGGTGCAATCATAGCCTCCAGCTGCCTTAATATCTGTGGCGTCGGAAATGTCGAAGACATCGAGTTGGCGATAAACGGAAAGAGAGCTATCGGTACCGTGGCCAGCGCCAGAGTCTCTAGACAGGATGAAAAACTGACCATTCTCGATGGCGTGTATCTCGGACTGTGCGGCTACTTTAGGGTTTTTAGACTTCTTCGCCGTAGGATCATTATAAAGGGGCAGAGGCACAACCCATTCCCCCGCGTAGACCGGTGCAAGTCGATTCGAAATATCATACTTAAGAAACCTAGTATACCGCATGGTTTGCTTCTCTAAGCCCTAATGTTACAGTTAGCTTTTAAACAGTTTAGTCAAATCTCAATCTGCTAACAGGTATTCTGTCTCGGAGATGTAAAGTTGCTATTGTTCGTTCCGTCATGTCTTGCTACGGCCACAGGTTTTCATGGCTTGATAGAGTACTGCACTTACACCATCTTGAACAGTTGCGGCCTGCAGAAGTACCCACAACGACTTGCCGTCTTCGGAGACAGTGAGGCCCTCAAAACCTAGATTTTGAATATTTAGATCACACGTACCTTATATCACATATACAAAGCACAGGGGCTTACCATGATTGTTGTCACGGCCACTATCAGGATCCGCTGGATCTACATCGTCTCCTTCGCCATTATCGATATAATATGGCGGACTATTAGCAGAGAATGAAGTTTCGCCGTTGCGCACCGGTACGATCGCGTCATTGGGACGAATTGCGCTGAGCATCTTGCCGTCGGGGCTAAACAGATCTAATCGCTCATATTAGTCAAATGTTTCCTTCGTTCCAGATACAGAGCCAAAACTCACATATATAAGGGCCATACTCATCAGACACCCAAAAGCTGGAGTCACCATTCACATAGAGTCCCTCTGAATCGACAGGGATACGTTTACCACCCGGTCCATCTCCACCAAAGCCGTCGCCCGTATAAGTAGCAACGGGAAGATCGGGAAACCCAGAGAATGACCCAGAGAATGATATGTGTCCAGTAGCATCCGCATCTAACCCTGTGCAAGGCGTTCCGTCAGGTCCAGAGAAGAGTATCGTGTCTAAATACTCAAAGTATAAATTTGGACCAGATGGGTTGTCCACGGTTGCATCAGGCTTCGGCGTGAAGATAATACTGAACTTATGGACTCGGGGATTGAAGTTAAGTGTCCCTTGAGTGTTCCTAGTAGTAATAAGTCAACACCTCTAATATTTAAGCGAGTAGATGCTAAGGAAGGCCTCTTGGATCCGTGATATCTCGTAACAAGCTCTGAAGTCACAGACAAGAACTTGCAGTTTCAATGCCCTAGCTTTAACTGAAGTTATCTTGAGAGCATCATGAAACAGATTTGGAAAGGTTACTTACCAGCCACGATCAGGCAACGTCCACAGGACGCCTGAGTAACTCCCATTCTCAAGCTTCTTCCAAGCACCCGAATCTAGATGTATAGAGGAGCCAAGTCCGCCAAGCGTGTCACCGAATTTGTCAACCGCATCAGAGACAATGTATCCGTAGCCAGCAAGCTCCTCATACTCATAGACTATACCATTGCAAGCAGTCTTGTTCACACTTGGCGCTGCGCCACCACTGACCTGGCACTCTACAGTGGCGCCGATAGCACTCGCAGCTAGGGAGGCTGTGAATAAGAGTATGTTCATACTTGAAGCTAAATCAAACGCTATGAACAATGACGAGAACCTACAGAAAATAGGAACAGCTCATTGCGGGTTAATACTGTATTAAATACTTCTACCTTAGGTATACAGTTTTCATCGAAGAATCAGCCACCATTTTCGGCCCAGTTACAATCTGCGCTTGCGATACATACGGCAGGCCGTTCCCGAGAGATCAGCCAGCCATCTCTGCTCAGCACGGTGCCAAGGATAACCCTTTCACGAGTAAATAAGCACTAAAAATGCCGAACTTGGGAGGTGACAGCAATGGACTCTGCGTATTATCCGGCCACCCCAGCGCGGCGCTGGGAGAGCAAGGGAGCACGTTGTTCTCTCCCGAAGTCTTATTCGCCGATCCCCCAACCGACTTGCCGTGCTGAGATGCTAGGCGGCGAATCAGGCGGTAGGGGGGTCCCATGTCATACATTCAACAAGAGAAAATTGTTAATTGTATTCAAAAACGGCAGACAAGCACATGGGATGTTTCTGTTTTTGAGGTATAATTATTTGTTGGCAAGTCTAGGTGTGTGCTCAGTTTGAATACCTTGACACTTAAAGATTCTCATCAGAAGAGTATATCCACAACAACTAAGCTAATAAGTCGGGACGTCGAACGTCGCGTCATTCCATGGCTCCATGCTTAGGATATAGAGCAAGGGGTCTCACTGCTAGTTATTGGACGGGATCCGTCAGCGATAATGTACATTAACCCTTCGTCTAAAGCCATCGAAGACGTTCGCTACTTAGAAGTTAAAGGGGCTTTGAGTCTTCGATCGAGGGGTATCATGGACCATTGTCTCACAACATATTTCTAGATCTTCCATTCCTTCTGTACCTATCTAACGCAGTTGCGAATTGGAAACCAGGTATCTCCATGTTCATCATATGTTCTCAGTGAGCGCTCATAGCGTCTTACCAACTAATCTTTCGGCAACGTGTCAAGCAGCAGTCACGCATAGGTCATCCCCACGGCCGATTGTAAAGCAGATTCCATGGCCGACAAGATACGTCATCAGTATTGAGCGGGACGTGGGTTGCACTATAAGCTCCTGTTATATTCACCGCATCGGAGCCGGGGAAGTCGAAAGTGGCAGGAAGTCGCAATTCTAGTATTTATTCCATCAGTTGCGAAATTGGAACATTATCTTTGACTTGGATTCTGCTAGACATATTACAAGTTCCGTAACCAACTATTTTAATGTCATTGATAGGCAGTTAAAAGCCAGCAGAAGGGGGGACGGGTATGTCACACTCCTCGTCGTAATATAGCTCTCCTAAAGCCATTTAATGATGAGACTAGGAGAGTGTTTAATTATCCAAAATGGATCAGTATACATCGGGATCATAAACGAATCATCCGCAACTGCAATATTCATAGCTGTCTAAGTGTAAGTATTTATGATGATGAGAACGTTAACGTCTATTGGTGGCTATAAGCTAGGTAGCTACAGCAGGCGCATCTATGGCGCTCTAGACGTCTAGAGTACCTCCTTCAAAGGGAGACAGAGCTAGAGTTCCGCCTGACATGAGAGATCCTCCACTTCCTGCCTATAGCATTACTTTACCTGGTTAGCGCCGGCGCCAAATAGCCAACTTTCATCAGGGGAAAAACCGTCAAACACGCCTTCTTATAACGGAGATGGAATCACCCTCAGCGCTCGGCAGTGCCCAAGGAAAAACCTGAGTAGTGTAAGTACCTATTTAGTTAGTATAAGCAATTGCTCGAGTTGAAGGATCTGGTTTCTAAGACATCGATCAAGAGCAAATTAAACCCAAGAATGCTGTTCTCGGTTCTCTAGGTAGCCTTGAACAGTGCCGTCATAGAGCAACATTATGTAGAGAGACGTGGAGTATGGAGTAACGATGGAGACGCTATCTGTAATGCAACCTGATCACAAGGATAGGAACGGGGAAGGCAACCTCAATGCGGGGAATGAAGAACTAATACTCCACCATAACTTGCAGCTTCGGCTCTTTTTTCGCTATATAGATTGAGATTATTAACTGTATGAAACATCATTTTGTAGTCGATCCCATCACTTTAGACTCCTAACAACCCATGAACTGAGGCTTAAGCAACAAGACCTGCGTTAGTCATTCTCCGCCAGAAAAGGGGGATATTCCAACCGACCAATCACAATATCGATTCCTGTTCCTCGGGTGTAAATCTACACAAGGGTAAGGGGTCGAGTCTCTCCTAGAAATTTGGGATAAGTAGTCTAAGCACGCGACGAATTTTCACTCTTTAATTAGTTGAAAAAGCATCCGCGAGGTCATAAGTGGTAAGGTAGTGCGTTTTTCCTTTGCTCCAGACCTTGTAACCCGGATTCCGCATAAATCAGGGCTTATGACTTGGTCGTGTCCTAGTTGTTATGCTGTTGATCGACACCAGCTGAAGTCTAATAATGAGATGTGAAAGCGAGACATAAGATAGCTGGCATGTAGCAGTCTTCCCAATACATCTTCTAACTACTTCTTAAAAGCCCTTAATCATAACCATCGCCGAGAGATCAGATCACATCAGTAAACTCGATATCCTTATCATGGCTGAAGGCACTCATGAAATCAAAGAAGCTCCCGAGCAGGTCGATAATGGCGGATCCGAGCATGTCGAAAACAACGTAAAAATCGATACCAAGATTGATCAGCGCCATGCAGAAATGTACGCCGAAGCCTTACGGCAATATCCAGATGAAGCTTCCATTGACAAAGAAGCCGAGAAGAAACTCAAGCGGAAGTTGGATAGACGCATATTGCCTCTGCTAGGAATATGCTACTTCTTCTACGTATGGACATTCACCTGTATCGAGAAACCAGCGAAACTAACCATGATGTTTAGTATGTTGACAAGACCACCCTCTCCTATGCTGCCATTTTTGGCATCCAGTCGGACCTTCACTTGAAGGGGGCCGAGTACTCATGGCTGTCGAGCATTTTCTACTTCGGCTGGCTCTTCTGGTCGATCCCGTCGAACCTCATCATGCAACGCTGCCCACCCGCCTATTATTTGGCGTTCAACATCTTCATGTGGGGGGTGCTCTTGATGGCCCAAGCCGCAGCCAAGGACTTTGCTGGCCTCACTGCTTTAAGAATCCTTTCCGGTGCTTTCGAGGCCATTGCGGACCCGGCTTTCATGCTTATAACGTCCATGTACTACACGCGTGAAGAACAACCTTCTCGTATCTCGGCGTGGTATGCTTGGAACGGTATTGGTATAGCTGGTGGCGGTCTCATTGGTGAGTGGCAACCTGATAGGTCCGCATGTACGAAGGGAATCATAGTGACTGACATAAACAGGATACGGAATTGGCCAGATCGAAGGCGCACTTCGCTCGTGGCGATACGAGTTTATCGTCGTAGGATCACTGTGTACTTTCTGGAGCATCGTCCTGTTACTACTCTTGCCGAACTCGCCCACAACATTCTGGGGCTTCAGCAAACAAGAACGATTGCTCATGATAGCTCGTATTCGCCGCAACCAGACCGGAATCGAGCACCAAAGAATCAATTGGGGCCAGATCAAGGAAGCTTATCTTGACTACAAGACTTGGCTCTTCGTGTTATTTGGCTTCCTCGGCGCGATCCCAAACGGGGGCATCTCCAATTTCTCAACTTTAGTTATTCAGGGGCTAGGGTTTGATACACTACACACGGCCTTGCTAGGCATCCCGCAGGGTGTTCTCGTCGTCATCTGGATCGGTCTCGGGGCTCTTGTTAATAACTACATGCCGGCTAATAGCCGCACGATTGTTTCTGCTTTGTTCATGCTGCCTACGATAGGTGGAAGCTTGGGCTTCTTACTCGCGCCTACTAACGCCTACGTTGGGCGATTGATCTGCTTGTAAGTTTGGGAGTCCGCTTAGAGGAATAACAATTTGGCCAGTGCTGATGGTTACTAGCTACCTAACTGGTTCCTACCAAGCATCATTTGTGATCTCTCTGTCTCTAGTAACGAGCAACACAGGAGGACAATCTAAGAAGATGATCGTATCCGGGATGGTCTGGTTTGGCTCATGCGTCGGAAACATCGCAGGGCCCTTCTTTTACAAGTCCGAACAGGCGCCATCCTACCATCTCGGTATCGGATCTCTCCTTGTCGCAAACGTTGCCGAATTCGTCCTTTTCTTCGTCTTCCGTTACGCGTTCAAGTGGGAAAATAGACGAAAGGAGAAAGTCCGTGCCGCTTTACGGGAAACTGGTGTGATCACGGATAACGCCGAGGGGTTGAACGCAACGGCGTTCCAGAACTTGACAGACAAGGAGAACCCAAATTTTGTTTACGTATATTAAAAGAACTATTAAATTTAAATTTAACATTTCAAAAACATAAAAGATAGTACTCGTAATAAAACGACGACGTGAAGGCTCGGGTGTATCCGGCACTGAGCGCCGTATTATACATATTTTCATTCGTACCTCTTATGATCTTACGGTAGCTCCGTCTTACTCACATAGTTGGAACAATCTAATACGGACGGAAGAATTATCAAAAGTATAAGTTCGGTGCTATACGTAGGGCTGCTGGATATCAGGCAAATAGGTAGTAAAGGCCGTAAGCAAATGAGAATGTTACATGGATGTACCGCACCTATCACCACACAATCAGGCCTAAGCTATAACCGGGCAGTAATGTGATCTTTATGTATCTTTAACATGAATGTATTCTACCAATCTTAGGTAAGACCTAAGGGTTCCTGTCCGGAAATAGTAAATGATCGTGAACTTTAAGCCGTTTGCTGCGTGCATACATCCTTGACTCGGATAACTCTAGTTGTTGACTCAACGGAACACTCAGCGTTTATTTCCACACAAATCCAAGTAGCCATTCTCCAACAATTTTCTGATACGCTGCCTCTTTTAACTTCGCATCTTCTAAACCCTCTTTTTGAAGCCACCGAGGTGGTAGATGATCAAATCCGTGGATCTGATCGGGTATCAGTAACCATCGTACGCTACTCTTCCCTTCGTCCTCCACATGCTCGAACGCGAACCTCTCATCGTCTAGAATGAGCTCCCCCTTTCCTGGTCCCAGCTTCTGCTGGCCTACGATATCCGTCAAGGGCGGCTCCGGTCGTCCCGCCAGTTTATTCGCCATGCACCACTTGAATATGCGTTAGTAACTTCGTAGTTGCTTTTGATAAGAAATCTTGAATCCAAGTGGATTCTATCATATGGTAAGAAAGGAAAGGACTCTTCAAGACCTACAGTTCCGTGTGCGAGTTGATCCAGTTCCGTCCCGATAAAGAAGATATGCGGAGGCAGGGTATTTCGAGGAGCAAAGTATGGCGATAGCAGCGGATCTGCTATATTAGAGCCTGGTTCGATATAGCTCCATAGGAAAAACGGAGATAGCGATGCCAGGAAGTCAACCGGCGCAGAGCGCATACCCGGGCCAAGACCGGGCTTGTAGTATCGCGTCTTGACTTTAACTTCCGAGGGAATAGTATTGTCTACATTGGCGTATATAGGTACAGCGGCCGAGGGCCTAACAGTTTCTCGGATCGAGGGTAGCTGGCATACACTGAGGGTCAAGTTACCGCCTGCCGAGAAGCCGCCGATGGCTATGCGGGTCTTGTCAATCGGAAGGCTATCATCGTCGAGCGTCGCTAGGATGAGGGCTTCGAGATCATAGGTTGCGGTCGGGAAAGGATAAAACGGAGCTTTACGATAGTTGAGGGCGACTACAAGCACATTGTGCATATTGGCGAAATGCGCATTCCATACATCGTCATCGTTTACCCGGCCGAGGCAGAACCCGCCGCCGTGGATAGTGAATATGGTCGGGAGAGGCGCCTTGGATGTCTCTGGGTCGTATGACTTGGGGAAAAAGACCCTAAACGCACGAGAAAATGCCTCGTTAGACCCAGCCAGGAATTATCACGATCAAGATAGCTGTACCTAATTGGCAAAGATGGTCGACACGGATATGTTTTTACATAGTTCGGAGGGATCTCTGGGGGATAGGCCCAGTCTTCGAACCAGTGCGGCGCTCTGAATGTTTGGAGTACGTAAATGACGATGCCCCGGTAAACTCGCGTAAGGATTGGAAGACGCGGCTGTTGAAAAACACGGACGTCCAACTTGCTGGTTTCATTTGCCATGGTTAGTCGGTGTTTTGTTTTGTTTTGTTTTGTTTTGTTTTGCTAGGCCTAGGTATATTTCATGTGAAGGTTCAATATGTATGTGTATCCGGTGTATCAGCGTATCGTACCTGGGGTAAATCCATGCGGTTGTCTACCTACCTTAGGTACCTACCTCGGTTAGGTACCTAGGTAGGCATAGACATCTAGGCATACCGCCTTAAGACGCGGCCTTTATAATTCTACCCTGAATGTTACATGATCAATTCGTTGACAAGTGGAATAGTGTCAGATTAGTCAGCCATGTCAGGTGACCTGAAAATCCCTAGTCTTATGTAAAATAGCGGTGTAACACGCGTTCCTACGATTTTACCTTAATCAATTAGATTATCAGAAATATAATGAATTAAATTTTATATAATGCTTATTTAGTACGTATTAGTTGTGTGATAATTAAAAGTTTTATATATTTGAATTATATAAGTTTTAAGGATAGAATCTTAATTGGTATTATATAATATAATACGTATATGTTAAAATAGATTTTAAATAAATTATTATTTACTTATTTATTTTATTATAAATTTTATTATATTATTATTAGGTTTTAAATTTAAATATTTTAGTAATTAAAATATGTAAAATAAAACGTTTATATTATTTGTTTAAAGTTATTAGCTTTAGAAATGGATAAATTTTAATAACGTTAATATATACGGGGAATTTAAGGTTTAATTTAAGTCCTTTTTTCGAATATCTTAAATTTAAAATTACGAAAAATTATTTAATTTATTTAAATTTTATTTGGGAATAATAATAAAGGCGAGAATTTTATTAAGGGGTTAATTGTTGGTAATATTAGTTTTAAATAATTAGTTTTTTTTTTAAACGATGTAGGAAATAATTAAGGTTTTATAAAAATTTTATTTAAAGGAATTAAATATATATATACGTATTAAAAATAAATATAATTAATAAAAAAAAATTATTAAATTAAAATAATTAATTATTTGGATTATATTAAAGTTTTATTTTAAAATTGTATAATGATTTAAATATATGATTTAAGATATATATAATATTTTAAAAAGTTATTTGGGTATATATATGTTAAAATATAAAATTTGGGATGATTATATAAGGGTTATAATATTATTTATAAAGGTATTTAAAAATTAGGAGGTTTAGATAATTAATTAATTTATTATTTTTATTAAGGTTAAATGTTTAAGGTTAATTGTTGTTAAAGATTTTTAAAAATAGTTTTATGTATTAGTGTTAGTTTTAAAATTTGTATTAATGAATTAAATAATTATTTAAAATATTATTTTTTATAAAAAAATATATAATAGGATTTTAATATTTTAAAAGGTGGTTATGGTGTTATAAAAATATATATAAGTTTTTGAAAGTGTTAAAAAAAAGGAAAAATAATTAAAAACGTTTTTGAATTAATTTATGATATTGATAAAGGTGAAAATATTGATTAGGAAGGTGAATTTAACTATTAGGGAAAATTATTATAGCTTATAAAAATTTTTAAAAGGCGGTAAAGTAGTTTTAATAAGTATAAAAAGGTTAATATTAATTTAAATTAACTTTATAAATATTAAAATTATAATTATAATGTTGAATGTAAGGTTTATTAAAATTTTTATAATGTTAAAAATTGTTTTTATATATTTGAGGATAAAAGGTTTGAATATTTTAAATTTAAAAAGGTAAATATTATTTTAGTAAAATTAATTTTAAAAATTAATCTTGATTTAATAGTTAAAATAAAAATTTTAAAAAAGGAGGTAAAGGTTTAAGGGGTAAAGAATAAAAATAATTAATTAAATAAGTGTATAATTATTACGGAAAAAGATACGGCTTTTATAATATTAATTTATACTATTATTTTTAATATTATTTAATATTTATTAAAAAATTCAATAATATTAAATTTAAAGATTATTATTTATATATTTAATAAGATATTTTAATTTATTAATTTTAGAATAATATTATTAGGTAATTATATTGTAATAGATAATAATAGAATTAAAGTTATAAGTTATAGGAAGGTAGATATTTATATTTAATATTTAAAAGGATTTATTAGGATAAGGTTAGTAAATGTAGCTTATTACGAAAATTTTATTTATAATCTTATATTTTTAAGGCGGTTATAGAGGTAAGGTTATTGGTGGGATATATATAATAATTCTATTTATTTAAAATAATTAAATAATATTATTATAGTTAAATTTGTTAATTGTTATAATTAGTTTATATTTGAAGATATCTTTTATGAAATTTTAAGGGTTATTTTTTACACTTATCGTAACGCTTTGAATTTAAGGTTTACAAAAATCTTAAATATTGTAATTGCTTTTTGCTAGTATTTAAAATTAGGGTACCCAAAGTCCCAAGCTTTGGAATACTTAATTAACGTTAATAAAAAAGTGAAAATTAAAGGATTTATAACGGTTAAATGCGAGGTATGCGGTATATTTAAGGTAAAATACTAGGTAAAACGTATACCGCGTTGTATTAATAAATTTCCCGGTATAAGGTTAACCTTTAATTTTTATTTAATAAAGGTAGATAGCCATAGGATTATAAACTTTATATTAATTATTAATAAATGGATTGGTATAATTTTCAATTATTATTTATATAATCGAAAATTGGAAACGATAATTACAGTTTTAAAAGATTTTATTAGATTATTAAAGAATTAATATAATATTATTCCATAGGTTTAAGAGTTAAATTGTGAAATTATTTAAATAAAGTTAGTAATAAAAGATTATTTCGAAAGTTTTTATATGAGGTTAAAACCTTTAACCAATTATATATAAGTATAAAATAGTACTATTAAGCGTTTGGGGGGTGTAATTAAAAATAAAGTTAAGGTTATAAAGGCAAGTGCAAAATTATTATATTTATTATAATTAAAGATATATAAAATTGCGATATATTTATATAATTGTATATTATAATATAAATATAATTGGTAATTTTTATATAATTATTTTCATATATTTATAACAGTGAATAACGGTATTATAATTTGGGAAAAGAAGTCTTAATAAGTTTATTTGCGAGTATATAATTATAAAGCTTATATATTAATAATAGATGTTTTAAAGAAGGTTAATAAAAAGCGTTAATTAAATTTAAAGGTTTGGATAAGTTTTTTAATAGGTTATGTATTGATTAATATATATAAGATTTAAAATTTATATATAAATAAGGTAATAAAAATCTATAATATGATTTTTAATAAAGATAAATTATTTAATAAGAATTTTACAAGGTTAAAAAAAATTACGTAATAATTTATTTTATATAAATATTAAAAAATATAATTATATATTTTAATTTATTTAAGATTTTTAATCGATTATTATTTAAACTATTAATAATAATATAATAAATAATAAATTTGGACATATTAAAAATATAAACATATTAAAATTAGATTTAACGTTATTAATAAATAATATATTAGGTAAATTTAAAGCAATAAATATTATAATAAAAATTGATTATTTTTATATAAATGTTAAGTTTATCCTTATATTAACTTTAAATTTATTATTATTAATAATTTTATTTACAGCTATAATATATTTTAAAATATTAAATTATCTTAATACTTTACCTAATAAAAAATATTTATAAATTAAAACCTAGTAAGTTATATTTAATATAAGCAGATTAAAAAGTTAAATAAGAACTTATTAAAGGTAAATAATTAATAAAATAAAAGAAATAAAATTATTTTATAAATTTTTTTAATATAATTTAATTACTTTAATAATATACATTAAAATTAACCTTTAATAGGTAAATAAATTTAAAAAAGTGCATTAGAAAAACCTTCCAAAGTTTTTTAAAAGATACGGTAACATTAAGAATCACCTTTATAAGATACTATTTAAAAAAGCTAAAAAAATGTATTTAAAAAGTTATTATTAAATAAAAATTTAAGAAGAAATTTTACAATTTAATCTTAAATATTTTAAAAAATAAATCATTAATTATATATAAATATATATATATAAAATTAATAAATATAATTATTTATAAAAGGTTAAAGCAAAATTAATAATTTAAAAAAACTAATAAACTTTAAAGATCGAAGAAATATATACCTTAACATTAATTAAAAGATCTTTTAAAACCTTAATAATAATAACTATAAGATTTAACCTTAAATTAATTTAATACAACGCCATAAACGCATTTATAAATACAAAATTTAAAAGAAATATATTTATAAAGATATTATTAAATTATTAAAGAAGAAACAATATTTTTAAATTATTTAAAACATTATATGGATTGCAAAAATCCCTTTTATTATAATAAAAAAAATTAATTAAAATTTTAAAAATTTTAGGCTTTAAGCTTATTCTTAAAAAACCCTATATATTTATTAAAGAAAAAATCTTATTATTTATTTACGTTAATAATATTATTATAATATACCTTAATAATATTATTATAATATACCTTAAAATTAAAAAAAAAATAATATACCTTATTAAAGGCTTTAAATAATGTTATTAACTTACTAAAAGTAATAATTTATAATAATTCTTAAATATCAAAATAATAAAAGATTAAGAAAAGCAACTTATTTAATTAAATTAATCCGTATATATTAATAAAATAACTAACCTTACAAAACCCTTAAATTAAATCCTAAACATTTTAATAACTAAAAAAAAACTATTTCTTTACAAAAAGATAGCTTTACTTAAAAATACTTACCGTTATTAATAACATATAAGATTTATCTTATATGTTATAATGATTACACGTTTAAATATAACTTTTACAACTTTATAACTTTTACAATTCAATTATAACCCCGGTTTGAAACATTATAATACATTAAATTAAATAACTTTATACCTTAAACATATACAGGGATATACATTATAATTAAAAAAAGATAATACCTTCGAAATTATAAGTAATACCTTATTTACCGATAATATTTACAATCGAAAAAACTCCTAAATATATGTAATAAAACTATTTAAAAACATAATAAACTAAAAAACTAATAAACAAAATATAATAACTACATTTACCATAAAAACTAAATTACTAACCTTATTACAAACAGTAAAAAAAGCTATATTTATTACAAAATTAATTTACACCTTTAAAATTAATTTAAATTAATTTACCATTAAAATTAACTATAATAATAAATAAATAATTAGGTTAATTAATAAAAATATCGAAAAATTAAAAACTAAATTAAGGTATATAGATATATATAATTATTAACTGCGTTAAAAGGTTTAACGAAGTTGTATTAAAGTAGATTACGTTATTTTAAAAGATATAATTGCAGATAAGTTTATTAAAACCCTTACAAAAGATTTATACAAACAA